ATACACACCGTGAGGTGACACCGTTGATCTCATTACGAATTGCAATCACTTCAAGTCCCAACCGTACCTTTCCGTTGTCCTGGTAAAATAGAAGAAAACGTAACGTTAACAGCGCAAAAATCGATTTCGCGGGTGAAATTATTCGCTGCATTTCTGTTCAGTCGCGAATACCACTTTTCTCCCCTCGGGAATAAGAAAGGGAACTCTATCCACGGTAAGAAACGTTTGTCTTCCGCTGGATAACATAAACGCGACATTTGCGGGAACTCCGAGATACATCGAACTTTATTTCATAAAGGTATGAAAGAAATGAAAGATCCTCTCTTTGATCGTCCCCTCCCTCCCCTTCCCGTCGAATTTCGGATGAACCGCGACAAAGTGGCGACTCTTTCGAGGGCGCTCGCGTCTCAACACCGGTGAAACCTGTTCGAATTTACGGACGTAATGAGCGTTAATTCGCCGTGCCTCGCGCGAACCCGCCGTGCAGCAAGCGGGGGTGTCGTAAAGCTGCGCTTAAAAGCTGCGACAACTTTACGGGAATGCACATTTCGTCGCAGCTGCGGGTTCTTTCTCTCTCTCTCTCTCTCTCTCTCTCTCTCTCCGCTCGTCGTGCGACGACCCGGTTAAACCGTTTCGGATTTCATTCGCACAAAATAATGCGTCAAGGCTCGAAGCTAATAACTGGCGCGGAACAAGCCGAGGCAAGTAGTCGACTTATGAGCTGTAAACAAGTTCGGCAATAACCGTCGGTCCAATAGCCTTGTCTGACGGAGAAGCGGCTCGCGATCCTTTCTTTTCCCCATCCTCTTCCCGTCGCTTTACTCATCTCCATCGCCCGGCGCCCTCGTTAAACGCATCCACGAGGCGAGATTACTCTCTTTGCCTACATCCGCTTTTCCCGGTGTCAATTTCATAACCGGCCGATCCTTCCCTATTATAAGTAATTTAGCCTCCCTCTTCTTCCTCTCCCTTTCTCTCTCTTTCTCTCTCTCTTTCCCTTCTTTCTACGTTACTTTTTATTTCGCCTCTGTTGATATTTCTCATATACTTTCATTTCTTTCTTCATTTGTATACTTGCCTCTTTATATCGATACATTTATACACCGAAGAAAGGAAATTCGGTATTAAGTACTAAAATCTGGCGAATGTTTGCCGCCTAAATTTTTAATTATTGCAAACGAAATAATTTAATTCCATATACTATACGTACAGTATATATAATAGTTCCGTATATCGTATATTTAGTATAGGGAACTAAATTATTTGGTTGCAGTAACGAGATATTTGGTCGGCAAATATTCGCCAAATTTCAGTACTTATTAACAGATCCTTTCTTCAGTGTACACTGTATTCTTTTCTTTTGCATTTTCAAGAAATATCTTAGGAAATGCTTCTTTCTTGTCTCTCTCTCTCTCTCTCTCTTTTTCTCTGTTCTTTGCAAAAAGTTATAATTTTTTAAGCTTGTACGGTGCAATTTATACGCATACGCCTCGCGTTTCTTTCACGGAAGATCTTTCTTCGAGGTCACAGTGTTAATTCTTTTTCTCACGCTGCGAGACGTTCGACGCTATTTATAGAACGCGCTTCTCCGTACGACGGATTTACGCGTACAAACCGGCGCCTAGTTAAAGGTTAACGTTCCCGTCGCGATAGCGAAGTAATTAACCGCATAATAAGGAAAGTCGTCCGGGAGCGTATATTGTTTCAGCGCAGCTCCACCCGGCACCGTCTCGCTGTCGTCGCTGAAACAGCCTACGTGGAATCGTAAGAAGAACGAGGACGTCACCAAGGTCGGACGGAACAGCATCCAATAATCTAACCGTCCCTATAAAAGATGAAATTCGAGGCGGGACGAAGGACATAACCCGGCGGGAAGATGAAGTGTACCCGGGTTGCGGGAGTTCCTCGTTCTCCCAGCCTGCGAATTTTTCCGCCACGCATGTCTCACACGAGAGAGTATTAACGCGCACTGATCGATGCGCTTCGTTCGGCCGATCCTTCCCCTCGGTAATACGACGATCATTCATAACGTATCGCGACAATGGCAACCGCGCTTTAATCGTCGATTCTCCGGCCGAGTGAGCTCGCAGGTGTCGGCATTCAGTCAGGGACTTCGTTTACACCGCTCGGATCCGTTGAAACGTCGCGTCCTCTCGGCGGCGAAGAAGGATCGTCCTCGCGGGATACGAGCGTCAAATAGCTTCATCGGTCGGTGAGAGGGGGAGGGAGGTGATCGGCCATCCCTTGGAAAATATTGAAAATTTTAACAAGCGGCAATGGCCATCGGGCTTAGCGCGATGGATATTTTATACGGCTCGTGTTTGCGCCTCGTGTACGCCTTGCGTGCGGTGAGAAGACGACGTCGGAATGAAGACCGCGCCCAGCCTTTTCGGGGATTCGGTGTGAACGAACGATTTCGGTCTTCACCCCGGTCAAGAAGAAACCTCGTGAGTGCGACTTTCCGCGAGCTATTGATAATTGTTTCCCGCGTCTCTCAATATTTCGAGAAACGTGACAAAGGGCGACGACGAACTCGGCCGGAAATATGAGACGAGCTGAATATGAGTGAATCTGTAATATCCGCGATGACCCCGGCGGCTATTCCTTACGTCACCCACAGCACGGATCTCCCACGCACTTGTAATTATTTACAGAAATAGAGATTTCACAAAAATCGCGCAGTCGCGCAAAATATATAAATAATGTCGACGCGCGTCGACCGCGAGCCGCGACCGATGGTAAATAATAAAGGTGTAACGGCGGTGTAAATCACAATTAAAACAATAGTTTTTGTGCGACGTTCTGAAGAAATGAATTTTCGACCCGCATTGTAATTTTGTCCTTTTTATAATTTAACACATGCGTACAATATCATCGTGTACGGTATCGCATAATAGAACGGTCCTCCCCCCCCCCCCCAGATACGGGGGGGNCCGTGGGAGCGGCAAATTGCGAGAGGATATTAAACCAGACGGAACTTGTACGAAAGGATGAAACACGCGATAAGAGAGGATAACAACAGTAACAGCTGCGTGGCGCGCCATTTTCCGCAACTTTTATTCCGCCTGCTCTCGATATCGTCGTACATTCGCTCGTACGTCGAGCTTCAATAAAACATCTTAACATTTGCTACGCCACAATTCACTATAGTGATTTCTCGTCGTTCGGAACGTGCGAACGTACACATTGTGACCGTTGATTGTTCAGTCAATTTGTCATTTTGACAGCTCGACGTACAGTATTACATATCATATCGTTGTGTCTGGACGTGATGCAAACGATTAAAAATCACTGGTGAATTATGACGTGGCAAATGTTAAGGTTGTACCGAAGCTTGATGTACATACATCCGTTAGTTTTCAGATTTCACGCTGACTTTTCATCGATGAATCGTTTCGTTAGATTCAAAGAGGATTTGAAAACATCGTTTAACCGGGCTGTCCTTTCGTTGCGATAGAAATTAAATTAAAGCATGGATACGCGATCCTCTCTCTCCCTCACTCTCTCTCTCTCTCTCTTATTTTATTCTATGCACACTGGGAAAAGTTAGCATGATTAACGGGACAAGACCAAGATGTAAAAACTCCGCGTAACGATCTCGTTAAGAGCTGGCTTCTTAAAACACGCTCACCTGTTGCTACTGTCTCGGAAGAGATGCTCGCAGGTAACAGGCAGCTGACGTCCAAGAATCACTTGTTGAGGTTTAAGGACATTCGACGCTCGAGTCGTCCGCTATCGGAATGTTCTTCGCGATTTAAACATAATGCCATCACTCACGGCCGTGTGACGTGCTTCTTACCGATCGAATTAATCTCCTGAATGGAGCCGTTTCGTGTGAAATATTCAAGATAATACCGTCGGACCCAATAACGTCCGCTCTCGCGCGGATGAACGTCGAACAGACTCGAATAAGCATTAAGCAGCCTGTAAGCGATTCAAAAAGGACGCGAAGCAAATGTGCGGGAACGGGAAATGAGAGACGCGGTGGCAGCTGCGCGGAGAGGAAATTTCAATTTCTACGGCCGCACAGGGACCAGACGGAAAATCGGTGAGAAGAAATGAAAACTCAGTAACGGGGAATGATGTCTCTGTTAGCGCGACCGGGAACGATCGCGTGAACCCTCGGCCGTTTTCAGACACCTCGGCAGAGACAACCGAGAGCAATTGCTCCCCGAGTGGAAATTTCCTATAGAAAATTTCCTTTTCGTCCCTACAACCGAGTTTTGGTCCTCGGCCAACAGAAAATTCAGTTAGGCTAACTTAGTTAGATTTTTCCGCGCGCACGGGGCGGATCTCACGCGTATCGAAGAAGAAAGAAGAAAAGTACGGCGCGAACCAGCCCGTGCAGAAATACTTCAAATACGCCCGTTTTTATTCCTTTATTCATCGAACATATTCTGATCTATTTGCCCTTAAATCGCTTTAATTAGAAAATGATACCCCACACAGCATACTTTATCCTTGGAACGTAAGACGTCCCGTGGACACCTTTAGGATGTCCCTCGGAGGTCTCTGCTGCGAGGGACTGCACTAATAGAGTCTTCTGGGAAACGGGGAACATCAGATGTTCGCCACTGTCCGAGACACGCGTCGTCCTCGCGAAAAATTCGGTACTCGCACTCGACGAACGCTCTCTTCGCGTTCACGCCACTACCGACGTGCATCACGTTTCATCGAACCTGCGTCTCACCGCCCGAAGGTTTCCCAGTCTTTCCTCCTCGAACACGAGATCACCCAGGATGACGAAAACAGGACACTCGGACGAAACTCAAAACCGCCACGTAACGTTGAACGAGGGAGACACGAGACAAACAGTCAGAAGAAGAAGAAGGGAGAACAGAGGTGTCGCCGGCCGCGCGAAGAAGCGGCTGCACCGCGAGTAACCGAGACGTAAACAGAAGGAGGACGAAGCGAGAGGGCTCGCTTCGTAGGATAGGTAACGAGGACAAACGGACAAGGAGGAAGAGCGATACGTGCGTACGAACGGTTAAACTGCTCACCTGTTGCTGAGGAACTGTCAACACGATCCTGTGAGGCAGGCAGGTGCGAGAGAGAGAGAGAGACCTCGGGACTAAACTGCGGCGGAAACGGGCGTCGCTCCTCCCGTGTGTGTCCACGTGTCTTCCTTCCCTTTTTGTTTCTCTCCTCGTTTCCCGGGGGAGAGGGGTGAGATTTCTTCCCGTGTGCGCGGAGAGACAGCGTTCCTCGTTTCTTCCCTCGGACCGTACGTCCGTGCGTGCGTTCTCACGTGACTGCGAGGACGGCTCCTCCGTGGGTCACCGACGTCGACCGGGTACCGCGGCTTTGGTGTCTGCGCGGGAATGACGCCGAGGGCGCCGCGACGCCGGCCTTTATACGTGTGTGCGTCGACGCCTGCCTGTACGTACGGCAGAGCTTTCGGCGGATCCGCCGCCGCGCGCCCACGGGGTGTCTTCTCGGGCGGCGGGCCGCCCTCCCGTATCTCTCTTTTGCCTTCCTCGCTTCCTCGGGACATCGCGACGCTTCTCGGTCACAATGTGTGCGCGTCTATGCGTGATTTAGTTACACGCATTTCGGGTTTCTTCCGTAAAACGACTTGCTAAATTTAAAAACATATAAAGCGCACGTTCGTGTTGGTGTGGTGATTTTTTTTTTCAATGAAAGAAAATAAACATCATAGTTATTCATTATATAACTGGATGAAACGATATGGTTTGAAATAGAAATATAATGAGATATAACCTGATGGAGACTATGCGTATGTATAATTGAATGAGATCAACTATTATAATCGTTAGTCATAATATCTGTAATTTTAATGAGATCAAGTATTTTCTCCTGAGTGCGTGCTCGCGATATGGGAGATTAGCGCGATGACGCGAGAACATTGGGCACGTTACCGGCGATCCGCCAATTGCGACGTCAGATCCATTCGATCTGCCTCGTCGGCGGGATGAAAGAGGATCTCGAAAAAGCCGTGGGTCGCTCTGCCGAACTTCTGCGTCCGGGTAATGGATTTCCGGTGCTCGACCGTGCACGCAACTTCCGCTCGGCTCGCGCCGATGAGCGCCGCACGCGTCGCTCCGTTTCACTTTAATTTCGCCGCGCCGGGGGGAACGCGCTCTCGGACGGATTCATTCTCAGACAGGCAGATGGACTGCAGTGAAATTTTCAGAGGAACAAGTCGCGCGAAGCCGGGAAATCACTTGTGACGATAATACGGCCCGAGGTCGGAAAACGTTATGAAAGAAAAAGAAAAGCGTTGCGGGCGTTCGCTTGAATATTTTACGTCTCTCCGTCTGATGAGAAGTAGATTGCTTCCTCATCGGATTATCTCGCGCTTTGAACGATTCGCGAGTTTCATCTCTCGCGGCATTTCTCTAATTGGCCTCTAGTTTCCCCTTCCTTTTCCTCGGAAGAAGGTCGAAACATGATCGAAACCTCCGATCACTATTCAGTTTTAAGGAATACGTATAACAAATTTGTCCTCACGCATTTTACAGCCTGCGCCGGCTCTCCACTGGCTTACGAAGAATTATATCTCGATTGTGTATCAGAGGGCCTTCGCCGAGATTTGCAATTCTTATCTTTTCCCTTCGTTCTGTTCCTCTCGAAGCTCCTCTTCAAGCGTCCAACCTTCCATATTTGAGAGAAGGAGCCTAAAGACGGCGAACCGATAATTTCCTGCGGGAGGAAATCCCGAAAATAAGAAGCTAGTACTACGAAAGATCTCTCGAGTGTCTCTGTACGACGAGTAGGGACCGCCAGTCTGGTGGAAGATAGCCGGGTTGTAAGAGAGATAGATAGAGATAGAGAGAAAGAGAGGAAGTGATCCGCACGTATACGGGGATTCTTCGCGAAAGTTCCGCCATAAGCCGGTCGCCTCCTGGCCGGCGGATGGGACGCCCCGGCTGAAATCCGCTGGATGCGGTTAAGCGTTTATGGACGTCGCCACGGTGGATACGCACGCATCAACCGCATGTGAAGCCGTTCTGCCGCGGGGTGTTTCCGCGAGATTTCCTCCGCTGAACCGCTCGTAAACGAACGGGGGGGACTCGTTGCCAGACTCTTCATCGCTCGTCCTCGTTGTCGTCGTCGTCGTAAAAGTTGGTCCACGAAGAAAAAGCTCGCATATCCGTCGGGAATAGACGAGGAGGAGGAGAGTCCGTGCCAACCGGTCGCGAATCTCCATATTTACGCGGACGTCGAGACGCGCGAAAGAAGCTCGCGGTCGGTGTGCTCGCGGGGGATGATGATGAAAAGTTTCGGGCGTGACACGGCGTAGATTGAAGAGGTCCGAGTAAAATAAATAGCTTCAATGGCGTCTCATATATTGATATTTGCGTTAATGCATACCACTCGTGCGAAAGTACTTCCAAGTAATGTCAACTGAAAATGGATTACTTTTTCTCGGACATTTCGTGTTTTATTTTAATATATTTTAATATACAAGCTCGCTCTTCAAATATTGCGTAAGAATCAACCTTTGCTCGATTTTGCCTTAATATTTTCATTTTGCGTGAGATAACGTGAAGAGTAAGTAAGAAAAAATAATGAGAAAATAACTGGGTATTCGGGTGACGGGATAATACGCGAAAGACTCGGATACCCGAGTGGTGCCCGAGACACTCCGGTGGCCAGAATTGATACCGATCGATACGAGAGAAAAAAGAACTTGGTGGAAAGCTGCGTAAGACCGGGCGTAACTGTGAAACGCAAAATAATCGTTTCTCATGTCGGTGAGTCACAATGTGTAATGTGTAATGGCTGCTCTTCAAGCCCGGCTAATCCAAACGCGTACAATAGAGTACTTGTACAGATTATTGCAATATCACAACGCAATATCGCGTTTTATCGCGGCTACGGCGGTTCTAATAAACTTGAAAGATATTCACGCACAGACGCGTGACGCGTGACGCGAGGAAAATGTCAGGTATATATCAGTTTCTCTCTATCGAGAAACAATAAAGAGCGAATTTAGCTCCTCCTCCGCAGGGGACGCCAGGACGAACGTATCTTGCGTCAATGTTGTTTCGTGAAAGAGAGAAGGAGATTCGCTGACACGCGTGCCGAGGTGACACAGATTTCATATCGAACGTACGGCTGCATAACGTCGCATATTCGCGGTTACGCAAGAGACGTCGTGCGTTCATTTTTTTGTTAGCGTTCCCGCGTGAGCCTTTGACGAATTTCGAGTCCGTCGAAGCGAAGAAAAAATTGCGCTTCAGGCTTCCTCCCCTTCTTCTCTCTTTTTATTTCTCTCTCTCTCTTTCTCTTCCGCTTGATATCGGTGTCACTCGAATAACAACGAGCGAGGGAGGGAGGGAGCGAGTAATTTTTGTAATAAGCAACTCCACGCAATCCCCGGTACAAGTCGGCTTTTTACGCGCGTTCTCCCCCCCCTCTCCATCTCACCCTATCGAAGATTTAAAGCGAAACTCAATTCGGAAGGCGTCCGACTCGAATTTAAAAAATCTCGAAGCTTCGATACGTCGGGATTGTAAGATTCTCACATTGGAAGAAAAAAGTGCTACATTCAAATAATATTTGGTCGATCCAAGTAAGATAATTATTACTCCAATATAGACATTATTCTAATATTCCTCAGCAAATATTTCCTTGAATGCACTTTTTTCTTTCAATGTAATATGTAAAAAATGTGATTTAAACTTGTTATCCTCTATTGAAAATTTCCAGATGGATTCCCACGGAAATCGAAGGGAACTCGTGTGAATCCATATAGGATATCAAAAATTCACACAGGAATCTACATGATGTGTGAAAATCCGTGTAGGAATCCACACACATAGTGTATTAAAATTCATGTATATTGAGAAAAAAATTTACCGATAAAAAAAAATGTTCAATATTAGCAAACTGTTCGTCTGCGTGAACGTATTTTTAAAGCAATTTATTTACTTGCTTGACGAAAATAATTCTGTTAAATTAAATTATTTACCAAATGTAAAAACATATTTTCTACAATACCATCAATATTTATTAAAATATAAAAAATATTTACGCGTAACAAATATCACATTCTTTTTAATTAGTTACATGATTTAAGCAAATATTTACTTAAAATGTCCTTTTTAAAAAGCGAATTCCGAACATACAATTTAATACATTCATTTATTGAATTTTAATAAATATTAACTGGAATATAATGCGTCAGAATTCGATTGAAGTAAACATTAGAAAGAAAATTCATATTCTAATTTTTATACTTCGGTTTAATATAATCAAGTAGAGAAGATTTATATTTAGCAATGAAGATTTATATTTAAAACGTTACTTACAAAATTATACATTTTAGTAAATACATTTACTGAAGTTAAGAAAAATTTTTTCTCAGTGTCAAGTTTATCTCCAGGAATCCACTTGCATTGTTAATTCTAGGACTTGGGTTTCCGGTGCAAATCCTCAGGAGCAACCACGAGATTCCATATGGATTCCCTAAACGCACTCCCACCTGGCTTTTTACAACAGTATTTTATCTCAGTCTGATCTGTTATTATCTACTTCAACTCATTCGCAAGACTGTACTTGGATTAGTACTGCTCGAAACTTCGAAGCGCGAAAATTACGGCCACTGAAAACATACCCTCGAGGCTTCGGCTTACCAGAATTCGAAATTTCGAAGTTACCTCCGGAGCTTCGGAGCTTCGAAATTATCGAAGTTTAACAGCTCACTGATGGGAACGAAGGGGAAGAAGAGTCGAGGAAAAAAAATCCACCGTTTTCGGCCGGCGCGGACGACCCGATCCCGCCGTTCGTCTCGCAAAAGCGCGCGCTAATCGGCCCGATAACGCGCGCGATACGTGACGATTATGCGAGCGGGAACATGCCGGGAGCCTCGCTGTTCGATTCGCACGTGGATTAAACGCGGATGAGGACGGATCGCGCGCCCGTTATCGGAACGTCCCGACGTGCGGACAAACAGACGGACGAGCATCTCGATCGTTAGCGACGCTGCGATATTAACTCGCGTCAGCAGAGAGTCCTTAATCTGCCGCTGCCAAGGAGACTGATAGCGTCTCTAATAAAACGCGAGTTGTAAATCGTCTGTCATTTGCATTCGCGACTCTCTCTCTCTCTCTCTCTCTCTTTTATCAGCCCCACTCTTTGCTGAAATTCTTCCACGACGATTCCCGACCTTAATATCGCGCGACCGATCGATACTCGGACGTAGAAGTTGGTGGTACGTTATCGGCTCGCGAAAAAAGAGCGAGAGAGAGAGAGAGAGAGGGAGAGAAAACGGAGGAGGCTGATAAAAGGAGGGAGCGCTCGATTAATTCTTACGATCGCGTCTTCCCGTCAAACGTCCCTCCCGCCCCTTTAAATAATTTCTCAAGTTCGTCTTCGTTTTCTCTGTGTCTCTCGACGAGGCGTTAAAGAGACGCAAGCGGCGCTGTTCCGTCATCGTCGGTCTCTCGTCTGCACGTCCCCATGTGGATATTAATTCCTCTAACGCGACATAAAACGGGACTACTTTCCGCATTTATGGCGGAAATGGTGCGCGCACGGCGGGGCTGTGGCAGAGTGTAACGGGGGAAATTGCAGTTTCAGCGAAGCCGAATGTCGTTACCGCCAATTGCGCACAATAGCGCGGTATTACTTCCCGATATTTCCCAATTAATTAGGCCGCTTCCTAATTGAAGGCGACCGATGATAAGCGCGCCGGTTCATCGGCGATCTCATTATCGGGAAAAGTCATTTCAATAGTGAAAGAACTATCTTCGCCGCGCGGACGTCGTGTGGAGGCGGGGAGGAGGGGGAGAATTAAATTCCGCCGGGTTCTTCTCTCCCGTGATCTCGAAAGAATTGTGGGACACAGAGAGGCCGTTCTGACTGATATGAAAATATTTATTTAAAGACGAGAAACATAACGGATGAACGAAACCGGCAAATAACACATTGCACATAATGATCTCACATCTAACGAAACGTCCCTCTTCCCCCTCAAAAACGAGACGTCGTATTAACGAATATTGTATTAACGGATTAATAATTCTCAAACTTTCTATTCTAGCACCCTCCTCACTCGCACTGATACACCCACACGCAAACACACACACACACACACACACACGCGCACACACACCTACACATTCGCACATATACAGCCACGTGATTTGATGGAGCGACATATGAGTGAATTTCCGTCGAATCGGAAGAACGAAAATTTATCTACGATAGAGCTCGTACGAGAGTTTCCCCGAGCTTCGTGAAAACTCCACTCGCGGGGGCCGGTCAATTACTTCCGTCTCAATTGGGTGCTCGGCTGCGATATTTCAATCACTCCCCTCACTCTCGCGTAACTGAAACTAGATAACGGTGTAATAGCGCAGCATGTCTAATGTATGATACTTCTATAATAGGTGATCGATCAAAGCTTGCCGCCATGATATTTCTATTACATCAGATCATATCGTGCGGTCTTTCCGCGGTGAAGAACAAATATGTCCGCTCAGGCAAACCGAACTTACGCGATTATAGTTAGCAAATAGCAAAGATTTTTTTCTCCATCGTACCGTCCCATCCGCGGCACCCCCGCCTAGGATCAACGTTCGTGTTTGTGACCGCCGTCGCCGCCCTTCTTGAAGCTCCACTTCTTGCCGCGCTCGTGGCCCCCCTTCTCGCCATGCTTGTGACCGTGATCGTAATGATGATCGTGGCCCTCGTGGACTTTATGGCCCTTGTGCTCGTGATGGTGGCCGCCCTTCTCGTACTTGTGCTTCTTGCCGTGTTTCTCCTCGTGATCCGCGGCGTCATGATGCGCCTTCTTCTCGTGGCCGCCCTTCTTCGACTCGTGCCCGTGATGGTGTTCGCCGTGCTTCTCCGAGCCGCCGTCCTCGTGGAACTCGTCGAAGAATTCCGTCTTCTTCTCGTATTCATCCTGAGGGCGACACGTCAGCCGTGTTATCGACCGTCTTTTATTGCGCACGGAAAACGGGGGTATTAAGAAGGTGTCGTTTCTCGCCCCCATCAGCGGGTCGTGAAAAAGTTACGCTCCCCCATAGTTTTCGATCCGCTGAATTCAATCTTTCTTATAAATCTCCGGTGTGACGAGAGAACATCAAAGTTAATAGGTTATAATAATCAGTTAATAGGACAAATAAGTGTTGCAACGCGCTCATAATTGCGCCGAAAAACGTGGAAAGACATTTTCGATCACTGGAAAAGGTGACGAAAATGTTGTACGCAAAAATTTGTACACTCGGAGAAAAATGCACAGTCGTGACAACTATAAAAGTGATAACGATACGAGTTTGGTACGTAGAATGCGTATAGTTGAATAAAGCATTTCATAGTTATCGCAATTAAATCTGAGTGGTAATGGCATAGCATGAACTATAGTTCTCGTAGATATATCATAATTATCTATAGATAACTGTAGTTCGTCGTAATAACCACTTGATATTGTTGCAATAAATACAAAATATTTTATGAAACTACGCATATGTATGCATTGATTTTACACACAAAATATAGTTGTCAATATATTTTTCCCTCAAAGGGGGAGGGATGTTACAACGAGGGGACAATTTTTCCAACAGCCCTCTCTTCTCTTTCTCAGTCATTCGCACCACCTCACCTTCTTGTGCACCGAGTGCTCGCCCTTCGTGCTGTGCCCCTTCTGATGTTCGCCCTTTTCGTCGAACTCGGCCGCCTTCTCCCCCTTTTCACCGTGATGATGCTCCTCGTGGTACCCACCCTCTTCTTCGTGTTTCTTCTCCTTACCGTCCTTCTCGTCGTACTCCTTGTTGGAGTGCTCCTTATCATGGTGTCCTTTCGCCGCTTTCTCATGCTCATGCCAGACTTTGTAGCCCTGCAACGAAGTCACCGAGACGAAAATCACCGACTATTCCCCAAATCGTCGCGAATATTTCTTTCAAAAGTGGACACACTGTGGGATAAATATGTATAACTATATTCATTATAGTGAAGAAATTCTAATGAAAAAGGTCGTTTTTCTTGTGAGTGTTAATATAGTGTCAGTGATAACAACCTTACGCGTGTCTCTGCTACTATTTCTGCAATTAAAACCACGAAAAGAAGATAGCAGAGTTGCCGAGAATAAGGATAACTTTTCTCGGTGCCACCGGCGGAACAAATCCGACGTTCGCAAACTACCAATCCCTCAAGTAAGAATCTAGCCGTCTCCGACTTCTTACTGACGAACCGGACCTTTATTAAAAAAAAAAATGGCCAGACTCTCACTAGAGGAACTCTATCAGCAAACAAGCGATTCACCTTGTCTCCTTTTTCTCCGTCATGGCTGTGATGTTCTTTCTCGTGTTCCCCGCCTTCGCCCGCTTCGAACTTGTGGTCTCCCCCGTGCTTCTTGTCATCGTGATGCTCCTCGTGCTTGTGAGCGTGTTCCTTGGTCTCGCCGTGCACGTGATCACGTCCCTCCTCGTCACCGTGACCCTTGTCGCCGTTACCTTGCTCCGGATCACGCTGATGATCTTTGACACGTTGCCGGTGCTGATACTTTTCGCGGACCTGCTTGGGATTAGTCTCGTCGTATTCCTCCTGCTGCGCTCGAAGATGAGTATCCGCTCGCGGGCTGGTCAGGTGACTGTAATACTTCCGCTTGTCGTCTTTCTCGATCCGTTTCTTCTGGTACTTCCCACCCTGCTTCTCACTCTGGTCCTTGGAGCGTCGAGCGACCACCAACTCGTCCTCGGAAGCGTCCTCGTGCTCCTCGTTTCCGCGATCTCGCCGATATTCCCCGTCGTCCGCGCTCTCCTCGTCCCCGTTGTATCCCGGACCGTCGTACCTCTCGACGCTGTAACGTTGTTTCTTACGCCGCAGCTCCTCCTCGGAATCATCTCGGCCGTACTTGTCGAACCGATCACCTCGCTTCTCGTCTTCGTCTTCTTTGTTCGCCCGACTATTATTGCTCTGGTATTCGCCCTCCCGCGTTTCACCCGCGTCTTCCTCGTCGTCCTCCTCCGCCTGGATATCCTCGGACCTATCGTCCTCCTTCTCATCGCGACGTCCCTGATACTCCTCCGTACGCTCATAGTCGCGAGTTCGCTGACGATAAGGATCCTCGTCGTTCTGCTTCCGCTGCTCCTTCTCGCGAATCTCCTGAGTCGCCTTGGCGCCCTCGCGGACCTCGTAAGTCCCGTGGTTGATCTGAGTTCGGTGAGCCCCGAGAGCGCTCTTACCGTCGGCCACGTCGCCCTCGTCGGAGACGCGAGGACGTTCGCTCACTTCGCCGTCTCCCTTGTCGAGCTGTTCCGCGGCAGCGTGACGTAACAAGCTGCTGTCGAAATAGGGCGCGAGCGGCTGGACGATCGGCAAGGGCGAAATGGGCTTCAGAGGGATGGGCTTCGGGGTCGCGGGGTAGGGCAGAGCGGAAGAGGGCTGCTTGAAGCTCTTGTAATCCTGGGCGACCGCCTTCGGCAGCACGTTGGCGGTGGGTATCGAGTACAGGCTCGCGAACTTGTCGTACAACGCGATGCCGGGGTTCGCGTTCAGATCAGACCCGCCGTCGTAGGCGACTCCGAGGGTGTCCCCCGTCCTGGGAGCGACGTCCTGCGGCTCCTTGCGTCGCTGCAGGATATGCGACGGGCTGGGGATGTAAGTCGTCGAAGCACTTCCCGCGGGATTCTCCGTGATGACGACGTGTGCCGGGCGGCCGTCAGCGGCTACCTTCACGGGGACCTTCGCGGCGGCGATCACGTTCGTGTAAGGCGCCGGGCGATCCGTCGGCCTCCCCAGGACGGCAGCTTCCTTCCCCGCAGCCCCCGGTGAATTTCCGAAGCTCGTCGCCGCCGTGTGGATCCCGTCGGAATGGCTGAACTCGCGATTCGCGCGCTTTATCGGGACGTAGTGGCGCGTAGGGGGCACGCTGAAGAGGTCGGTCGGCAGGACCAACGGCAGGACTTGGGCCGGCGGAGCGGGCTGAGTGATCTGTCGCGTGACGCTCGCCGGAGAGGAGCTCGGCTTCCCGTACGACGTGGCGATCTTCGCGGCGGAGTTGGCCGCGTGGAGTAATCGCGGAGGGTCGGTCGCGGCCGCGGAGAACGGTCGGGGCACTTTGCTGTACTTCAACGGCAGCTGAAGGCTGTTGAAGGCGTTCTGCACGCGTAGTAGGCGCTCCTGCGCACTTTTTTTCGACTTCTCCGTTGGCTCGGGGAAAGTATTCGACGACGACGACTCGGTCGACGATCCGTTCTTCAGCTTCGGCTTCCCGTTCGCCACGTGGAACTGCCCCTTGGCGGACTCGTCGGTACCAGCGGCCGCCTCGTCGGGCTTCGACTCCGGCGGAGGAGACGCGGTCGCACGATTCGGTTGCGTGTATTTCTTCAGCAACAGCTTCTTCTTCTTCAAAGCTGACAGGGGAGGATCGAGGTGCGACGGCTTCTCCGTACCGTCGCCGGTCGCCGTGCGAATCGTCACTTCCGGGATCGGGACTTGTCGCAAACCCTTCGCCGACGGGCTCAGCGTCATGCCGGCGTTGCCCGCCGCCAATTGGGAGATCCCGCGAGATATGTTGCGCAATACCTCGTGATAAGTGTCCTCGAGGTCCGCTGTCGACCCCGTCGTCGTCGACCCCGCGATCCTATCGCTTATCTCGGGTGTATCTGAGGAACAGATAAGGAAAGTGACCTTCCGTAGCGCGTGTATCTTGAATCGAACTTGAATCGAAATTTTCATGCCACTTTGAAGCTCTAAAGACGGTTCGCGCTTACTCCGATTGTTTGTAAAAATTGAGGCCGGAAATAATAATTTCTATCAGCGTAGAAATGAATTGTACCATTAGAAAAATCACTAGAATGGAAACTGTTTTGCTATCTTAATTCCTAGCGTATAATAAAACGAAATGTCGCGTTCGCGTTAAAATCAGTGTTCGTGAAAACTTCTGTGTCAAATTTATAACACACCCGTATGTTAATTTAACATATTCCGTTTGTGTTGTTATCTCAATATTTTACGTATGAATCGATACTCAGCGTGCGTAAGTGAGCTAACACATTTTACACATCATTTCGTCGATCAACATATCGTGGATATTAATTTTGTGTTCATTCTTGACATAATATTTGCGTTATAATTTTCAACGTAAATGAGGGAGGGGACGAAAGTGATCTATTTCGTTTTAATTACCGTGAATATCGACGGGCGCGTCCAGGATTTTCCTCTTGGCTATCCTCGAGGCGATCCTCTGCGGCTCGTACTTCGCCACGACGCGCTTCAGCCTCTCCAGCTCGTCCTCGTCATCCTCGACGTGGACGACGCGCGACTCGCCGACTTCCTGATCCGAGGTCACACGCGGCTGGTTTGTTTCGCGCTTCGACAGGAGCGAGAGGATCTCGCGGCCGAGCTGCGAGGGCTCCTGCGCTAACGCGTTCGCGGTTATCCGAGTGTTATTCCCGCTTCCGCTGATGATCACCTCCTCCAGGATTATCTTGCCGGGAGCCGAATGCTTGACGCCCGGGTATTTCGCCGCGGTCGCGCCGCCTGCTCGCAACGTCACCTGTAAATATATTAACTGTCTATTGGCGACGCTCTTATCGGCGTGAATCGGGGAAATCGTACGAACGTCAATTTCATTGACGGCAATATCAGGTGTTGACGATTACAACGAATTTCGCGCGTGTGAGCAGCGACAGTCCGATGACTCCTTCCGCTGTTTCGCATTTCTGTCGGCACGGTGAGAGAGGAAGAAAGAGAGAGAGAGAGAGAACGGTGCGACGATTTATACAAATAAGATAAAATTTATTATACGCGCAATTAAACGCGTCTATTAATTAGCTTGATATCGCAGAGAGGCAAGATCCCGCGTAATATTTCACAATAATCGGCGCACGCATCGGTCTCTCCACCGCCCACTCCGATCCCGGTTTAATTAAAAGTTAACATAAACACGCGCGTCACCCTTCTGCTCGTAACACACATCACACATCTGCACATTTTCGCCGGCGGTTCGTTCGACTCGGGAGGGAACGCTCGCGTATTGCATCTCGCCGAAACGCCGGATATTAATGAAAATTTGTTATGCGCCCCGTTCGATTCCTCCTCGCGCGGTCCCCTCGCGTCGTCCTCGCGTTTCTTTTCTCCCCTTCGTTCTCTCGCAGAGACGGTCCGTGCGCCTCGCCGGATTATCTCGCGGGGATATCGAGTGGGATATTACCAGGTGGATCAAGAGCAGCGGCACCACGGCCACCGCCGGCCTCCGCAGGTAGGTTTTCATGTTTCGCCGGAGATCGGAGCGACGGAGACTGAGCCGTGGTCCGGCCGTCGCCGGGTAATTATATTATCGCGTCGTTTCCTCTATCTGGAAAAGCGATCCGCGCGAATGATACGACAATTTCGAGCGAGCCGCCTCCCGCGTCGTGGCAGGAGCGAGAGACCGGCGGTCCTGCATCGATCGCTCCTGCGATCGCTCGGCTTCCTCCTTTCGCTCCCGCGTTGCACAAGAGATCGTCGCTCGGCCGGAGCGGATCCGCAAGCATCTCTCGATCTCTCATTATTCAGTCTATTATTAACGCCCGCCCTCCCTCTCTTTACCGGCCTCCTTTGCGCAACGAGGCGCTTTTTGTCGCCGCCGCGGGGTGTCGTAACACGCGGAAAGCGGCGTGGTGAACTTCGCGTCCGAGGCGAGGCGTGCGTCGCGCTGTGTCGTCGTACTTGCCCGCGCATTTTTCTTCCGCCCGGCGCCGCTTTTATCGGCGCTTTTATCAGCGCCGAGCGGAGAGCCGGAATCAACGAGATCTCGCTGGGATATTTCCTCGTCTATTTTATGGATATCCGTTTTTCCGATCCCGAGCCGAAGCGTGCGTTGATGTTATCTCGACGCTCTTGAGGATCTCTCCGAATTTCTCGGAGCGAAGTCTCACTCGAGAAGTAGATTGATCGCACGGGGAACATACTCACTTCGATCGATTGAAACATTTTGCTCACACGGAGGATATGTCAGAATTCAGCTGACAAGCTTGAGCGAGACATTCGCTATTGCGATTTCGAGCGGCAGTATTGCCACTAGCGCTTCGGATGGAAATTTGCCGTTATTCATTTATTCCGAGAGTGAGGCTCCGATCTAAGAAATTTAGAGGTATAGTTCGCGCCTGCCTAGACCGTCTGTAGATTAATAAAAATCTATTTGGGCGATACCACGCTCTTGTCAATTTCTCTCTTGAACCTTGAATTCTGCCGATTTCATTTTAATGTTATTGCAGAACAAAATTTGTGTTAACGCTGCGACAGCGAGGACGGAAATTTGAGATGGAAATTAAAGATTTAAAGTAAAGCCGAAATTTCGGGACGTCCGGCATCTGATATTTCAGATTTGCTCGGCGACTGTGCGTAAGCGCAACGTGCTGTTGCGCCAACGCAATGGAATTCGATCGGCGGACGTGCAATGTTCCTTTAAATGAGAGTGCCGCCGATTTTGTCGCGCTAACCGCGCTGTTTTCTCTCAGAACGGCATTCGCACGCGTCTATGCGTACTAATTTCACACTCGCAATTTGCCTTAAAACACGCGCGAAAAAGACGTAACGGCCCACGCTCGCGCGGAATGTGGCTGTCGTGCGATTATTGGATGTTGCGCGCTGCAGCGGCCAACACAAACGTTTAGAATGTGCCTTGGAGGCATCCTGAAAATACCCAACACGAGCGGAACATCTTCTAAGCGTCTCCATCCGACTAGAAATGTACGTAGTCGGTCTGAGTCAAAAGCTGGCTAGTACAGGCTAAATTAAATTTCTTAGCTCGTTAGAGTAGTTCGTTACTGGCTGATTATTCATTAAAGTGTAGAATCGGTTGTGCGATCCAACCGTTGTCCAATCATTATATACCAAATATGATAGAGCAAATCGGTCTATTCTCAAATATCTCAGAAGAAATTTCTAAAAAATGTCTTACAGACGCCCAAAAGATGTTCTACTTTTTTAAGATCTTTTCCAGACGTCCTTATAAGATCTTTTAGAAATTTGTTTTCCCTGAGATATAGCTGTTGTATGTACCCGACATTAAGCATTTAAAAACGAGATAGCGAATCAAAATTGATGATAGATTATATTTCATAAAAATCTTTAAAAAGCAGAAGAGAGCATTATATCATTGTCCGGCGACTAGCTAGGATTTTTCATCTCGTAACTATAATTTCTGTTGATTCAACCATCAGTTAACTTATTTATCTGGCCACTCGGAGAGGTGAGCGTTGCATTATTGGCTATTAGCGACGTCGGACACAAATTTACGTCTTTGTGGTTAAGCCCCCACGAGATTCGATTTCTATTGGGGCAGGATGTTTCTTGGTCACATTTATATTGTATGGAGACGATCGATGGGAATCGAGTCCGTCCGGTAACGAATTTCACGTTTCGGGGTCGTAACGCTGACCCCATCCGTCGCTTCACGCTAACGATACGAATTTGTTTAGAACGTCGATTCACACTCTTGCCCGCCGCATGCTGCGTGACGACGACGCGCGGGACACGCGATCCGCTGCGGTTTTTCGGCATCACGTAGATTATTGCCCCGAACGGAGAATCGAGCGAATTGCAGCCGGTGATTCGATAGCGACGCGATCGAAAGAATTAACCGCAGGCCGTTATCCTGCATCTCGACATAACGATGGAACGGATTCGTATCGCCTTCCTCGTTCCCCGCGATATTTTAACGAATCTCAATCAGAGCGAGTTCTCGCAGTCTCGCGTTTTTCTCTTCCTCTCGTCCTAATGATTTCAATTCAGGATTTTCAAGAGTGAACGTATTTAAATCTTACGTTGTGTATGGTCAATTACAAAAGGGTTGCGACATTTTTTTTTATAAGCCACGTAACGCATTTCGTGGACAATTTGTTTCTTAGTGATTTTTCTCAGGCGATTCATACATTTTCCTATTCGACACGAAATGCAGATTGCGGGAATCATAAAAAGAAGCTTCACAGCCTTTTTGTGACTGACCATACATCACAAACTTAATCTGAATACTAATAAATCCAAACTTCAATATATAATTTTAATATATTTACCGGGCCAAAACTCGTTACTCTTTCGAATGGTTTCCATCATGTCTAAATAACTATGCGATATAATACGATCTAACATATCAAAATGACAGATTAATCAAATAATTAATAGTTATAATGTGTACACGAAATGCGATTAGAAAGAGTAAAATGAGTTTCGGCCTGGTAAAAGTTAAAGCTTTGTTGAAGTTTAACGTCTCCGCACTGAGGGAAAAAGCAATTAGGATTTAACGATAAAATCACCGGTCACCCTCGTTGAAACAAATCGCGTCCGCTGGACACAAAGACGCGATGGCGCGACAGTACATTGCGTTGTTATTGCCGCTTACCGAATTTCAATCACTGAATCAATCGGTAACTTCACATCGAGGCCATTATATAATTCGTTCGATCGACTAAATGGCCCGCTCGAACGAATTTTCTCTATCTCGTTGATTCCGCTACTTTTCTCCCTCGGGGAAAAATATATATTTTGCTTCTCGTCATTTATTTCTTCATTTTAGGTTTGATGTTACTTTTATTACCGGACCGATGTCAAACAATGCTGCGTAGTTTCTGGCGCAGGCAAGTTAAGGCGACAGCGAGAATTTTCAATGCAAATACACAACGGCAGTTCCGTTCGGATAGACCAGAGTGGGATTGATTATGTCAACCGAAGTGAAAAGAAGTGTCACGGCATGACTTCGTCGAGCGATCATTACGACGTCGAATTCTGCGTGCACTCAAGCCTAAATGGGACAATTATGATTGCTTATACACCGCGTCGAACGCTCAACAACGCTCCGTGTTGCCCCGGAGTTTAATTAAAAGACGTAATTGAAGGGAATTCGTTACGCAAGCAAACTCGTGGTCGTTGCCTAGGTGGAACCTAGTTTCGAAACTTCTACGAATCCGTTTCGGAAAGAGGCCGGCGTTTCGAAATATCAGAATAAGAACGATTGTCGTTCTAACAAGAACATGGTATCTGGACTTACAGAACGACGCTGCACCATGAAATATAAACTTTATATTGCACGAAACAGTTCTTAAGAGCGATTTTACGTTGTAGTAATGAGAATTGAGAATGCCAATTCTTACATTTTTTTTTTAATATCGGTGTATTAATAGAAATATCGACGGAAAGTGAACTTCGATTTTATTAGCTACTTTATTTACTTTATATTTATTTCTTCTTATTACTATGTATTATATATTCTCATTAATTTTATCATCCATTTATATACACGCATAACAATTTATGAATGATATACAATTTTATTTTTGTCAAATATCTGTACACTTTTCGCTGTCAAAATGTTTCGTTTCTACCCTCAAGCTGTTTCACTTTTATTTTTTTCATTCATTTTTCATCCATCTTTTTCACTTTTACATTTTACTCTATTGCGTATTTAAAGGTTTCTCGCCGTTAGTTAATAATAATAAAATTATTATATCAAGTCGATACGCTGAAATTTAGAATTAATCGGTCGAGAAATCCGCGAGAAAGAAACGAAAGGGTCCATTTCGTGTAGAACAGTCTCTATAGGGTCACACGAATCGATGGCACGTCGACACGTGACCACTCGAAGGAAGCACAACGGCACAGAGAATCGCGGTAATTCCCGCCGGTTGCAGACTCGCTACCTGCGGAGGAGGGTGCGGAGGGACCAGCGGGATCTGCTGACCTACCTCCGTCACGAGGTCAGGGTGAAACGATTTTCACAGCTATCTGCGCCCTTTTTTTCCCTATTCGTTCTACGAATCGCCGACGAACGACGGAGACGTCGTCCCGATCCCGCGGTGCAATCATCGGCGGATCGTCGTTCCGGACGGCGGGTTTTATTCGTCCCGGCGAGTGCGTACTGACCTTATTACACGCACTGTCCTTCACGTGCGTCCTTATTCCCGCGCGCGCCAAGTTCGAAGCGCGCGACGTTGTAACAATCGGACGCGGGGGACCCGGCGGGACGTGCCGATAACAATACGAGCAAGGTGACGCGCAGCGCAGATAGCCGGTCTGTTTTTCAGCCGCACTTACTGACCCGCTTGCCCTCCTGTTACTGAAACTCGAGCGAACGCTCATTTCATTAGAACCTTTCGGTAAATGTCGCATATATATAGTGCTTAAGGGGAAGGATCATAGACTTTAAGGGCGGACAATGTACACGTCGAAATAGATTCTCGACAAATCCTGCTTTGCCTCGGAGCAAACGCCTCCCGTGATATTACCGGTTTTATTGTTAAGGTCGCAGCAAACACTCCATGCGAACGTTTTCAATTTTCTCCTTAATCAAGGATCTCGCAGCAACGTACATAATACACACTGATACGCGCGGGAAACCGTTTATCTTCCGAGATAACTTATTCTCCTTCTTTATGTATATCACATATTTATAAAATATATAATATGTATAAATATTAAAAGTCGAAATATCGACAGTAATTTTATCATTATTATTATTATTATTGTTACATAATTACCGAATCGATCGAACATGTAAGGATCAATCACGTCGGCGCGCTTGGACAAATTTGCGCGAGTATTGAGGATAAGCGGCGAACCAATGGCCGCGCGTGATATCGGCAGATCGACTGCACACACACACACACACACACACACACACACACACTGTAATCGATTGCCCGGTGTAAGTTTGAGCGGGTAAATTTGTCAGAAAATAAAGCCATCGAGTACAATCGTTCCCCCGGAATCGATCGGTTTTGCCGGTGAAATATGTGAGCGCGGCGGAGCCGTACTTACACATACGCTGTGTACGCGTGTACGTGTGACCGCGAGTCGCAGTGTCGTATCAATTATGGAAATACCGGCGGCGATTACGGGGTTATAACTGACATTCGAGGGAACGGTTTTACGTGTAAACGCGCGTGTAAGAGCGCCGTTTTTACCGCGCGTCTTTGCGCGGGAAACGATTCAACAATCGCCGGACATGTGAGATTAATAATTTTAAATCGTTCAACAATCATCTCTCACGAAGGCGGACGCATTTGACATGTAACTTTATCATCCACTCCACCGTGTGTACATCGTCGCCGACGGTCTGCGATGTAAAACTCCGGCTCGCATGCGCGCGGACGGTAGTTTATCCGTCGAATCATAATTGAAGGGCTTCCCGCGAGAATGAGCCCAGTGGGCTATTTGCGATTCTCTCGAGCCAATAAGCGTTATTGCCAATGGAGACGAAGAGAACTCGGAGAGAGTTCTGCGACGACGAATCCGGTCACCACCGGAGAAAACTCTTCGGCGACGGACGCTTCCCAGTTCGCTTCTTCCCTTCGCGATTTCGGCGCGGAATTCTGAAAAATTTTCCAGTCGTCGAACTCAGCGACGGCGAGACAGAGAGGAAAAAGGAAGACACGCAAGGTCGCCTCGATGCCATACATCTGCACTGCAGAACGTTTCGTTCGCGCGACGTGCATCGAGGCGCGACCGATTTTACGCCGAGGTGTCGTTCCTCTGACGATCGGCGCGACGTGGCGAGTCGCGGACCAAATAACTGCCGGTGTGACGCGGGTGACCGCTGAAGAAATCGTGTTCTCTCGATCCGAGCGGATAACTTCGTTCGACAGATTTTTATTAACACATCTGCGTATACTTGAGCGTACTCGAACGTCTTCGCACAGCCGATAATTATTCTTACTCGCTCGTCGATGTTACTCGTCGAGTGGAAAGTATCTAAACTAGATTGTGTTATATACAAGTATGTAATGTATTATATATATATATATATGTTGTGGATACACTGCACTGTATTAAAACAAAATATATCATGTTAAATACAACTAAAGTGTATTAAGCGTAATTAAATATTAAGTATTAAAGTTACATCGCCTTAGTATCTTAAATAAGAGCTATCGCGACGCAAATCCATTCGTTAGAGATAACGTTGCAGATGAAAATTTTGCGACGAGCTTGCGCGGAGGTGTCGCGACGACGAGAATAAAATCGTAATCGTCGCCGTAACCGTGAATCGAAACCAGCACGTCCGACACGAGCTCTCTCCGTTCGACTCGTCATCGCGAACACCCGCCCCGCCACAGACTGATCCGCGAAATTCCCAGCAAGATAAAACCAAGCGAGACTCGACGATTACGCGAGTAACGCAGGTAAGTTTCGTCGCGTCTCGTCAACGGCGATTTGATTTCGACCACTTTTGTCCCGAGGCGTGACCGCCTTTCTGACCGTATTTCTCGTCGTGCTCGTGATAACTGCTCTGCCCTTCGGCCACTTTGTGACCCTCCTTCTCGTCATGACGATGACCCTCGTCGTATTTCTTCCCCGAGCCGTGATGGTCCTGAAATCAGGAGTAGATATAAACGAGACCGGAAAAATAAGGCAATTAACGGGAATAACGCGAATACAGGAACGACGTTCCTTCGACGACTGAGAGAGGTTAGTGATCTCGATGAATAATGACCTCGTGGTGGTCGGCCTGCAGTTTGCCCGTCTTCTCGTGACCGCCCTTCTTGCCCTCGTGCTCCTCGTGCCAACCACCCTGCTTCTCGTGTCCCCCGTCTTCGTGATACTCGTCGTAAAAATCGTGCTTCTTCTCGTACTCATCCTTGAGGCAACAATTTCTATATTAATTCAGATACACACACATATATACTAATGAAAGAAAAATAGAAAAATATCAGAATTCTTTTTCGACAATAAAATTGTGCTAATTACTAGATATCGCCTAAGAGCATCTGAATGTAACTGTGAACATTCTGTTTCGAAACAAATTAATTTAATTTTATAAAATCACGGGGCGATGCAGAAGAGTTGTCGATTGCATTGTCGAGACCAGATACGGTCTGGTCTCGTCAAACGCTCGTTAAGCCGGTTGCACATGACACGACGAATGAATGTCAACGTTATAATATGATATTGATCGTATCGTGTGTTAGTAATTGTGCGATTTCTTTTTGTAATTTTTACATGCAAATTTTTCTATTTACATCTTATGTCGGCTCGACATTTGAAGTCAGTATGGAGTCGGCTTAACGTAAATCATGCATGAAACACTAGATACAGGAGTGTCGCACAGGAAGCCTGGACATTACGAGTGGTGGTAGCCGAAGCCGTACGCGGCTTTATCCCGTAAATCTCGGAAAGCTTTAATATTCGTGTAAGTATTAACCACGGCTTTAACATTGCAGGATCAACCGCCGTTTAAACAACAACGAATTTCAACGCACACCGTCGCTCTCTCCCCTCTCTTTTGTTTCCAAGACGTTGGGAAAATAGCTTATTTTATGTAAATTCTTAGAAGTCCCACCGTGCCTTTATTTTATCTCACTGAGAAACATAGCGAATTCTTTTAACGGTAAACTGAAATTCTTGGAATATATATAGTGCATATGAAAACGGAAGGATAACGAACAGGGACAAAATGTCAAAATGCGTTCCTCGCGTGCGCGTGCGCGGTTACAAAATTCTACAGTAATTTCATTTCAGCTTCATTTAATTTCTATCGTAAAATTCTACAATGATCGAATTTAATTGAAAGTTCATTTCCCGTCAGAAAATTCTGCAGTCATTTTCTTTCGTTTCATTTGATTTTTATTCTAAAATCTCCCCACCGTGTAATTTGTTGCACGAATAACGCGTGATTTTCTCAAATCCGAATCAATCGTTCGTCATCGAAGCGACACGACACGCTGACGGTCACCCTACCTTCTTGAACACGCTGTGCTCCCCCTTCGTGCTGTAACCCTTCTGATGCTTGCCCTCCTCGCCGAATTTGGCGTTCTTCAAGCCTTCCTCGCCGTGGTGCTCCTCGCCGTAATGTCCACCCTCATCGTGCTTCTTCTTCGTCGTGCCGTTCTCCACGTCGTACTCGCGCACGTGCTGCTCCTTATCGTGGTGGCCTTTGCCGCTCTTCTCGGACTCGTGGAACGCTTTGTAACCCTTCACCGATTTCGCAAATTATGTCAGAGAGCGAGCGGAAGAGTGCGGCCGATAAATCTGTCTTACGAGCCGTTGAGAGGACCGGGCGGGCTTTTCTCGCGTAAACGAGGAATTGAAATGAAAAAGCGGCGACACGTCTCTCCGAGAAGTCTCTCATCGGGCTTAAAGCCGAGCTTCGCTTGCACAAGTGAAAAGCGACGACCATCGCGCGTAGGATGGCGCGGCGATGGCGCGTACAAAAACATCGGTTTCGCGGCACAATGGGCGCGCGAAATCCTCGCTCGTTCTCTCTCTAAGGAGGCGCCTCTGCGAGTTCCTTCGCCACGCAGATTTCCGCGACAGGGGGTGGGCGGGCGGTTCTCTCGTCGAAACGTAAAACCGGGGCTATTCGGCGCGCTCGACGGCGCACAAAGGGGTTAAGTATCTTATTACGTCGGCGGCGGCGAAATGCGTGATCTGTCTCGCGCGCAAAAAAAAAACCCGACCGTGCAATAAATATATCTCCGGAGGGAAGCGAAGAGAGCTGCTCCCGCTGGGAGGGTGCGGAGAAGGAGCACGAGGATCCGAATGGCTGGAGAGGGGGATGAAAGGACGAAGATCATGGACGCTTATATTGTGGACGATAAAAAAAAAGAAGATGTCGTCGTCGATATCGTCGGTACGATGACGACAACCTGGACGTCGCCGCGCGGGAGAGGAGGAAGGGCGCTTATCGAGCTTACCTTGTCGCTCTCGCGGCCGTGCGAGTCGTAATGGTCCTCGTCGTGTTTCGTACCGGCGCCCTCCTCCCGGTGTTTGTCGTCTGTTCGAATGAAAATGTAAATAAAGCATCTAAACCTGGACCGTCGTCGGTGCGAGAGAGAGAGAGAGAGAGAGAGAGATCTCCGTCGTTTAACGAGCTTCTCGATTTGCATGGAGAAGCCGAGATCGTTCATCGCGCGTGGCGGAGGCGAAAAGTTTCTATCGTGTGGTGTAAAACACGTGCACTCTCTCTTCTCTCTCGGCTCTCCCTTATTGCCCTACCGAGGTGCCAAGGTCGCCTGCTCGTGTATTCGGAGATATTATTCCTCTCTCTCCCGGGAGCAAAATGGACGTATCGTGTCGGAGGTGAGAATTAACTGTCCTCGCTTGCTCGATAAAAAGCAATAACGCACAAGGGTCGCGCAGGCCGTTGCACCCCCGCGGGAACTTTATTATCAATCGCTATTACGACCCTTTATCTTGTCGAAAGAAAATAATAAACGAGAAAACATCGTCCCGTACGCTTGATCACGCGAAGGAGCGCTTATGGATCGATATGTATCACATCGGAATGAAATGCCGAGCGACAAAATGTCGATTGAATTGCAGTTTTAAAAATACGTGAAAAATGGAGGGAGAGAAAGAGAGAGAGAAAGAGAGACCGTATAGAAAGAAAGGAAATGGACGACAGGAACAGCCAGCGGTTGGAAATTAAAATGTAGCGTGTATATCCTTCGAAACGACGCGGTGTTCGATCACGCTTCTAATTCTCCGGCACTTATGAATTAGCACGACCGACGACGACGAATCCGCGTAAACCATCGAGTGCTTTGTCCGCGCGCGATTAAATTTCCGGTCGTCAAAAACGGTTATTTCACCGACATTTCCGACAGCGTGTGATAACAATAACGTCGGCATGCATATATATATATATATATAAACGAAATTTACCCGAGATTTTTTAGCTCGGGTGAATACTCTTCAAACATATTTGGTTCAAGATATATCACATATGCGATAACACGAGACACGTTATGAAATATTGCGGAAGAGATACACACCTCCGTGATGCGTGGCGTCCGTCTTCAGATCATCAGAGTATCGAAATCCGGCCGGGACCTTGCTGACCTTCCTGACCACCGGCCAAGCGTCGAGAAGGTTTGCCAAGGTCAGCAACAACCACAGTATCTTCAACGCGCCGACACACGACGACGACGATGACAATGGCGACGTCATTTCGGTATCGTTCCGAGCGCGCGCACGCACACGCGAGGAATAAGAGGTGAGCTTCGGAGATTTGCAGGACGAACCGGAGGACAAGGATGCGACGGGTCACTGAGACGCACCTGCGAACGCTACGCGGTTTTATTGCGCGAACGCTTCCGAGAGTCGCCCCTTTTTCCTCGTCGTCGTCGATCGCGAGGTTTTTCCCGTTGAAAGGACTTCCCTCTTCCGGACGGACTCGGGATGCGGAAGAGCGGAAAAAGAGACGCGCCTTCGTCGCTTTCACTTCGTCGTGCTTGTTCTTCGCGGCACGAGAGCGAGGATAAACCAGCAACGAAGCGCGACGTGCATATATCTTGCAGTCTTCTTCTCTCTCTGTCTCTCTCGCGTCTTCGATCGTAAGCTCCTTAGTTCGCGATTTATCGCCGTCGATGCGCGGCTATTTTGACGGGTGATTTACTCGTTCGTTCGCGCGCGACTCGCGCGCGTTTTTCACTCGCAAATCGCCGGCGCGAGCCTCGCCGCCCATTATTCATCCGGCGGGTGCACTTTTGATTGCGCGACTCGTTGCCGCGACTTCGAATTTATTAGCGCACTTCTGCGACGCTCGGCGTAATTTTTTCAGGCACGCGCGTTGTTAACAGAACTCGATCCGGCTTGTAATTTATCGGCGCGCCCTGCCACTGCAATTTCCTTTCGTCGTCGCGTGATTCATCGGCGCGTTGTTCTCCCTCGAGAACACTCAGCCATATTCGCGATGCGACACTCGAAGATGCCGCGGAAGCGAAACGAGAGAGTGAAACGCGACGAAGGTATGCCGATCGGGTGAGAGAGGAAGCGACGTGGATGGCTCAATGAATACCGAATACCGGATCCCGCGTGATGCAGCAGCCATTAGACAAACATCCGCGCGCAACCGTGACCGAGAAGAAGAAAAGGAAGCCATCGTGTAAACAATTACCGGAGTCACTTTTACTCCGACCTCCCGCCGACTTTTCTACCCCGTTTCTCTCTCTCTCTCTCTCTCCTTCGTCTTCTGTCGCAATTAGGATTATTAATCCGCGTGTCGCCGAGACCGTAAGCTGTAGGTCGTGTGCGTTTTCTCGCGTTTCCGCCCGGCGACTCAAATGTTTCCCTGGCGTGAAACTATTGAACGCGTCGCGCCAATGGTGCTTGAAATGTTTGCGCAACGTTCCCGCGTCCGCGCGATTTCAAATATCGATGCGAACCGCTGCATATTTCAACAGCTGCGCCCGATTTCTATTCCAATGTCACGGCTTATGCAGGAGAACGGCGGGACTCGGAAACAGGCGAAACATATTCGTCGCGAACTAAGCTCGGGAGGATGCTTAAAAATTCAGCGAGCCGCGTTCCGATACGGCCGATAATCTCCCACGGTAGTTTCGCATCTGCAAATCGGCCGGAGGAACGATCTCGCAGTGAGCGAGAAACAGATTACATTTCGATGACGTTGGCAAACGAGTTTCTGATTTTATTTCTCAATTTGTAACTTCCTTACAAACGCTTGAAAAATAACGCGAGATGAGACGCCATTTCGTTTGAATATTATGATATTAGTTACATATTAGTTATGTAATATATGTAAATTAATGATATTTAATACTAATAAAAGTCTGCAATTATATGTTATGAATTTTACAAACGTTTAAAAAGATACTACCGAAATGAGATACGCGATTTTGTTTGAATATTAATTGTATATTTAAACATTAATATTTAATAATTGATAATACTTAATATTAATCAAAATGTTGCAATTATGTGTTGGGATATGTCATTGCCGTCGGGGTCGTCGTCAGGGCTGTCGGAATATTATGTAATGCACAAGACGATATGGAATTATCCGGCTTAGCGGCTACAACCACCATCGTCGGCGGCGGTCTAATCGCTTCGTGTTGACATTCCTTCGTTTCGGCGAACCCCGCCGTGCTCTTATTCCAAGTGCAATCCATCGAGCCGGCTAACAAGATATCGGTAAGCAAATTAAAATCGACCATGCGCGGGCGCACATGATCAGATAACGACGGTTGCGCCGACGGTGGCGCACATCGTCGACATCGTCTGCGACCCGTTGGACAAATAAGGTCTGGGTTAATACGCGTAATTCGATTTTCATCATCCCCTATATAATCGCCGTCACGTTCCGCTCGCACGAGGGCGAAACAACACTTCGCCGTCGAAGGGTCGTTTCCGAGCTCCGCCGACCGAGTCGTTTTTCCCCGTGAGGACGCTTCTCTTCGTTTCGTCAGGGACTCGGGGGGACTCGGTGCCTCGTAGTTACTCGTGCCGGTGAAGGATATGGTCGTTCTCGGTGAGAACGCAGTTGAAGGCAGTCAGGACAGCCACAAGTGAGAATCGGAGGCTCAGGATGAACGACGTGCAGAACGAGGACATGGAGGCCGCCACTCAGGACACGGGCAACTACGTGCTTCGTCTTCCTCGGTCGCTCAATCTCGAGGAGAAGAAGTACCTGTTGGCCGTGGAGAGGGGCGATCTACCCAATGTAAAGAGGCTGCTACAGGTTGCGAACAAAGGCAAGGTAAACACGGGTCTCCCAATTTGAGAAGGGACTTGCGCGAGATTAAAGCACCGTGGGAATAAAGTGTCACTGCGTATCCTTAAAAGCGTCGAAGTGGCGTCAAAACTTCGATTTCGCTCACTTCGCTATTCAGGTGTTTTTCAAATTGCATGGATACTTAACTAGCCAAATATTCGAGCTTCGATTATTTATTCTTCTTATTGCCGAAGCTGAGTTAACGATGATCGCTTTTCTCGGATGGAATCAGAAAAACTCATCGGGATCGATAGCGTCTACCTTTACCGAGTGAAATTTCAATTAACGTTTAAACGCGAGCGCACACATCGAGGACGAAATTCTGAGGACGGTGCGCGGATAAAAATTGTAGGGGCAATTTCGCAAGATTGGCGCGCTTCACGACGATCGCTGTTCGTGATGGAGCCTGACCGTTTCAGGGGAGACCGCTGGACATGAATTGCGTGGACAGCCTGGGTCGCGGTGCCTTAACGTTGGCGATAGAATCGGAGAATTTAGAAATGGTCGAGTTGCTGGTTGTGATGGGAGTCGAGACCAAGGACGCCCTGCTCCACGCCATTGATCAGGAATTCGTGGAGGCGGTCGAGCTGCTGTTGGAACACGAAGAACTTCTTACGGCGAACCAATTGATTGAACAAGATTGTGAGTCAACCTCGATGGCCCTGAAACGATAGCGCGCGCGGTGCGACCGTTTCGCCGGTCGCGAAACTTTAATCATCTCAATTATCGCGCGTGGGCGGGTTGCGACGAGCGATATTCGATATGCGCTGGAAATAAATCCGCTCACCATTAAATAAAAAATTAAATAAAATTTCGAATGATTTCATATTGCGTCGAAAGGGAATACACGCGTTTGGATTGGCTATAAATTAAATATATTTACGGAATTACCTGCAAAACAATTAGCACCTTAATCAAATAAACTGTTATTTATCCGAAAATAAATGTCTTCCGTTGCTTCTGGTGACGTTTTCCTTTTTTTTAATTACGCTGCCATCATACGGTAATAATATTTAAGATAAACTTCAACAAATTTGAGAAAGTTAAGTTAGAATTTAAATTAAAACTTAAGTTAGAGTTAAACATTTTATTTTCTCATATTGAAAGCGACTACAGAGGTGCATTTTCAAACAAACAGAAATTACTTTATTTCAATTTTTAGTTTCTCAGAAAAAAAGAAGAGAGATTGCGCAAATACTTCTTATTTTAGGCTTGTCCTAAAATAAAGCTTCCTCGCTTTCTCTCTCTCTCTCTTTCTCTAATTCCGTCACACCTTTCAATCTGTAGCGGATAAGGAGATTATACACAGCTGGCAGAAGGTAGACGCGGCATCGGCTAGATATCCGGTGGACATGACACCCTTGGTGCTCGCGGCGCAACGCAACAATTACGAGATCCTGAAGCTTCTACTCGACAGGGGAGCCACCCTGCCGATGCCGCACGACGTGAGGTGCGGCTGCGACGACTGTCTTCAGGCGGCTACTTGTAAGAGAGCGATACCGAAGAACCCGATTTATTTTCAAAGAGAACCATCTATATACCGTTGATTCAGTCGTGTCTTAACATATCGTATCATATTGTATCATATTATATCAATAATTTCCTAATTAGCCGAGCAAATATCGGGACAATGGTAAGATTGAAACTCCTCGTAGGCGACCCGTTGAGATTATCGTCCACCAGGATCTCCGAGTACAAAGCATTGGCCAGTCCAAGTTTAATAGCGCTGAGCTCCAGCGATCCTCTGATGACCGCTTTCCAGCTGAGCTGGGAGCTCAGGGAGTTGTCAGTATCGGAACCGGAAAGCAGAGCCGAGTACTTGAAACTGCGGCGGCAAGTGGAGAAGTAAGTCGTCGCGAGGGAAATTTTGTCCCGCGGAATAGTACTTTCGCGTTTTTTCGACGTGAGTTTTTTCTCATGATCGTCTCGAACAGATTCGCCGTGGACCTGTTGCAACACGTGCGGACCACCACGGAGCTGGACACCATTCTAAATTACGATCCCGAGGAGAAAAACGCCGAACTCAGCAAACAGCTGGCTCGATTGGAACAAGCCATAGAGTACAAGCAAAAGAGATTCGTCTCGCATTCTCACGTTCAGCAACTGTTGGCGGCGATTTGGTAAGCCGAACGTCTCTCGAAAGCTGTGTATGTTAACACACCGTCAACCGATCGGATAGATAGACTATTTTCTCGATGATCGTTGATCGACCGGTCAACTGAAACTTTTGATGTGATTCTGGAGAAAAATCATTAGTTTTACTTTTAGATTTTATTATATCAATTCCCATGCTGCATGAGAATTTCAAAAATTATTAAAGTTATTATTAAGGTCAAGATACGTTACTATTTACGAGATGTGTGGTTTTCAAAGTCTGTTAAGGCGTGACTCGCGCGATGCGTTAAGTTGGTGTGAAAGTTCCACTATGCTCGCCGAATGCCTACGAGTAAAATCGAATAAAATAAAACATCGGTATCTCTTTTCAAACGGCTGATAAAAACTCCTCCGTTTCTTTCTTGGCATCGAAAATCGATAACTTTTTGCGCGTCGAAACTCAATTAGAGAAACGTTCTTTCACAACCGACTACCGAGACACGAACGTAACATTAATCATACAAAATTCTTGAGAGATACCTTCCAACCTTTCGTTAAATCGACTTAAATTCGAAGGTACGAAGGCGTGCCCGGATTTCGAAGAATGTCCACCACGCAGAGAGTGGGTATCCTCCTAAAGACGGCGGTCCTATTTCCCTTTTTTTGCATCATGTACTACTTGATGCCCGAGTCCAAGACCGGCCGGCTCATGCGAAGACCCTTCATGAAATTCCTCGTTCACGCCTCGTCTTACTTGTTTTTCTTGTGTGAGTGTGAAAACGTCGTTCTCGCGACGTCGGTAATAGAAATCCGTATTTTGCGGGACGAGAGGAGGTAAACGCGATTACCCAAGCGATACGTTTGCAGTCGTACTCATGCTGGTGTCGCAGCGTGCGGAAGTCGAGATTGTCAGACTCCTGGGCACTCAGGAAATGAAGAGAAATCTGGAGGCTTATTTGGCGAGGCAAAGAGGCGCCGCCCCTACACCTCTGGAAGGTATCGTCGTGCTGTACGTCGTCGGATTCGTGTGGGAAGAAATAAGAGAGGTGGGCGCGCTTGGAAAAATCTCATTATTATCGTAATCATTTGCGTCCTCAACTATATCTTCTCCTGGTTTTAATCGTCCCGGTTGTAAGCTTTCCGAGCTGAAATCGGATTATTCCTTCAGATCTGGAGCGATTATTCAATCTGAATACAGAAACTTCCAATAGTTATCAAATAATTATATAATATAAATATAAATAAATAATATAAATAATTCTATTTGACGCGAGCATCGACACTGACAGTGAATACTTATTAGAAAAATGTCTCTTCCGATCGTAATTCTTTCGCTTATACAATTATAGTTACGAATACCAAGGATTTTTTCTAACTGCAAGCTCTGCACGTGTGATTTGTTTTTTTTTTCCTGGTGGCCGACAATCTTGCGAATTTTCAGGTATACGTGGACGGTCTGAAGGCTTACTTGCGGGACATGTGGAACTTCATCGACTTTACGAGGAACATGCTGTATCTAGCGACCGGCCTTCTCCGGCTGGCGGCTTATCTTCAGCAACGCGCCGAAATAGGAATGGACCCGTCCGCCGCGCTGATACCGCGGGAGAACTGGGGCGACTTCGACCCACAGCTGATCGCGGAGGGCCTCTTCGCGGCCGCAAATGTCTTCAGTGCTTTGAAGCTTGTACATCTCTTCAGCATCAATCCCCACCTGGGACCTCTTCAGGTATCGCGCTCGTACAGTCAGTTGCAAGGGATTCGCGTAATGTGTCTTTTTTCTTTTTCTTTTTCTTTTTCTATCGTTTTTAATAATTTTCGATCGTTTTCTTATCGTTTGTTATCGTTTTGGAGATAAACGAAATCACGAGGATGATCACAGGATCGTTTCACCTATGTTCTCAGATTCATCGAAATGAAAAATACCGCTAGAAAAATTAAGAGTCTTAAACATATAATCGAAGTTAAATATAATTGTAGCTTATTATAGCTTAATATTTACACTAAAGAATTGCAATCGAAAGGATCACTTTTATTGTTTCTACATCCTTTTTATTATTATCTACATGAGATTTCCTACATGAAATTACGTCGATCGCTGTTTGAGAAACTTAATTGTACTTCGGTTATATTTTTAGTTTCTCTTTATTCTGAAACATATCGCGTCAACGTTTGCACATGCAGATGAAGAATCACCTGAGATATCGATATAATTAATACCGATATGGATATTTTTTTACCGTGACGGTATCTCGCCGAGAGGAACCGCAACCCCGCGATTTCTGTCTAGATATCACTGGGCAGGATGGTGATCGACATCGTCAAGTTCTTTTTCATCTACACCTTGGTATTATTCGCCTTCGCCTGCGGCCTGAATCAACTTCTGTGGTATTTTGCCGAATTGGAGAGGCAGAAATGTTACAGCGGAATGTTGGATCCCTCGTGGGACGCCGGCAGTGACGCCTGCTTAAGATGGAGAAGGTGAATGGAATAATCGAATTGCCAGACACGGATGAGAGACGTGTCCCGTCTTCTCCGCGTTTCGGGCCGAGTTTCCGGCAGATCTATCTGTCACCTGATAATCATAAAAACGAATAACAGACCGCACGCACAACCTTTCAGTCTTGTAATATCGAGTGGATGAATTGTTGATTAAGGTAGCGCAGAACCGATAATACGTATAATAAATTCGTCGGGAATACACAAGCATATATAAAAATCGCATCTCCTTTAAAGAATCTTCTTGAAGTTCAGGTGACTTTCAAAATTTTGCCTCTACACTCGACCTTAATTTTTCGACGTTTCCGGATTCCAAGGGACTACGCCAGATTTAATTTAAGCTCTTACTTTGCTTCTCGAACAAATAATAATAAATAGGCAAGTATGAAAGGAGATTTAATCGTTTTAATCGTTAATTGTTAAAGATTACTTAGAATCAAAGAAAATTGATCCAACCGTGTAAAGCATCAAAGTGAATCGAACGATGAAAAATTGTGGTTCATAGTACTGAGCGAACTTCAAATCGGCCTAAGACCGAAAGCATTTCGCGAAGACTTTTCAACGAATTTCTCACGAAATGTCCCCAGATTCAGCAACCTGTTCGAATCGTGCCAGAGTCTCTTCTGGGCCAGTTTCGGCATGGTCGGCATCGAGACCTTCGAACTTACCGGTAATACAACTGTAATACGTGTTGTAAATATGAAGTCGATATTCATCCTTCGTCATTCGTCAACGGAGGAAATACAGTAAAAAATTGCGTGTTATTTCAACACGAAGAATGCGTTAAAAAGTAAACAAATATGTGTTAAAAAATACACAAATATAATATTAAATTAATACATTCCTCATGTTGACGTAACAATAAAATTTCAGTGGACTAATCGCGAAATTGTCCACTGTGAATTTCTAAACGCCTACCGCCGCTCATCGTCCGCGTTACTTTCAGGAATCAAGTCGTACACTCGATTTTGGGGCCTGCTAATGTTCGGATCGTATTCCGTGATCAACGTGATCGTCCTGCTGAATCTACTGATAGCCATGATGAGCAACAGCTACGCCGTTATTGAGGTGAGCCCACGCAAACGATATTCGTGACCCGAATGAATTCAACGTCAACGACGATCGCGCTGTCGACGTTGCAGGAACACTCCGACATCGAGTGGAAATTCGCGCGGACGAAGCTCTGGATGAGCTACTTCGAGGACACCGGCACCCTGCCGGCGCCCTTCAACATCTTCCCGCCTCCGAAGTTGCTCTTCCGGCTGTGCGGTCTGCGGAAGAAGCCGCTCGGCAGACGCTGCAGCCAACGTCGACGAGCGCGTGAATACAAGTGAGATATCCCGCATATTTTCCTATTTTCCCGTTTCCTCGAAATTATTCAGGTTGCAACTTGTTGACCCAAGTGTGAGGATTGTTGTTAGTTGCGTGTACCTCGTGTTGATTACCAGGTACGGAGCCGTTATGAAAGCCCTGATATGGCGCTACGTTGTGAACGCGCACAGCGAGCACGAGATGGAACCCGTCACCGAGGACGACGTCCACGAGCTCAAGGCCGACCTGTCGTCCTGGAGATGCGAGCTTCTGGACGTCCTGCAGAAGAACGGCATGAACATCGGCGACGTGGACATGAAAGAGAAGAGTGAGCGTCTCCCCCGTAGACAACAACTCTCCTTCGACCGTGGAAAATATCAAAAGAGAGAGCTCAGAAGAAGTCCGGCCGACCTGCAACATTATTTTTTGCAACTCGCCAGACGCTTTTTTGTACCACCGTCTGCATTGGCGGAAGAAATAATGGGACTACTACATCTATAAAAAGTTATCCGACGAGGCGCAAAGAATAATATTGCGGACCACGTCGGATCGATTCGGGCTTGATTCAAAGGGTAGAAATGAAATTCAAGTATTCTCGCAGAATTTCAGTTCGCTCACATAACATGCTTCTTCGAAACTGTCCAGCTGTACTCGGTAAGAAGATGAAGATCTGGGAAAGAAGGTTGATGAAGGACTTCCAAGTGGCGGGCCCCGTGAATGCCGCTGAAGCCGATCTCCACGAGGAAATAGCTCTCCAGCAGCCCGAGGATGAGAACAATGTCGAACGATGGAAGAGAATCGCGAAACTGGCCGTGTTGACCTCGACCGAGCGCCGTTGGAGTCAGGTGTGATTATTTCTGCTCTGCCTTTCGCCGAAAAGAAAAGAAAGCGAAAACGGGAGGGATCATCGTGAGAATTATCGAGCGGTAATTTGGCACAGGTGGTGAGGAACGCCGTGAAGAGTTCTCAGATCGGCAGGAGCACCAGCAAGGCGTCGTTGCAGAACCAGCAGAGCCTGAAGAGAGCCATGGAGGAGGCGAGGCGTATCGCACAGAAGAGCCCGTTGTCGCCCATCGTGCCGGTCCAATTGCCGGAGACCACGGCGGCGACGATACTGCACGTTCTGCACGACATCGTCGAGACCGACGACGTTGATAAATTTCCGGAACCTCTCGGAGATGGCACCCAATGCTTCAAAGCCATGCCACAGGTGTCGAATCTCTCGATGAATCTCCGCGTAGATTTACCACATATAGCTCATATATTGCAACGAGAGGAAAGAATGATCGATCTCTCGCTGAAATTATTCATTTATTTACTCATTTATATATTATCGATCATCTGATGAACTTTTCGCTTTTAACTTTTCAAACTCCCTTCTTATCACAGCCGAAATTCGATTCTATCGACAAGACCACCGTTGCGAAAGCTACGGCGCCGTTGTTACCGCTTCGCACATCGCCACCGCGAGTGATCAAACGAAAGATGGCGGCGCCCGTTCCCAGCGCTCAACCATCGACCGGTAACCGTTCCCGTTTTCCTACAAAATCCGAACGTCGCGTGTAACACGACACTTTTATCGTTCCTCCAGGGCAACCGTCAACTTCCCAGCTGTCGGCTACGACAATCCCGACTAATGCGGCCGCTGCTTCCGCTGGCTCTGCCAAGGCGGCTTCTACGTCTGCTGCCGCCGGTACAAGCACGACTGTCGTTAGCACCACCGCCGCGTCTACCGTATCTGCAGCTTCTGCGAAGACCACCGACGCAAAGACCGCTTCTTCTGCTACCGCGAAATCCACCGCATCCACCGTCAGCATCGCCACCACCACCACCGCCATCTCCGCAGCCGCTACTTCCAGCGCCGCAAGGACTCCCTCCGGTTCTACCGCGGAATGTCGAGGCAAATCTTCCGCCGCTGGGAGCGCAGCTGCGGCCAGCGTCAAGGATGACGGCAGTTCGGTCAGAGCGCGTCCGAAAGTTTCGCACAGCCCTAAACTCCCAACTATGCCGTCGTTGACGGTCATCACGAGCAGCGGCAAGGACAACGATCGCGAGAAGCTCGTCGACATTATGCCGAAATCGCCGCACGGTAGATCGTCGAGAGGAGGATGGCTTTGAACGTACGGCTGTAAATAAATGTTGAAATCATTAGGACGATTTTGTCGCGATTTCGCGTTGGTGAAACTCGGAAATTAAGAGGAAAAAGAAACACGATCGTTACATTACGACAGGTTGAGTCGTTATCATCGCTGAAGATGCTTCGAAAGTAAGGCCAGACGTTCAACAACGTTTAACAATGTAAACTTCTACGTCCTGTTACATTAATATTAAAATTCACGTATCTCCAATTGTATTGCCTTTTACTTTATTTTAGGATTAATCGTCCTAGCAATTATTATACAACACGAAGAAGCGTTGTCACCTGGCTTACGATAGCCAAAACCAAAGCCGTTGTTTGAGCATGACGAATTTATTAATTATAATCTACGAAGAAGAATTTGCACTTCTTCGTATTGTTCTACTATTTATTTATAAATAACTGTTGCTATATTAGCAATTTGGTATGCGACGCTGGCAGGTTCAGAGCGAGCCAGGTTGGACTTGACAGAAACAAAGTTAATAAAGGACTGCGTCTGTCTTTGCAGAAAACCAGTGCGAAAGTTGGCGATCCGAAAGAAGTCAATGCAGTCGAAAAGGTTTTCCGCAAACGTAATCGGAGGTAACGCGTCTCCGGGGTGACAACGTGAATCATGTGGACGTTTTCATTCATGAATCGAAAAAGAAATGTTAGATCTACCTCGTGATCGCCGCACACGGCGAAAGGTGCAACGAGTGCGGAATTGCACCGTTGGTCTGGTTTCCTTCGCGCGATAGAATTGATGGTTAGACGACGGGGTTTGATCAATCGCGGTCTATTACCGGTAAGCGTTATTCTACCTGTCGCCTTTGATGTCGCGAGCTCGTAACAGATGTCACTGTAAGCCGTTTCGTGGGAGTGCTTCTCCGTGCGACTTTTCAAAGCTATGTCGTTCGAACCGGTGATTCGGGTCGCGGCGGGAACTACGGTGTCCGGTTGAATTTCAGAGAGCGTGTGTGCGAATCGATAAATCAAGTATTATTCGAGATACATCTCACATTTTTTCGTTTACCCACGCTCTGCCTTCAAGGATCTCTGTACAGGAAAAATATAGTCTTAAATCAACAACAGGCATATTCTCGTATATAAGCGAAAATATAATATTCTTGGGAGAATTTTAGTCTGAAATTGAGTGGAAGAATCATGAGAAAATGTCGTATTTCACGTACGCGCACCGGACGTGGCGATAATAAACCCGGCGCCCCGAAGAGACGCGCCGTGGCAAGCCAACGCCGTCCCTGTATGGGCACCGAAGTAGGGTCGGGTTTCGACGGGTCGTTCGTTTCTCTTCGTGGCCCATGCGTGCCAGACAAGGAGAGAGAAACGAGCCTGGGTGAGTCGGCACGGAGCAGAGGCCGAGGAAGGGTGCGCGGAGCGTCGATGCCTTCCAACATGGCACTGGCGGCGGACGCGCCGGGTCGCGCTCGAGTACGCGAACAATGAGAGCCGATAGTGTATCGGGGGTGCATCGGTGTTGCTAGACGGATCAACCTTGCGGGAGCCTCATCCGGGTGCTTCAAGTGCTCGAGGAGAGTCTTGGGTGAGCGTGTCGGACTCATCGAGAAGGAGAGTCGCGTCGGAAAAGAGAGAGAGAGGGGAGGAGAGGGAGAAAGAGAGCGAGTGGAAAGAGAAACGGAGCCATGTCGCGGAGTCACACGGGGCAGGGAGAGCAGGCCAATCCGGTGGCGGTCATCCTACCCCATGTCGAGTGACAGGCTGCTTACGTAACGGATTATTCTCGCTATGATAACGACACTCCAGGCGCGAAGGCGACACGAGAGGAAGCAGCGGATCGTCATCGTCGCCGGGAGAGCCGTCGCGGCGGCGCAGCGCGCGACCCCGACAAAAATACACCGCGGCCGACCCGGATCCCGCTATCGCCGCCTCTGATACCGAGAGAGCGTCGCGACGCCCACCTCGCGCGTCCGCCGCGTCGCCGGGAGACCTGGGGCTGTACGCGGAAGTGTCTATGTGTGACTGCGAATTATGACAGCGGCGATCGTCATGGAAAACGTTAATTGGGACCCTGGTAAGTGCGAGCGGAACCCGCGAGCAAAGGGGAAAGAGAACCCGATTCGCGAGGTTCAAAAGAGAGCGGCGTCGGGAGTCTTCACGTGTTCTCGCTGGCGCATCGAAATCGAGGGTGGTGGTGGTGGTGGTGGTAGTGCCGGTGGTGGTGGTGGTGGCAGTGGTGCTCGAAGAGCGAAGTTTTCATTCCGATTAACTCAAATATCGCGATGTCGTGGCGGCAACGACGTTAAAGATGACGACGACGATTCTTCCGCTTTGCGAAAGACGAGAAGAGAGTATTTCGGGGGGGGGGGGGNGGACTGGACAGTCCTTGGAGTCTTGCGTATTAATAAAACCGCGCGCAGGGCATTGTGCGTTGTAAATATAGAGCGCACGAGCCGGAGTAAATAAACGCGAGTAACACAACGGGATCTCCACGATAAAATCGCGGCCTGAGGGAACGCCGGAGGAAGAGAGCGATTGTTCGTCGTACATTTCCGCGTGCTCCAGTTCGCCGAAAGGAAAGGAGGCCTCGCACCAGAGAGAGTACTTTGTGCTCAGAAATTAATTTATCGATCGGCACCGTAAAGGTGACCTGGGAACAGCCGTCGCTTTTAGGTTGGGAATAATTGCGGTAGAAACGCGAGGGTTAATTAGTCCAATTTTAGAACCGAATCCTGGTGATCCGGTGTCACGCTTGCGTTTACGCAGCTACCGGTGAAATTTGGCTACGGCGGTAATTAGCGACCTCGTAAAACTAACGCGGGCAATCGGGACGCGACTGAAACACAAATTTTGACTAATGTTTCAGTGAAAAGTCCGTTTTAATTGGCATAACTGATGAAATGGTTGTATACAAGCCGAATTCTGATTCTGTAATTCGAATGATCGTTGTCAGTTGCTGAATCTCGCTTTCATCTGTTTCAGCATTGTCCAAGCTGCTGAACTCGCTGCAAGAGAGCAAGTCGGAGATACCCAGCTGCACCGAGGAGGAATTCGGCTTTCTGAGCGAGCTGCTGCAATCGAAGGAGCTGAACGCCCTGGTGAACGTTCACAACAAGATCCTGAACAATGTCAAGGATGACAAGTTCTTTCCCGTGCTGTCCAACTCGATGGATATCGACGTCGATGTTCTCGATCTGCTCTCGACCAAGACGCACGTATCCGCCGAGTGCAAGGAACTCTTTCACTTGCTGCAGAAACCGCATATCCAGGTATTAAAGGCGGCTCAAGGAGCAACTGAATAAAATACTCTTTCTACCCTTTTCTTATCTTTCGTGACGTATAAGATGAATTATGAAACATTCACGGCGTTCTCCGACAATGTCGCATCTCGATTCGCTATTAATATGTCGAATAAAAAATTACCGACCTTTCCATTTCGGTTCGCGATTTGAGAAAATTGTCCCTCGAGCAACCGACACTCCCGAAAAATATCATAATCCGACTGACTCGTTATCGTCAAAGGGTCTCCTATGCGCGCACGACGCGGTGGCTCAGAAAGACTACTACCCGAGGCTACCGGACATCCCGTTGGAGGTGGACGAAGACGAGGAAACGGTGAAGATCGTGCAGCTGGTGAAGTCGAACGAGCCCCTGGTACGTCAGATCGATCGTAGAGTCGGCATTTGAGTAACGGTGTTTTTCTTTGAACGTCTTTCACTCGATTAACCCGAAAGTGAGAGCGAGCGAGAGCGAGGGTGCGAGGGAGAGAAAAAGAGCTTACATAACCTTCGATGGTTGAGTAGTAAATTAATCGAGAGCGCGTGTACGCGTGTGTAATTCTGCGTCACGAAGAAGGCGCGGGAAAAGTCGAAAGACAGAAGGGAAATGCCGCCAGAAGGGGAGAAAAAAAAACGATTTCGTTCCTCCGCCCGCACACTTTTCCGTATTTGACGCGTCGCCTTGCATGAGACGCGAGGAACTGCTCCCCAGTATCGGCGTAGACAGGCGAGCCACGTACTACTACTACTACATGCGTAGTTTCCGATCTTTTGCCAATCGAAAGTAGATTAGCCTCACACGAGAGTACGTGCGAAAACAAAAGAGTACGAACGAAAGAGAAAAAAAAAAGAAGGAACGAAAAAACACTGTCTCAAGTAATCACGTGTTTCTTTCATCGTCAAACTTGCTTCGAAGGGCGACGCCGGCGTTGAACCGATCGTGGTAAGTCGCCTGAATGCCCGTAGACAACATGTTGAACCTGTGATAACACCTTACGTCGTACGACAAACCGCCTAGTACACCACACCCTGGTTCGCTAGCTACTTTTCATTTTGTTTCCTTTCATTTCGCCTCACCTTCGCGTCACCCGCGAGCGAAACCGGTGGAATTCGAGTCGACTCACACTCCTCCCGTTGTCGCAAACCACGTGGGAAATGCGGACGAAATCTGCGAATCGTGAGAATTTCATAATCGCGGGAATTCAACCGGTTTCACTCACCGCTTCAGCATAGACCTCTAGCCACCTTCGATCTCGAAATCGTTCGTTGCGATCACAGGACACGGATCACGCTGTACATACGAAGCGCTGTCTGTTCATCCTTTCCCTTCTCGCACGGACTTGTTAATCACGCTGGTTTGCCTCTGTTGCGTCCGCATATATGTTTCGTTGAATTGTTTTCTTATGGTTTGGCTTGTAAATAAAATCTGTTGTTACACTGTAATCCCTGTATCTGTTGTTATTGTCCCGCATGACCGTACTTTAAATACCGTGAAGTGCAAAACTTGCCCCTCCCGCCGAGCTTGCTCGAGATATCGCTATTTGAAAAGTAGATGTTCTGCATTACGGACCGAAACACCTACGTATGAAGTATTTCGCGTATATTGGAATCGAATATTTTTCTCTTCGAGCGATCGTCGTGTAAAATAAGGCCACGATATCGAGGGGTGACGTCGCGCACTTTGCGGTGGTATTTCTCGAGATGCGATTCGACACCTTCGGCACGATTTCGTTCGCGAGCGGAGTTTGGAATGCCTCTTTCTGTTGATCTCGAGAAACGTAGAGACCGATAAGGAAACGCACGACACGAGACTCCGGAAGAGACCGGACGAGAGACGCGTTCAATGGGATGTCCGAGAGAAAGGGAGAGCTATCGGATCTCTCTCGAGTACGTTTACGGCGGAAACATACCTTTCGGACGATCGTGTTGTTTGGAACAATTGTATCGGCGCGAATGCTCGTCCGAGTTTTCGCGATCTCGATGATACCCGGTGAAATCAATCGAGAGCAACAGGAAACGAGACGAACCCGCGCCGATCGCGACGCGCCTTCCCGTAAACTCGTCTTTATTTTTTTTTATTTCTTTTTTTAAGAAAAGAGAAAGAGCTAAAGAGAAGGCGTTTCCTAGAGAGTACGCGTTCGCGCGCGAGATGCAACGCTATGAAAATACTAGTTTACACCTTGACATTAGGGGGCGACCATAAAAACCTGCGAGGTCACCGGCAAGATCGTGATCGCGCGAATAATGCACGGCGGCGCGGCCGACAGATCCGGTCTCATCCACGTTGGCGACGAGGTCTGCGAAGTCAACGGTATCAGCGTCGAGGGGAGGACGCCCAGCTTCGTCCTGCACATTTTGGTAGGACAACAAATCTTTCCAACCCGCTGCAAACGAGTGTCGAGTTACCTCAAATTCTCGTTTGAAATTGATATCGTCGGGAGATAATTAATTCGAATTAATGGACGCTCGAATTCGAAGCAGGATCATTTCTGATAAGCCTGAAAACCTGGTCTAATCTAAGGAATAAATATTCCACTCTTAACGTGACGCAATATTTAATACAATGCATGACTCAAATACCGTCTCGGATTACCGGATAAACAGATCGATGCTATTAAAGAGCCCGGTGTAAATTCGATCTTTTTCAGCAAAACTCGGAGGGGACGATCACGTTTAAAATAGTGCCGGCGGATAGCAAGAGCGGGGTCAGGGAAAGCAAGGTGAGATCTGTGATAGTCTTGTATAATATTAGAGGCACTTTTATAATACTAGGGGCTTGCAAAAGTTCGTCAGATAGTCGATGATCTCATTGGCCCCGAAAGTGAGTGACTCTACTTACATGAAGCCAGATAGTTGCCTGAACAGTAACAGAAAAATGATTGAATAAGTGGCGGGTAACGATGGCAGAGGATTGACGGTTACTATGAAGTGCAGCAGAAATTTGACGAAAAATCCTACGAATTTTTGCAACCCTCAGTAGATTTGCAAAACGAAACCGCACTAAAAGAACAAAACTACTCTTCAGGTTCGCGTGAGGGCGCACTTTTCGTATGTAGCGTCCGAGGATCCCTACATCCCTTGCAAGGAAGCCGGCTTGGACTTCGTCAAGGGTGATGTCCTGCACATCGTCAGTCAAGACGACGCCTACTGGTGAGACGATTTGTTGCGTGTGAGACAGACTATTCGATCGCGTTCGCAGGAATCGTTATTGTCACGACGTTATGTTGAACGCAGGTGGCAAGCTAGACGGGAGGGCGACCGAAACATGAGAGCCGGCTTGATCCCTAGCAGGGCTCTTCAAGAACGTAGGATCCTCCTCGAGAGGCAGCAGAAAGAGAAGCCAGACGAAGATAATATAAGTATGTCAGATGGGTTTGTGTTCGCGCGGCGTAACTCGCTTGTCCTGGTCTCAGTTTGCAGTCGTTGCAATCGTTCATCATTCATCGAATCACGTAACATCATCATCGTCTCTATCATGCGCACAATTCTGTTCATACTGTTAGCGGCAGTTATCGATCGATGTTGCACGATGTCTCGCAAGTTATCGAATTTACCAAAGTAGAGTAGATACTCGGAACACTTTTGACGAGGAACTTCGTATGCGTCAAACTGAATTCTATCTCGTTTTCTCGAGGCGTTTGTTTCGAGTACGGTTGTTCACGAGAAAATCTAAAATAAGAAATACAATTCGAGAACTCTCCATCGGCGTATGCGAAGAGGTCAACGTGCTCCGAGAGGAAAACTCTGTTCTCGAGATTGGCATTGTTGTTAACAAGAGCTTGACACTAACACGACGAGTGGGAGGTAGCGATGTAGCATAATGAATTAATTGTTCGTTAGTAACCACCTCAAGTGTACCTTAGGACGCGTCAATGCTCGATCGTGTGTGCGCGCGGCAGAGCCCGAGGTGGTTACCCGTTAATTCGGTAAGCTGATCTCGGCTGCGCTTTCTTAACGGATGATGGCCTGACGACCTAACCGTCGGTTAGGCTTGTGTTCTGTTCCAGTGCCTTTGCCCGCATTGTGCCCCCGTCCCAGTACCTCTTTGCACGCCTCGCCCACAAAGTGCAACTTGCAGGGAATTAAAACTAAAAAAATCATGTATGACGCTGCAGAGAACGACGACTTCGACCGGGAAGAGGTACCGACCTACGAAGAGGTCGCGAAACTCTACCCCAGGCCGGGCCTGTACCGGCCGGTGGTTCTCATCGGGCCACCGGGGGTCGGTAGGAACGAGCTCAAGAGGCGGCTCATGGCGACAGACGCCGAAAAGTACAAGACTCCCGTGCCCTGTAAGTTTCACTGCCGGCGAGAACGCGCTCGATTCGTTAACAGAACAGTCAATCGAATTCATAATATCGAGCTAAGACTAATATATTTTATTTCGTTTCTTTCAGGTAATGCCTTACTTTTCCTCTTATTATTTCGTTATTTCTCTCTTTCCTCCGTATTATTTTATTTGCTGAACTTATCGTACCGAGAAAGGATATTTCTCGTATATAAATTAATCAATCAATCAACAAATGATCGTGCGCAGTCAACATAAGATTGACAGCCGAGTCAAACACGATTCGATGAATAACAACTGAATGGAAGCTAATAAAAAAGAGAATAATTGAAAGAATTATGATGATTGTAAACGGAAAAAAACATTATGATACGGCAATTCACCGAAACTAAGCTTCTGAACGGATCTTTTCTCAGATACATCTAGGCCACCGCGACCGGGCGAGGTAAACGGCAAGGAGTATCATTTCGTAACCCGGGAGAAGATGGAGGAGGACGTCGAAGCTGGCAAGTTCATCGAGTACGGCGAGTACAAGGGGAATCTGTACGGCACCAGTTCGGAGAGCGTGAGCTCGCTCGTGAACGCCGGCTACGTGTGCCTCCTGAATCCTCACTATCAGGCTCTCAAGATGCTGAGGACGCCGCAATTGAGGCCGTACGTGATATACGTGAAACCGCCGCGGTTCGAGGTGCTGAAGGAGACCAGGAACGAGGCTAGAGCCAGGTCGACCTTCGACGAGAACAACTCTCGAGGTTTCACGGTAAAAATTGCGGATCTTACTTGCCAAAATAACCGTCTCGCTTAGGAAATTCACGTTTACTCGATGCGAGATATTGGAGAGACACGCGTCGGTCGACACGACCGGCGTTAAACGTTTCGCTTTATCGGTGATTGCAGGACGAAGAGTTCAACGAGATCCTGCACAGCGCGGAGAAGATAGAGTTCCTCTACTCCCACCTGTTTGACGAGGTGATAGTAAACGCCGATCTCTCGATGTCGTTCGAGCAGTTGGTCAACGCGATTCACCGAGTGGAGTCCGAACCGCTCTGGGTGCCGGCCTCGTGGGTTCAATAAGACCGGTGCCCTTCGTTTCCGAAATCGAAGAGACAAAGCGTTGTGGAGGAACGGAGGAACCGAAAACGAGGGATCGTTTCGTTGCGGGAGACGCGCGATCGTTCGTAGCGGCTCCGCCGAATCGATCGAGCGTTTCTCGCGACGCTCGACGACGCTACTGCATCTCCTGCACTTCCGGTTATCCCGAGATACACCTCCTCGTCCACCCCCCTCCGCATTTCGAACCGCAGTTTACCACCTTAGACAGAGAAGGAAAGAGGAGAGAGAGAGAGAGAGGGGGGGGAGAGTAAATTGCGCCTTCAAACCCGTAGACATTTCATACCTCGAGCGCCCGTGAATCCCGATTCTTCGCTTCGTCTCGGCCGCGAAACGAATCGTAGACGAAAGTGAAGTCTTTTTTTATTACCGAATACCGCGTCGTTCGTTGTTGGTTTGGTCGTTCGTTCGCGACGGTGCGTCGATCGCGAGCGGAGCGAACGCGACGCGTGTCTCCTCGACGACGTCGTCGTCATAGTTAATTAGTCGAGCGCGAAAGTCGGAGTAATCTCGAGGACAAGCTCGAAGCGGTTCAAAGTCGTCCACGTCCCAAAGTCCTCGTTTCCCTTGTGACCGTCGGACGTCTTAGCGACGCTGCGCGCAATCGTTAGCACCTTTACTGCCAAGAAAAGCTTCGCCCAACGGCGGGAGATCTCGCGTCGTCGTCGTGTGCGCGCAACCGAGCGGCGAATACGAAAAGCTCCTCGGTTGCGTCGCGACGCGGACTCAGCCGTGAAATTCCACTCTCGAGGCCCGCGGAAATCTCGCGCGACTCGGGTTCAACGCTCGCGAAACGGCAGACTCGCGTCGAGTTTCACCTCGGGAGCTTCGCCGGAGAGCTGAGAGAGAAAGAGTCGCTTACGCGGACGATCTTTGATCTCGATTGTTGTTAATTGTTGCCAAATCAAGTATCGTACCTTATAGAACACGACACCCGGACAGTCGCTTCACACATACGTCAGAGACACACATATACACAAAAACTTACCGTATTTTCCACAGCGACGTACATCCCACATACACACACACACACACACACACACAGATACCGAGACGTTGCTATCTTCCTTTTTCCACGAGGAGGGAAGGAATGCCAACGTGCGAAAACGCGTGGAGGAGAAGAAGAAGAAGCTGTTCGCACTATCGAGTCGACGTTGCATAATTCATCCTTGATGTAAACTCTGTATGTTATCGAAATATAAGCATTAAACTTTCAACGCGTGTACGATCGCCCCTCTTTCTACCCGTGTCCCCAATCGCGATAGTAGACGAGGAATTCAATTAACTATAATTAACGCCGGTCAATATTGTCGCAACCGTTCCTATGTGCGCGGGTACAACTCGTTTCAAAAGCAGCTGGTCGCTTGAGCAAACCGAAAGAGAGAGAGAGAGAGAGAAGAAGCGAGAGGAAGAGGACTAAAATATTATTCCTTGGAACGCGTCTTCCGAGAAACTGTAGTAGATGTAAAATAGACGAGACCTTCGTGAGAGTCCAGTGACGGGTACTTGACGTCTTTCACATGCCTTCATTTCGAGCGCCGGTTTCTCTCCGCGTTCATTATTTCCAAGGTCAGTGTCAAGCGAGCGATGGGTCAATCCGCTCGACGATCCGTGAAAAAAAAAAAACAGAGAGAGACCGCAAACGGATCGAACGACGCGAGAGAAGCTTTACGTAAAAATAAGTGGCCTAGGCACAGTTGGCATCGCGAACTTTCGAAACTCCCGACGCGACGCGACCCGAAGAGAGCGCGCTTTTTTCCGCGCTTCTCGCTTCGCTCAACGCATAAATCGACGAAAGCCGCCGAATCAATCATTCTCCACTGCTCGATCTTTTTTCCGAATCCTATCCATTTCGTGTAAATCTCTACTTGGCAACATGCGAGCGCGTTTAACGACGGGAGGAAGAAACGTCGGACGTCTCCGTCGCCGGTTAAGGACTCTTTCCTCCGGCAATTAATGCACCATCCTCACGTTCGTGAAGAATCGCCGATGTCGAGGAGCGTGACGAGCATCCTGTCCGTGTCTAAACTGCGACTTGCACTCGACTCTGGCGGATTCTTCGGCGGGGCTTAATAGCCCGTCACGAGCAGGCACGGAAACCACTTCGCTCTTCGCGCCAACGACTTCCTCTCGAAATTACGGCTCCTTCATTGGAAGTGCCAGCAAATATTGATTCCCGTACGCGAGCGTGCACGCGCGAGAGGGAGAGTTCGCGCTCGTATCCGCTCGGCCTGAGATTTCCGAATTCCCGGCCAACTTTTCCCGCATGCACGGACTCGCCCCGCGTTATTTCACGTGTAATGCAATTTACGTGCGCGCATGCATTTCGTTATCGTTGTCTATCACCTCGTCTCATGCCGCTCGTTTCACGTGTCCGCATGATCGAACACACGGAATCCGTTACGGTACGCCGATATTACGTAGAATTGATATAAATCCACTTCGAATTTCGTCACAATTAATGTATCTCGCGCGATAACGCTCGAATTTCTCGCGTTGATTTCCGTTGATTGCACGAGCGCGCAACTCGGATGATTTAATTATATCATTATAATTTAGTACACACTAGATATACGATAAATAAATACGACTCGAGGCGTGTATCCTTCGATTCGTTTCCTGAGCTTTCCATTGGCCGCTACATTTATTTAACGTATTAATATGATACGGCTGAAGTTCGGAGTGATCTTCGAGTGAAGATGAAAAAAATGTTTTTTTCACGAGAACAGCGGAAGAAACTCTTATTTAGGACGCTCACGAGCCGTCGTCGGTTGAAAGCATCCTGACATTTACCATTATCTCGAGGCGAGGCATAAAATGATCCTCGTCTATTATCAGGGTCACGACGATGACGACGCGCGTCCACTCGACCGGGTCGGCCGGGCGAAATTGAAATCCCCGCGCGCCGGAACGGCGAGATTCGCGGCACGGAGTGCGAACAGTCGCGACTCGCGAACGGGACACTTTGCGGATCGCCGATCTATTTTTCTTAGTGCGAAGCGCACCGGCCGATCGTCGCGCGTCGTCGCTCTCTCTGTCTCCATCTCTCTCTTTTCGTCGGTCGTCTTTATCAATCGCCGGCGGATCCAAGAAACGCTCGGCAGAAATAGAATACGCGCCTCCTCGACGTCCTCGCGTTCTCGCCGACATTCGCACGGTACGCACTTGTGGCCGTGCGCGCTTGTGCTTGTCGTCTCCAGAAACACCACTTCTCGCCGCGGCCGCAGGTACAATGCGTTATAATAATTCGCGAGTGCCCGTCGTGGACGCGAGCCGCGCGCGCTCTTTTACGTGCTTCCGCGGCGCGACCGATCGCCGTAGATCGAGCGTGATCTGGAACCTCGTCGTCGAACCGACGCTGACAGCCGTGTCATCATCGATCGCGCGAGCCTCCCCGAGAAACGTAATGTAAAACGGCAGCCCTTCACCCGCCGAAGATTCTACGTCAACGTGATGACCACCGACCGGCCATTATCGCTGGCTGTCGAACGGAATGCGCTAGCCTAGACGGTAAGTTCGACTTGGGACGCGAAGCGAAAAGCTCAGCGAGTTCGTTCTCGCCCGTTGGACTTTCACCCTGACCTGCACTTCACGCTCCACCACCTGCGACTTGGCTAGCACGCGTCTCCCTTCTTCCTTCCTTCCTTCTGATTATTAATAAATGTTTGAATTTTCGCCGTAATATTCTCGCAAAACGAGAAACTCGACCGTCGCACGACGAACATTTTTGCGTAAATAACTGCAATTTTCGTCGTACTTTAACATGAGAATATATTGAAAAGTATATATTCGCCTTGTTAAAGTGATATCAACATTTCAGTAGACCGTAATTTACACGACGTTTTTTACCGTGTAGGTGTACGTAAAAATCGAATAAGAAGAATCGAGTCTCAGGGTTGCGCAATTGTTATTGCACGGAAAGTCCAATTCTCCCAACACGGAGGCATTCGGCAGTTTCCACTTTTCGCGAATTCACACTAAGGGGGAAGATTCATGATCGACCTTGCGATTTGAAATTGCCGAGATTACGCATACCCCCAACTCTCGCGTTTCAACACAACAACTTCAACGGCCGACAGACGCGGAGATTGAAGTAGATCCGACAAAGATATCGAGCGCAAATGTCGCCTCCCACGAGCGGAAAACTCCCCCCCTCTCTCTCACTCTCCGCTCGAAAAAACAACGAAAGTAAAAGTGCGTGTTCTCGCTTACCAACAACCGAAGTTATCGATTCGCGCGCGGAATTTGCTCAGCTGTCGCGACTGCCGTAATCGCGCGAGCGATAACACATATCGCCGGCGCGCAATAATAAGTAAGCAGGCACGCCGCGTGGATATGGCATTGAGGCTCGTATTTTTCGCTTACGTATTTTCGTAAACCGGGAGCGAAGTCAGCGGGTTTCGCGCAGGTGAGTGTCGTCGAAGGTCCCTTCGCGCGGCCTCGGCGAGATGTGCAAAAATCGCGAGGGTCTCCGCGGTGGTCGCTGCTGCGCCTTTATTTTTAGCGACGGCTTTTCTAATTGATCTTGGATCATCGGACGGAGCGAGCACGTGGCTACACGCCGTGCAACCGCGGCGACCGCGTGTCGCGGCTCGAAAATAGCACGAGAATCGGGAAAGCGGCTAGACGAGGCTCGCTCCTCGGTGGAGGGAGAGCAGGAGCTCGTGTTTCCGTCTATCCAACGCGTGTTAGCCTGCGTGTAATTTCGAGGACGGCTCGTAATTTCAGCGACGTGTCGGCCGGTGTTCACGCCAGTCAGAATTTCGGCCGACGGCGCGTCGTCATCCGCGGCCGTCTCGACGGGACTCCAGTCTTCCCCTCGTCGGGAAATGGAATACTGGAAGGTGCAGTAATACGAGGACGGAATGTCTTGTTTTCAGTTTCAGATTTCGGTGGCGCAATCGTACGAAAATAATCCCTCCTCGCGTTTATTTGCGGAAGAGCGACGACGAGAAATCGACGGCGAGATTCATCTTCTCGCTCGGGATTTGTTAATCGCTAAAATGGCATTTTCGTCTCGCTGAGGACTCGACGCGTCCGTTTTAATTAAATTCAAATCCGTGTCGCGCGTATTCGGGCGTGTTGAGGCAGCAGCTGTCGAGACGAACTGCGAAGCGCCATAAATCGGGACGCAATTAGAATTCTGCCGCGGGCTTTTTCGAGCTTCCCGGCGACGGGACGCCCGGCAAAAGCGCGCATCCAAGAGAGCACATCCTAATTTTCCATCGCGGCGAGGTATCGTAACACCTGGCTGAAATCCGCGCCTGCGTGATGACGGGGCCTCGCTCCAACCCTCGTGAGACTTTCGGTGCGAGGGTGCAATTTAAACTTTGGCCCAGTAGCCAATCAACCCCTTGACGAGCGGACGATCCGGAGAGAAGTCGGTCGCGCTGGAAATAACGAGTTCTCTCGCGGCCCAACGGCGCTTGTGCAAATGGTGCGATTTTTCCCGCCAAGTTCGCCGTCGTGTTGTCGCCGAGAGGAATTCCACTCAACACCGTGTTCCGACCGCGAATCGAAAGGTTACACCGGTTCCGCGAAGGTAACATTCTCGATTTCAACTCCGACTCTGTACCGACAACGTTCTAAAGACAAATTGCTTCGTCGTGAAAAGAAAGAACTGAAATGATTACAATTATGCGAAACGATCAGAAATATTAAATATCACAATTAAATGTGAAATAGATGAGACAATCGAAACGACGATTGGAAGTCACCGTACGCAGAGAAACTCATTTACTTTACTCAAATTCTTCTTTGGGTATGAGCAAACTAATGTTTTGGTTGCGAGAACCAAAGCTTGGTTCTCTGAAACGAGAACGAAAGAAAGTTCGATTCAAAGAACCAAAACATTTGTTTGTCCATATTCAAACGAGAATTTTATATGAGTCAACTAAGTGGATTTTTCGGTGTATCTTTGAAAAGAATTTGATTTCCGAATCAACGTTGAAGTGGTGCATTTATAGACGGCGAAACTTGACGCATATTGCTTGCAACATATCGGAAGTCGTGATCTCGAGGTGATACATTCGAAGCTCCGCGCACGCGGTGCTCGCGTGAAGAGAATACGAGATCCCGTCGCACTCTCGTCTTCTAAAGCGCCTAATTACGTGATTTAGAACACGCACGAGTCTGGCCGAGTGTGGCCCGAGTACAGGTATCCGAAAGGATCACGCCTCAGGTCGTGACCCGAGGTGTGCATCCGCGGGATTAGTTCGATTCGAAAGGTCACGCTGAACTTCTGCGGCGACCGGGGTTCATTTCGAGTATCGGTCAAGATCACGTCGCGAAACTCCGATATCCTCCGACGAGTGTTTCTTTCTTGACCATTTATTCAACATTCGTTATTGTCCAACTAAACAATCAACCTCTCGATACAATCTCTCTCAACGAAGGACAAATTATTTTCGGAGGTTATCGCGGAGAAATATTCGCTCGTATTTGATATTCGAGATTTCCTCGCAGTGGGGAGAAATGCTAGATTTAGCTGCCGGCTTGGAGTGATTTTTGTGGATGTTCCCAACGTTTCGTGAATACTTCAGTTCACTTCATTCGAGAGAGGAGCAACTTGATGCTGCATCAAGCACAGCAAACGTTGGGAGCAAATCCGGAAAATACGCGAGAGCTAAATTCAGTATTCGCTGTAATATCGCGCGTGTCACGTAGATCAAACGTGAGTAACCCGAGTGAGAACGTTGCGTGAACAGACGACTCGGCGATGCTAAAATATAAACGGTGGTAAAAAGCGAGAATTAAAGAGTCGATTGAATTGATTCCTTTCAGTGGCCCGGGAGAGCTTGCAACGTGAGCGACCAGGGTCATGGTCTTGAGCGAAACCCTCACGGACTCCAGCTTCTTGGCTACCACACCGTTCAAGATCAGATTTAAAGCGGTCAGTAGCGTATTTACTCGGCATGCGTGCGTGCGTGCGTGGGTGCGTGCATTCGTTGCGACAGAACTTTGAACGTCGTGTCGAATCACGAGCGTGACTCTGCCCGTCCGGATATGCGACCGCATCTTCCGCGAATGTCAACGACACGGCCGGCGACGATGGCGCGTGACGTTGAAGCGAAACGTCGTAATTATTGTTATTCCATCGGGCGATATCGCGTGAGACTTATTAACAGCGGTAAATCCCCCGCGAATTGGCACGCGCGAGGAATCTTAATCAATCCAATCGCATCCCGGCGAATCGTCGGAGCTCTCCTTCATGTTCGCGCGCCATGGCGTGCCGGAATCCAACCGCCGAATCTGATCGCGATAAATACCCACCGCGTTGAAATACGGTCGTCGGATAGCATCTAAAAGCCACATCGTCCTGAATCACCGGCATATACCGGCCGAAAAGGAATACAAAGAATCGGATAAACGCTTTTAATCAGAAACTTCCTCGGTAAATAATCACGCAGCTTAATTCACGCTTCTGATAATAAAAGAGAATCGGCCACGGACTATCATCGTCACGTTGAATGTCGTGACGGTCACCAGTGATATGACACTACCGTGTCACATGAAATTGTGTATAAAATATAATTAATTGCATTGGGAAAATCGATATATGCGGCGCGAATTAAGAGACATATCCGTTTCGATTTATTACATTCATTCACCGTGTCTTTGATCATTCGATCGTCAGTTAAACTTCTGTAATAGTCTATGGAAATCAATTCAGAGAAAAAATCATTCTGAAATCTCACCGCGAATGTCATAAAAATCACTTACGTTAAGAAAAAAAAGTCGATGACACAGGAATGAGGAGTCTCCAGTGGGGCTCTGGAAACGTCGCGACGCCCACGGGTGTGACGTACCCGTTCTCGCGTCGTAATTAATGAAGTACACTTTTAATCGTGACCCACAGCCAGTTCGCGGAAGTCGCGTGCGTAAGCGTCGAGGTGCAACCGCGGGGTCGGTTGAGTGTCTCCCGTCGAGGATTTCTTTCCTCTTTTTTTTTTTCTTCGTGGCAGAAGAGCGATCCGCACGAACAAATGCGCGCGAGCTCGTTACGATGCCGAGCTTCGAGGATGCCGACCTTGGCACGAAAGGCGTCGGCGCCTCTTCGAGACGAGGCGATTAGGAGCTCGCGTGCTCGCTTCTGCCTCACCCGCCCCTCACGCCAACCCCCTTTTTATCGGAGCTTTTGCTTTATCATTTGGCGCACATGCCTCATCCATTTTTCGATTCCGCAACTCTGCGGTTTTATCCGCAAATAAATGTCATCCGGATGACGACCTGCGCGATTAATCCGCATTACCTGGCCTCTTCGCGTTCGTTTTCTTGATATATATATATACACCTCTTTACGAGGGACATTATATCTCTTCCAGAGAATTCCTTCCTTTAAGATCGGGATTTCCACCAAAGGCCAGCTTCGTGTGATTTATTCTCCGTTTCGCGCGCCCACGAGGCGCCTTTGCGCCCTATTTCGCAAATTCGCGAGCTCAATTTAAATTCTACTCTACATCAATCTTCTTAATTAAGCTTCCGGGTTAAAAAGAGAATCTATCTGCACGCGCGGACATCGAGTAACGACAGTGAAAACGACGAGCGGATAAGTATCTCGTACGTAACATGATGATATAGAGGCAAATTTCCGTCGCAAATGTATGTTACGTTAATATCTAACGTTGTCGCAGAATTACGCGATTGAATTTTCTTTGAAAAACGCTTGCTCGTACGAATCGAAAATCCACTCTAAGTTTGAATTGAACATTCGCCCTGCGAGAAGTCCAGGGAGTACAACAATATTTCTCCGTTTTCAGCCCGCGAAAACTATTACTTTGAGTGGTGATGGCGTGCATTTGGCTGATTGAATATGACCTCGTTTTCAGATATACCACTTTTCCGTAATAACGAGTGATTATAACGCGTTATTATTACCGATCAGAAATTCGAGCAGAAATATCGATTCCACGGCAGTATAATCCAACTAATGCACACCTTACGCGCTCGAGCCCTCCGATGGAATAATTCGCGTCTTTCGCGAAATTTCGCCGAGGGGGAACAGCGTGGCTAACGGCACATAAGGCTTGATCGGAGCTTTCGAGTAGACGTATGCCGTGTACAGCGGCTCTGTCAGCGACGAGTTCTCATGCGGTACGGTCAATCACTGTCAGGAAGCGCACACATGTCTGTGTGAAAGTCAATCAGACCGGGCGTCCGACTGACGCGGTGCGGCGCATCACTGACGTTTCCCGATGGAGTTACAGCGGCCGAAAGGACGCTCGGCGTTTATAAATCAGATCCACGTTACGTGCATCGGGGAATATCGATCTCTCGATGTCGAATGCGAGAGCCGACCTCCCGGCGCATTAATCCCGGCTGCTCGCTCCGCGCGAGGAGGAGCCCTCGTTAATCCGTGAGTGCACTCGCGGCGCTTCTAAGAGCACCTGATGCTCGTCCGCTCCCAGTGTGCGTCACAAGTAGAGAAAGGAAGAGAAAGAGAGAGAAGGAAAGAGGAGACTAGATCCCGACCGTTTACTATCGGGGGGAAAAACTTACATCGTTACTCAAGGGCTCTTTAGCGTAAAGCCGAGAAGAATGACGCTCGGATAAATTACAGAGCGCGCGATAAATCCGCCAAGATCGAGAGTACGTGTATTAATAACGTCGTTGTTAATAATAAGTGGAAGCGGAAGTGGTTTTGAAGGGAGAGGGCAACGAACGACCGACACAAGCGTCGCTCTGTCGGTCGCGATAATGTCACGCGCTATCCTTCCGGCTGGTCCGGAAGGGGATTCCGAGTTGAACGATGTCCCGCGCCCGTTCGTTTTTCCGGATTCGACAGAGCGAATCGGCGCGCTCCGAGCGTATCGAGCGATTAACGTCACGTCGGTGAAATTTTAGCCGCAAGCTGGCAAGATATGACACTTACGCGCACCACCGCGACTAATCCGCTGTCGCGATAGCGCGTCTCTTTGATTAATCAGCCGTTCTTATCGCGGGCGTGCGCGATCCCGCGGTTTTCGAGGTGCAAACCGCGGTTCGCGCGGACAAACGAAAGTACGTACGTCAGCGTATGTCGCGAAATATCAAGCGGGATTCGTCACGCCCGACGAGAGGGAGAGAGGGAGGGAGCTGTTTTTTTTTTACCTCGCTCTTTTTTTCTTTTTGCTTCTTTTCCTATTCGCCCTGTGACAAGCGGCGATCACTCTTCCGGCCATTGATCATCCTCCCGTGGAGGAGGCGCTTACCGGGATAGATGCACGAACGTCGTATTTTACAGCATCCGATATTGTTCCATACGTCGCGCCGACGGAAGCTTTCACGGAGCGACGCAATTGTTTGGATATGAAACGGTCTATTCAGGGGGAGCAAACGCGGCGGAATCGAGCGACGAAAACTCGATAACTGGAGCGATAACTCCGAAGCCCATTTACCATATACTATAGTAGTCGGCTCGTGCCAGTTTCGTCCGAGTCTCACGAAGCGAGATCTCGGCGGCCTCTACGGCGTTACAGCGTAGTGTCGTGTGTTAACTATCGCTGTTTTCTCGCGAATTCCCGCCAGTTGCCGATAAACTGGCAGTACGCGCGTGAATGATGGATTGTTTGGCGATCAAATGTTTCCCGACGGGGACTCAATCGCGAGCGCCTTCATTCATAATTTCCCCGCGCGCTACGACGTTGAATTCACCTTCGTGATTCGGATATTTCCCTTAGGTCGCTAGGTGCGCGTGTAATTAAACGCAACGGGGAGAAGAAGCTCGGTTAGATTCCTTTAAATTCACTCGAGTTAATTAGATAAATGAGAGTTAACGCGAGGAATCCCGAAGCATTCCGTACACCGTATTTTCCTTTTTCGACCCTCGCGTACAGCTTCTCCACCGGTGTGCGGATAAGCTGGTGAAATTGGAAAATTCAAAATATTGGCGGACGGCCAAGAGTCGCGCGATGACAGTGTTATATCGTGCAACATAACGACATCCGAAGCAACATCCGAAATAACCGTGTAAGCGCGCTCGAAAGAAGGTAGCGCGATTTTACGCGAGCGCCGCTCGCGAGGTCGGCTTTACGCTCGAGACCGCCTTGCCCGCTTTTCGTTTTTCGCTTCGGATTTGCGGCAATTTCCGCCGGCCGTAAAATTAACGGAGGCAATGAGTACGAAGAAAAAAACAAATCGATTCGCGAAACGCGTTTCCATCGGAACTGCAGCATTTGCCTGATTAGAAACACCGAACGAACGAACGAGCGGGAATTGAAATTCCTCCTTTTGATCGATAGATAGGCGGAGAGAAACAGTTACCTGCTCTGGGCGGTATATGTACGGTGCAATCATTTCAATACAGGGTTTTCATACGACGTATAATTGATAATTCAATTAAATAGAACAATCAATTAAAAGGAATGCTGGGAAAGAAATGAGAAAAACTCGTAAATCCGCCTGTTTATTCAGCATTTCCTTTTATCGGTAGAGAGAAGTAGAGAAGAATAGTTATTCGTTATGGACAGTGTTCTCGAAGAACGCACACGACGCAAATATCGAAATACAAGACATTTCGTACAGCACACGATCAATAATTTAATCAAACAGAAAATTAAAGTGAAAGAAAAAAAGAAGTAAAAACTCAAATCTTGTTGATTCAGCTTTATCGGTCGTTCCACGTGATTCTCGACGCACGTGTTGACGATGCCGTGCGAGACGATGAAAAGAAATATAGGCTGAAGAAATCGCGGCATTTGCATGACAAAACAGCCGATCTCGAGATACGAATCGATAAGAGTCGGCGAATGCACGCATTTCGATTTACATTACAGCCTTTTGTATCATTTAATTGATCTCTCCGGCCGAGGATTAATCTTGATCGAACAAATCCCGAATAACATTTCTCCACGATTTTATCCAGTCGACCACGCGTGTTCTTCTCATCTGAGTCTTAAGCCTCCGTAACATGGTCCCGATCCAAAACGAAGAAAACGATTCGCCGTTAAACTGAGCTCTCGTTTTTCTACGTCCGCGAGGAACGATCGTTCTCCGACTCACGTGACACGAAAAAAGAAAGACGGAACGAAATATATTATCATTCTCAAGCCGATCGGCGATACCTCTTCTTTTCCAGCCTCTCACGGGCCTCAGCCGACCTTCGACGATGGTGGGTGGCCGCAGGGTGAAGCTCGCGGCGAGCAATGAAACCACCACCACGTCCATGGTCACCAGCGGCGTTACCAGTAGGAGCGACAACAACGTCGTTGTCTCCACTGTACAGCCGACCACTCAGCAAGTAAGCTCACTCTCTCTCTCTCTCGGTTTCTCTCTCTTTATCTCTCTCTCGGTTTCTCCCTCTCTCTTTGCCTACCCATCTATCTATCTCCATCCCTGTTTCTCCCTTTCTCTCGCGTCGTGCATCCTCGTTTTCATACGTCGACGCGTATCATCGACGGCTCGGTCGCGCGACGTCTCGCGGCCTCGAGAGAGCGAGTAGCAGTCTATCTCGCGACGCGCGACTCCTCCGCAAAGTGTCGACGCGTGCGGTATCGTTCGCGCCATTCAACGTCCGTGCGAGAAAGAGAGAAGCAGCCGGGCACATTGTGCGATCGTAGCCGGAAAAAAGACGGGGGGGGGGGGGGGGGGGNGGAGGGGGGAATAACACGGAATAAGAGAAACGTGGGTCGTCGGGCGTGCGCGTCGCACGCGGCGACGATACATGTGGCGTAATAAGCGGAGGCACGTTGCTCCATTGGCGTCTTCGCGGAGCGATCCGAATCCGCGATCCCGCAGGAGCCCTGTGCTTCCCTCTTTAATTGCGATTTCGCGACGAACCCCCGACTTTTCGCCTTTACGCGAACGGAAACGCACGCGACGTGCGCGCGAACAGCATCGGCTGCGAGTACTTCTCGCGCGTCCGTCTCTTCTTATCGCAATTTAAACGAGACTTTGCATCAACGTAATCACGGTGAACGAAAAACATCCCCTTTCCTCCGGTAACGGTAAATTCCAGTTGTAGAATTTCACCCGCGGAAGTTCGCAACAAGTCCCGCGGACTGTTCCGCAATTCTCGATGATCCCGTTAATTATTTTCTTCGTCCGGTCTTGACGATCGTTTAATATATTTTCGTTTGAGAATTTAATTCTCACTTAACTTTCCGTTTAATCCTTCGTTGAAATTCAACATGTTAATTTAACCGGAGGAAAAAATATGGGATATCTTGTTTCGTATTTTTCGCGAGCATTCGTCTGGATTTTTGATCAGATGCGGAAATTCGAGCGCGGATATTCGATCGAGCGCTACGGATCGCGATGTGTTTTTATTCATCATTTCGTGACTCGCGGGGCTTCCGGAAGCGCCGGACACGCGTAAGTGCGCGGAGCGGATGGATCACACGAAGACGCCCGTGAACGTATAAGGGAGACGCTCACATTCGTGCGTTAATGATGCGTGTGTGTATTTGCGCGCACACGAGGCACCGACCGACGCGAGGGCTTAACTGACATATAAATAGCGCGTTTAAAGAGAGCCGCTAGAACTCTCTCGCGTGTACGTCTTGCGAGCCCATCAGGAAGGCGCGAGTCGCTTTCCGAGGAGGATCGCGCGGCTGGAGCGAGCGGCCGAGCGAGCGAGCGAGCTAACGATCGGTGATCGACGTCGAGGAGGAACAAAATCGAGAACTGTCTCTTAAGAAGTGCGTGCGATTCGTCGACTTCTACTTTTTCTTTTTTCCCTCGGATGGTTAATTGGTGATGTGAACGAGCAAGTGCAAAATGAGCCGTAGAGTCCGCGTCGACGATGACACGCGTAGTTCGTGACGGTAGAGTGACGATGTCGCCGCGTCTTGCGAATTCAAAAGTACTCTTCACGTTGAAAACAATGAGAGATAAAAGTTCATGCGATAAAATACGCTACCGGGTTCGATCGGATTGAATTTGGATGAAACGCGAGTTAGAATGCACTGATCGATGGATTTCGGCTGTTCTTTTAATCCTTCAATTTTTGTCCTTTCCTCTCGGGACTAATTGCGTCTCGTTTCGTGGGTCCGGCAGAAAGTCCGACGGATCCTCGAGGAGCAGGCCAGGTGGCAAGAAAACGGCCCACGCAGACGCGTAAAGTGCACGTCGGGTACCGCTGCCTGCTGCGTGGTTAACAACTACAGCATCGTCGCATCTAGGGGCGAACTCGCTCGAAATAACCGCGCCGCAAGTGAAACGACGGGCAACGTCACCACGAAGAAACGGACTTCGGCGGCGATCGTCAACGGGAGGATTCACTCCAAGGAGGAGGCCGCTCGCTGCGGCACTTTCGCCGAGGAGACCAAGAAGACGAAGGACGCGTTCAAGGAGACGACGTCGACCACGAGGCCGGGCATCTCGCGAGGCATTCAGCGCGGAATAATCAAGTCCGCCTCTGTACCGAAGGACTTGAAGGAAGGTACGTCGCGCAAATCTTCTTCCTTACACGGAAAATATTGTAGTAAAGATTACCGCAAAATTGTGCAAATGTGCGCCAGAAATTATAACTGAAATTGTAATTGCTATAATTAAAATACATATAATAATTTCTATCATAATTCCGGTATAGTCCAGCATAAAAAAATTTCGTAGTAATCTTTACTGAAATATTTTCTCCGTTTACAATGCGAAGTTAAGAAATCGTCTTCTCACAGAGGATAGACTTTTGAATTCCTCGACGAAACTTCCCGATCATTTCTTTCCGACGAAATGTGACCAATTTTTTTTAGCTAATCTCGGAAAATTAGAGGTCGATATTAATATGGATAAACCGCACCTTGTGTGTAATTAACGCGACAGTCATTTCGGCAGCAACAGTACCTCTTTGTAAAATTTCGTAAATTCGCCAATCGATCTCTCTTCCTCGACTACGTGTTAAAGTCGACATTTTTTCCCCTTCTACTCTGGAGGTAGGCGTCGCGCGACACGTAATTAGTTGTTTACCGTCCTAAATATACGGCATCTTGCGACGCAATTACCTCTGATGGAGAAGTTAATTTCCTGTACCATTTATATACGATTACGCTCGGCCGTAGATAGGATCGACGATGACGCGTGCGTATGTGATATTTCATACTTTCGTGACTCGTCGGGGTTGCCGCTAACGAGACAGCAGCGGTACATATATAATATAAACTCGTCCGCGGCTTCTAATCATGATTTTCAACGAAACGAGAATGTACACATTTTTCACCCGTCCACTCCTTTCACTCTCGGGAGAAAAGCCCCGAGGCGTCACGAGAGCCGAATTAGGAAGAATGAAACATCGGGAGAGCATTTCGCCTGAAATCAGCCGAAATAACGCGTTGAGAGATTCGCGTTCGCGAATTTCCGGCGAAAGGGCAACGGCGGCGACTCCGGGTTTACACGATTTACAGGATTCGCGCGTGCTACCGTCATTCGCTCCAATTTCTACCCGGATTTCCATTTCTACCGTAACGAAACCCGAGCACGTCGTGCACGTCATGTCACGCCGGGTTGTTCCGCGTAACAAAACAGAACGGGGGATTCGATTTGCATCGTGTGCCATCGCGGGGGACACGCGAATCAAACGGCGCGAGGGCTCACGCAATCCGCGCGGTGCGGCCGAGCGCAAACTATTCCTCGCGTTTTAGTGCTTTTATTGCGGCGAAAACGACGCGAGCAGCGTAGCGCGTCGTCTATTTAAGCGTGCGACCGGTATCCGCGGCGGGACGCGAGAGTGACACCGGCCAAATATAGCGAGTTCGTTCGGTCGCGACTCACACACGCAGGTCTTCCAGCGAGGGAGAGAACGTTGCAGCGAGTGCCGGAGGACGGCATCCTGAAGAGGTCTTCCGCCTTCTTGGCGAGCCTAGCGCACCCCTCCAGCAAGCAGCTCGGCTCGGACGACGACGCGACCAAGTTCCTCAGGCCGTCCAACAACGGCTACCGGCTCGCTCGTGCCTCGTCCTCGAGGTACACCGGCCTCAAAGGGTACCTCTCGATCTTGTCGAGCGGCGACAGCAACGCGGAACTGCGCGCGTTGCAACGCTCGCCCAGCGTGCAGACGCTGTCGAGCAGCTGGAAGAAGAAGGGCGCCGTAGGCGTGAAGAAATCGGTCTCCTTCAGCTCCGACACCAGCTTCGAGGAGAAACGCGCGCCGTACCGGAAGCAGTCTGCCGTTCACGAGGCCAAGATCTATCGCAAGGGTGTACTTCAGGGTGAGTCTTCCTCGCGAGCTCACTTATCTCGCCCCGCCCGATTTCTGACTATGGATCTTAGTTTCCGTTTTGTGAGACTAGCATTTGCTTCGCATGGAGGAAAAATTCGGTTCTTCGCAACTGATTAGAGATCAGAAAGAAAAGTCTCGGTGACAATAGATGCAAATTCGGCGACAAGATATGATAACTTTGTTACTACGACTGAGAACAGTCGTGTGAACATTCAACCGCGTTGAAACTCGGTTGAGATAACTGAGAGAACGATTGACTGAGCCGAAAGTTCTCACAGAAATTTCCCTGTTCCTACAGTCGAGTTTTCGTCCGGTTTCCCCAGCCAACGGAAAATTTAGTTACACCGACTGGGATTTTTTTAGTGTAACGAATTCGTGTGACGAATAACTTTTGTTTCTTTCTGATGAAGATCGGTCTAACTGAATCGACTCTTGCCTCGAAAATAATCTTCCAGTGAGGCTACTTATGCGCTTTCGCTGGCATTAGTGTTAATTAGTAACGGTATCAATTTCCTCGTGAAATTAACGCGTGGGTAATGTGAATGCAGTCGACGAGTTGGCCGGGAGTTCCATTCGCCTCGAATTTTTCGTATCGCGCTTATCAACAGCGAGAAATTGATCCCGACACGTGACTTCAGCCGCGACCGGCAACGGCTGATAAGAGCGATGTTTGAATCTCGATAAACGTTCGTTTCGCCCTCACGTTGGCGCGAAGAAGCACCTTTCCAAGATAAGCAATCGCAGCGCTTTCGTCAGCGTGCGAGAGAGAGAGAGAGAGAGAGAGATAGGGAGAGAGAAATTCGCAGGGAATAAATCTCTGAATAATTTAACAACGCGCGAGTTGCGCTAATTATCCGCTGCTGGGAGTACCGGAAGTTCCAGCGTATGGCGCGCGATATTTAGGATAGTATATGCCGATTCCAAACCGCAGCACACCGGATGCAACGTCATATAAAACAGGATTATTATACAGCAGTAAACCCCCCGCATTGGACTTAGGGCCAATACAGTTAGGGACAATTGCTGCTGCGCGAGTAACTCGATAAAGGCTTATCCCGCGGCGGCGGTACTAGCCAGAAGGTATTAGGACGGCATTAACGGGGCCACTGTAAATCTTGCAGACCGCGCGCGCGAGGGGACGACTAAAACGAAAGTGCCGCCCTCGTGGGAGACACCCTCCGGGGGCCCTACGGCCCTTCTGAGGGCCGCCAGGGAGGCGGACGACACGGGTCTCAAGGAAATCGTAGCGCAGGCCCGGAAAGTAGGACTGAAGGGCATGGACGTCAACGTGGTCGACAGCAGCGGCAGGGTGAGCGGAAATTTTCTAATCGATCTAATCAGATCCCGATAATTGCCGTCGCGTCCCATCTCACGGCATCACCTCGCACGGCGCGAAGACAACTGAAAAACAAATATTGAAGACGGCCAGTCTTCCCGATATATATCATTTTAGCGAGCTTCATCATTTTCTTTTCTCCCAGTGAAGAACGATCTTGAACCGTTCGCTCGCTCGCCGATCTCGACCCGCGCGAGGTCCTCCCGTGATCGTTCGCAGATATCGGATCAAACCCCGCGGCTTTAAACGAGTCTGATGGATTGGAAAGGCCGGTGGTCCGTAATTAACAGGGCGCGAATCGCGATCGATGAAAGCGCAATTAGGGTCGCGCGCGAGTCAAGCGCGACGCGGCAGGAAACAAATTTCGGTGTCGAATGGATCTATTTTTAAGTCGCCCTCGGAATCCCGACGATCCGTCCCCGTCGATGCGCGTCGAGTCTCGCTCCTCCGAGCCGATCAGGTGTTGTGCGAAAAAAAAATGTGCACGCAACGCGCGGGCCGCCGCTTTCGGCCCGATTGATTCTTCACGAGCGGGATCTCAGCGCGGCACGATGACGCGTCGAGAGATGAACGCCGCCGCGTTTTTCAGCGGGGACGGAACACCGACTCCTGATTAACATCGAGACTTCCATTACTTCGTCGGCGAAAAAAGGACGATGATAATGCAATCGCAACGGTGAAGTTGGAAATCGGCTTCCACCGTTACTAGTTACTACTAAGTGAGATTTCCTTCACTTCATTGCCGGAGAAACGAAGATAGGAAAACGATAATCGCGTGAAATAATCCCCGACTTTTCCTTCGATCCATCTTCTTTCCACTCCCTTGCCTTTCCGGAAAATCCTTGAATCCCGAGCTAAAGATAATCCGGTTTGTTTCGTGCTGCTTTGCACACCGCGGTACACCTCGATCAGATAATCGGCGCAATTAGCACGATGCCCGGGCAACTTTTCTAATTTCTGACGAAACTCCGTGTAATTAACCGGGCTGTTTTCCAGGCGGCCCGGAACGGCGCGCGGATTAAGCGGCGAATCGATGCGACCGAAGCGAAAATTCAAGCGCGGTTTGTCGCCGCCGTCGTTGCGGGCGCCGGTTATTTTCCAACTCGTTCGACGCGCTGCGATTCGACACAAAAATTCCACGCTTCCAGCGGTGGTTTCATTAGCGCCCACGTGCAACCCCCCCCCCCTCCCCCCGTGCACATCGCCCGGTGGAAAAATACCCAATTGCACGAGCACCGCCCGACTCCGGCCGCTTCAGCGACGAGCCGCGCGTGAAATCGCGCCCCGAGAGATATAAGATTGCTTGGATTCCGAGGGCGACATCGCTCGTGAAAACTGCCGGGGTGCGAAATGTCATTTCCTCCCATAAGAATTTCCTTCGCGAAACATTTCAGCGGCAGCGCGATCTTAATCAAACTACCGAATATATCAGGCAGATTTCGATGGCTTCGCCTCGAAATTTCGCCCTGATTAAAGCCCGTATTAATAGTTGTTACTTGAAACTTGTTTCTGGTGAGAAACCTATTTAGCTGGCTCGAACAAACGAATATTTCAGTTGTGATAACCGAAGTTTGATTCTCTGAGCCAAAGGTTTGGTTTCCCGAGGCGAAAATGAAAAAGGTTCGGTTCTCTGAACCAAACATCGGTTCTCACTGAAATACTTGTTTACCCATATCCAAACAAGAATGTTGTTTGAGTCTAGTGGGTTTCTCAGGATATGCACCGGATCACGCTTCCATAATAACGTCATCGCTTATCAGGATAGTAAGATGCGGATCTTTGCAGGTGGCGATAAATAGATATGTCGGATAAGCCCAAAACAAGATACTTTATTACAACTGCCAAAGTCGAGCCGTGCTATAATAATACCTGATCATGTCCGTACCAGAAATTTACCGTATTCTATTTCTGTTCGGGTGAGAGACGCGATACGTAATAAATAACACGATCGAGAGACGAAAAACACGCAACGATCGACGGGAAGTTACCGGATGCTGTAGTTAGCGTTGTTTCGAGGGATACCTCCGACTCGAGGAGTTTAGCGTCGTCCCGCGACAATTCGCAGTTCGATTCGGGTTCGTTGCCATCAAAAGTCGTGGCTTACATCCGAGGACAAGGCCGGGTCGATTCGTTCGGGTTTTCCCCGAGCCCGGCCGTCGCTTCTCGCGTTCTCTTACGCGCCACGGGATCAGAAGGAAACGCGTGATCTACTCGACCCGTACGTAAGAATCGTCTCCGACGTTGACCGCATTCCGTACGCAACGCGCTAAATTAAAGCCGGATCGCGCCTTCGTCCGAACCGCTTCGTCGTCGTTAGAAACGCGACCTTCGCGTAGTCGTCGGCGAACCCGCATTAAGGTCGGGACCAAAGGAAGGCGTGTAGGTGTCCCGGTTAATTGTGACGGATAACATCGCGGCCGCTTCTAAGGTCGCGCACGTGGAGCGGAAAGAGCGGGATCGCGTCGCGCGACTCGCCGATCGATCGAGAGCGAATGCGTGCATGAATGCGTACATGACTACGCGTCGCGTAAAGCGGACAGTTGCGTATTAACCCTGAGACGGCATTTAAACAGATACCTGATTTCCTTAAGCGGATCACCGGCAGTGACTCAACTAGGCTGCTTCAAAGGATCCGCGCGAGGTCGACAAGCGCGGCGCGACTCGCGGAGAATCGCTCCGGCACGCCGATATTCCGACATACCTGTCGTTACTTGCGACCAAGTTACCTTGGTGTCGCAGTTATGTTACCGCATCTGAATCTCCCGGAGCGAAATATCTCACTCCGAACGCGTGGGAATTTGTTTGACAAGATGTTTGTTTAGATCGTGAAGATACCGCCGGCCGGAATCGCAAGAGTGAATGCGTAATTCGGATTCAGGCGAGTATTCACGGTCGGATGTTATCTTTAAGACAGTCTTACGTTCAGCTATAGGTGCTTTGTTGTTAATGAAATGAGTCGTACGGTATCTGAAGATGAGCTCGAGATGGTCTTAAATATAAGACCAGATTACGAATACCGGCTTCAGAATAGATTCTTCATCCGTACAAGGAAATATTTCGCGATCGAGTGAATGTCCCAGTAAACGCTGAAATACGTCGGATTCACTCTTCAATTTCGAGCATTCAATTGAGAGATTCAAAGATGCCTCTACTCGGCGATTCACAGAATGGAGAATTCGTTCTATATGAGTGAAAAGTCACGGAAATTCGCGTGACTTGACTCTCATTTTACTTTTCGAGTGCGATTTCGCTCAAAGAATTTTCGAGAATAGAGCATCTCGGTTCGAATTAAAATCGATGATCGAAAACTCGGCTAAAATATGTCTCCGCGTTTGAACGTGGTTCCAATGTGATCGTGAATTAGATAGCGATCGGAATATATGTCGTTCTGTGCGCGATGTTGAAAGTTTCATTGTTGAACGCCGAGGGGATCAATCCGCGCGTTCCGCAGTTTTGTTTGTAACGTGCGAAATAGAACTCGCGTGTTTGTCGAATCGCGTTTACGAGTAGCGCGCGAAAGCGTCGTTTCAGAGGCAAATGCGTCTTCTTCTTCTTCCGAGCGTTTGTTAGCACAGCCAGTGTTTTAACATCTGTTTGCACACTGGCGCATGCTGACGCAAGTAAAGCAATAACGTACCAACGTCAACAGCCACTTAATAAATTGATTCTTAGTGGATAGTCCATTGTGCGCGTCGTCGCTCTCGTCGTCGACCAAGTCGGCGTACAATGGCGGAAAGAGGCTCACACACCGAGAGAACACGTCTACGTTCAATGTAAAACGCGATTTTCACTTTGTTTTCAATATACCCGCGCTCACGCGCACGTCAGTCGCGCGCTTGCGAGTGAATAGCGCTAAAAGACGAGTGCGCGATTAAATTATTCGCGCTCCGCGCGGAAAACGCGACGACTCGACGTAAGAGCGATCTCACCTCCTCGAAAAGCGGAAAAGTGAGTCGATCGAAGTCGGTGGGAAAAATGAATGAAACTGAAACTCAATATATCGATGTTCCCTCCGACTCGTGACGCGGTCGCTTCAGTTCACAAAGTGTCATCGATTGAATCGTCCACGTGATGCGTCAGAGGGAAAGAGAGAAAGGAGAGGAGGACAATTTGGCGCGATCCACCGCCGACTTGAGTTTACGTAACCGAGCATGCTTTCAGTCCCGAAAACCTGACCGATTATGATCTCGGAATGATTTCTTTGCAATTTGCAGACGGCCATAAGCTACATGGCTGGAAACGGCGCGTCGACGATGTTGGAGCTGGCACTCTCTTTCGAAGGTGTGGACCCGAATCTGCCCGACAACGAGGGTAACACGCCGCTTCATTTCGCCGCTCAGGCCGGTGAGTGATTTTAAGTTACGAGTAAAATATCGAGTAGCCGCGCGGAGAATGCGCGACGATACGCATAATATCGCATACCGCATCGGGAATTGACCCGCTCGGGCTTTCATAATCGCATTTCTAGAATATTCGGCGTAATCGCGATTTTACCGTTACCGCCGAAAACACGCGGTGGGTGATGAATTCTATAGCGTTCCGAGTCGAAATTTTGGTTCTATACTAATCCTGCGAGTTTCATCGAATATGAAGGATCAATAAAGAATCACGAGATGCAATGTATAATATAATATATAATAAGCTAAACGTAGAATATAATGTAAAATATGATAGGCTAAATATGGAAGCAAAAAAGAAGACGTTGACAGATGAAATGAAATCAAATTCGCAATCTAAGAAAACGTCATTTGACGTAAAATCAATATTTAAGAGATTCGTATTAGATTCTCTTTTTGTCTAAATCCGGTATTCATAGCCGTCAATTATTTATCATCTTTAAACGAGAGATGATAATTAATTACAGAATACAAATTTATGAAGCTATAATTATCCGTTAAATAATGACGCATTACAAATACCAGCATAAATTTCGATCCATGATGTCTCTTCATTCTCGGTAAATTCATGAAATATCTGCTAAAATTGGAAATCTCCTGCGTAATGTAAGTGACGCGACATATTTGAAAGTACGTAATGTACTGCCGCTTGCATCCTTCGTCCTGACATTCCGGTTCAGCCTGGCTCCGAGTTGATTTGGATACACCATCATGGCACTGACGTTAACACTGACACTCACGCCCACGATATGATCGGAGAAACGCATATTAATAAACGCGATGCCGTCAAGAGACCGATGAATAATTGAAAGATCAACGGGAATGATAACTAACACACCGACATATGCACGCAACGTCGTCATAGTGTGTGTACGTCTCTCTCGCCGGCTCGACAATGGCTCGATCATGGAAGAGTATGTGACGGCGCGAAGTACCAAAACAACCGGTAAAAAAAGGTAAAAACACAATCCTCGTGAATCGCAAATCATTGGCTCCCGCCGATCAATGAGACGTACATAATCACGGTGGCCGAGAGGTCACAACAATCGACGCTCTCAAAACGTTGCCTTGATAAATTCGACAACGCCGCCTCTTTTCGCTTCTATCTAAGGAACTATCGTTTATTGTGCCGAATCCAAATTTAAATCTCCATTGGCGCGCAGTATTATTGCCGCGCACATGCGAGTGCTATCTTTGCTTTTACCACTACTTCCTCACCGCCCCTTTGGAGGTTTTCAAATCCTGATTGAAATTTTCCCAACATCAATTAAAAATTGTAATACACGGATTATTAGAAAAGAAAGTCCGTTCCTTCATTTACCCATTAATCCCATTATTGTAATGAATTATTTAATTTCTCTCTCATCGCACATATTCTGTCTACAGTCGAGAAAGCTACTATGATTAACACATCGTTTATTAAAATCGAATATCATAATAAATAATTTTACAGGTCCTTCTTTAAGTTGTAACATGAAAAAAACAGCAATAAGATAACCATTTGTAGCGTTAAATGCAGGACAATAGCCCACGTAATGTTATATTTCGAGATTCTCCATCTGTCCTTCAAGTTCGACGAAATTGATATCAGGATTAATGTGGAGCGAAGATTTCCATTTTTTCTCGTATCACTTTGTGATATCGTGAGTCACATATCGCCGAATCACAAACATAATGGTTTCACAAATCTGATTCGGTGCGTCAATCATTCGATTTAATATGTTGAGCCGACTTAACAGATGACCTATGATTCACGACGGAACTGGCGACAGAATTCCATCTGCAAATAAACATGCAAAGCTTTGGAATAGCATTTGCAAGCGTATGTAGCATACGTGTGCGTACGAAGCATTTTCTATAGCAGGTGACGCACGAAATAACAGATAAAATTCTACTTCCAATTCTATTGCGAGTGAAGTCTAATTCTATCGGATCGTCCGAAAGCGGATTTTGGACCGCTCGCGTTGCGGATTTAAGCTCGAGACTCGCTCCTCGCGTTGTAACACGGGACATGATCGTCATCGACAATCACCAGAGAGATATCTAGTGCGTTCCAAAAATGAACCCGGTGGAAAACACGAGGCGGTAAGCGGGGATGGTCGCTCGCTACAGGAAAAGTGGCGAGAATAAATATTACATCAATCGGTATTCGAGCGCGACGACGAGTGGGAGGCGGCCGTTCAAAGGTGACGCGCCGGTTTTCGCGGGAATCTTTTATATTCGTTCACCCGGTCGGTTTAGAACATAATTCACCATCGTGTTTACCTCTGCTTCTTTTCCGCCGCGCGCGATCACACACCTTCGCGGCCCCACGCGGCGGCAAACAGCTCTTTCGATATACCACAAATACGTCCCTCGTGCGGTTCGACTCATCATAGACGTAAAAATACTAACAGTACTAAGCAGGAGGTACTTATTTAACCTAAGCTCGACGTGGAGTTTGATGTATCTACGAAGTGAGAAAATAACGAACGGCCGTGTTAAAATCGGCCTGTCGTATCTTCCTTTCACCCACGCTTTTTATCTTCTAACGATGTTTCTTCTCCTTGGCACGTGTACTGTTTTTATATATAGCGAGGTAAAATGTAACGTACCAGTTCGAGAAATTCGCGAAGAAACAATGCTTTGTACAAAAGAGAGACGTCAGACCGCGGCCGGCCGTCGAATTTCGATTCTCCGAAACCGGCGAACCCGACCCGCGATATTTTTACACGCGCGGAAATAACGAGCGCGTTCGGCGCGGATCGGCGATAGGCGCCCGATAGAAAATGCCGGGAACGCGATTCCGAGCCTAATGCCAAATCTATCCGCGGGCTTTCGCGCCGACGAGGTTCCCATCGCGTCACAGCCGCCGAAAATAGCGAACGTCGGGTAGCACTTCGCGCGCAGCAGCTACGCGATGATGACGCGCGTCGAAAAATGTTCCCCCTTGCCAAAACACCGGCGCGGGTTATGAAATAAGTACGCGTGCGATTATGCGAGTTCACATGTTTCCCCTTATGTGTTCGCCGACAGGGCAGACCGAGTGCCTCAACATCCTCCTGCAGAGGTGTCCGGACATCGAGGTGGACGCCAGGAACACCTTGGGCTTCACGCCCCTCATGAAGGCCGCCCTTCAAGGGAGAACCAAGTGCGCGAAGATCCTCTTGTTCGCCGGTGAGTTGAAAGCTTTCGCGGACGAAGATGAATCGCGAATTAATGTTTGCTCAGCGCGCATTGAATCCTCGCTCGAAGTCGCTCGAAGCAATCAACGTGTCGTGCGGCACGAGTCGAAACGTTGCCCTCGCTCTCGGTATACTTCTTTCTCGTGAACGTCGCGCGAATTCCGCAGGTGCGAATCCTACGTTACGCGATCACGGTAGAGGCTTGCGGGCCGAGCAGTGGGCGAGGTTTTGCGGCAGATACGTGTGCGCCGAGGTGATCGAGAGATTCGCGAGGCATCGTCTGTTGGAGCGAACGACGTCCTGCCGGTGGGGCAGCGAGCCCGAGTTGGCCGCGAAAGTGTTGCAGGGCAAGGTAACGTCGTGGCAAATTGCAACCGAACTAATATTAACGCGCACGCGAGAACGGGGGGGCGTAAAAATCCTACGTAAACTGCGCAGGTGACACCGCTGCCCACGAATCCATTGCCGCCGCCGTCGACGGGGCTGAAGTCGAAGATACGGAAGGTCTTCCGTACCACTTCCGGTCCCGATCGAACCTTCTCCCTGGTGTCACAGCTCACCAGCGCGGCTCTGTGCGCGAGCAGCCCGGCCTTGCCGAAACCCGGTGACGTGCCACCCGTGGTGAAGAGTCTCCTCCGACCGTTGAGTGTACCTCAATTAAGGTACTTCATTAAAAGCCTTTAATTCAGTTGAAGAAGCTCGCTCGTTTCCCCTCTCCTTCTCCTGCTCAATCAGCTAATTCGAAGATCGGCTTTTTCCACACAGGCCGTTAACTTTAGTCCCAATTAATCACAAACTTCTCGTTCGTCGGCAAAACAAAAGACAGATCGATATTCAAAACGAGGGCTTCGATGAAAATTTGTATTTACGAAATTTAGGAAAATCAATTGAGATATCATTGACGAACTTCGAAGAATTCGCAGCGTGAAGATATGAATTCCCTCGAGTTCACTTAATTATTGCGAGCTCGCGACGAAGATAAGGTATCAAGGTGGTCTCCTCCTCTTTCAGGGTGACGTTGGTCTCGCCGCAGGACTTTCTGGAGAAAACCTCGGAGAAGTACGGGATGACGTTCACGGACAAGATCGAGAGCGCGATGGTGAAGCCGCCGCGTTCAAAGAAGAAGAGCAAGTAGTCGAACGCGCGCGAAGCTCCCGCGGCAGCCGTCGTGGGCAGCCGCGTTTGTAGTCCGCCTTCGCTTCGCGTCGAGCAACCTCGCGAAGGGAGAGATTGCGCAAGTCGCTGCTTGACGTAAGCAGCGGAGAATATTTGTGATCTATCCGAGATACGTTTACGTGTTATCCGATATTCCATTGTTGCCTGCAAAACCGATCTGGTGATCCTTCTCCTCCTCCTCCTCGTCGCCCGAACGACCTCCGCCGCGCGGTTCTTCAAGACACAGCCTTCAAGCAAGCCTTTCCGCTCTCTCCCTCTCTTTTTCCGTTTTCACCTCGCCGAAAAATATTAGCGCTCCATTTTCCTGCCCCCCCCCCCCTTTTCCCTCTCTCGGAGGACGCGCGTGCACGGAGATCAAAGAGAAGACCTTCGGAAGAAACCGATCGCCTCCGATAAATCAGCATCTGCAACCGGCGGCTGGCCGAAGTGCCGAGTCACGCTTACGGTAGCCGCTACTCGAGATTGTTTTCGATGTAAACCTTCGGCGGCCGCCGAAGGCGTAAACATTCGGGACGGTCGAGTCTTATTTTTAGTTTAGACTCCTAATGGATCGCGAGATGTGGCGGAACGGCACGGTGCGAGCGGAGTTTACGAGAGAGCGGCCGCGCGCCGTCGAGGGTCACCGCGTGATCGGCGGTGAAGCCGGGAAATCCGCTGAGAGAGGATCACCTGATCACACATGTTCACGATCCGCCGTCGCCTCTCACCGTCTTGCCGAATGGAACGTCGATTTAGCCGCGACACGCGTGCTGGGCATCGGAGAACTCGCTTCCTCCGGACTTCACCGAAGGGTTCCGAAGAGTTTCAGAGGCGAGCGAACGAGCTTGCGAGCTTGCGCACCTCGCGAGTCTCCCTCTCTAACTTATATAACACGCGTTTTACGTACAAGATTTTATATCGATGCAGTTACTGTCAGAGATGGTTGTTAAAATAAATGTCTTCTTGATCAATCGTTCCTTCCTGTTTCTTTGATTGGCTTATTTATAATCGACCATGCTGGCGAGCATCGCCCGTCATTTTGCACGTGGAAGTACGGCGTTCGAGGGAACTTCGATCCTCGGAAATCGTCATCGGCGGTTCACTCCTCGGAACGGCGGTTCCGACGTTGTCTGCGATTCTTCGCCCGCGATAGGATCTCGTACGCCTGTTGAATCTCCATGAACTTCTCCTGAGCCCGACGCCTCTCCACCTCCGAGCCCTTAACTTTGTCCGGGTGATTGTCCCTGGAGAGACTTCGCCATCGCGCCGTGACTTCGGTTTGCGTCGCGGTTTGCGGTAGATCCAAGACCTACAGATGGTCCAAGCGTCAATTTATTTATGCCGAGTTAGTTACTTCATTGGTCCAACGATGAAATTCGAATTGGGAACGATTGTTTTGACCGGTACAAATTATTGAATCGATACGAATGTTCGTTCCGTTTTCCACTCAGTATTTCCCGTAGGGATCCTAGAATTTCTACGGGCGTGGAATCACGCAGCTACCGGATTGAGATGGTGAGTCATCGAACAAATCAGAGCGTACTTGCTTCATTGAGAAACCAGTTTGCCTGCATCAGTCGGAAAAAAAGAAAGAAATTTGGTTTCCTTCAACCAAATTGCGTTCGATCGCCCGTTTTTCCGATTGATGCAGCCAAATTGGTTTCTCATTGCGTGTTGATTGAGTATATTTGAGAATAAATAAATGTCATATGTATATTTTGATGAAAGAACGGAACGAACTGGCTAAAAATTCGTTAATTAACACGCGTTGCTAATTCACGAGTTTAATGAATGTTCCGTGAGCGGTGTTTTTCCCGACCTTGTAAGCGTTTATCTCGCCACGAGGATCCGTGAGATCCACCAAGTGCGACCACGTGGCCCAGAATCCGTCATGCTTCGTCTGGTTCCACATGGCCTCCAGGCTCACCTGAAGTGAGCACACAATGACATTCGCATCATACAAACGCGATCTCAGCGTTCAACGTCATCGGGGACCCACCTTGAGGTCCAGCCAAATGGGCGAGGTGAGGAAATGCTGTATCGCTTCCGACAGCTTGATCTCCTCGCCTTCGCTGTCCGTGACGAATGCGTTGAAGTACAAGTAGCTACCCATCACGGAGAAGTAGAGCATGAGCGCCAAGCCTAAACACGTCGCCCTCCGGACGAGGCCTTTCCGCTTTCTCGGCTTCAATCGCCATTGCTTGCTGAAAGTGTCGAAGCTGAAGCTCGAGGCGATCACCATGAGGAATACCCACACGGTGTCGTCGCCGATGTAGTACAAGGTCGGATACGGCAGGTAAGCGGCGACGAGTGCCATCCATATCGAGCCTTGCTCTCGGCCGATATTCCCGATTAGCCAGACGCCTTGCGAAAAGTAAATGAAAAGTTCACCAAAAATCAACCCAAGAATGTCTCCAAGATTTCCACCTTTCCTATAGATCTGTTACGTTTGTGTTGTTTTTACCGATACGTTACAATCCTACTTCGAATGATTTTACCATCCGGCTGCTGGTTACAATTATCGCATCCGATAATTAACGAATGGGGAGATAACACTTAGAAATATCGCTTGACTAAATAGGATTGCCGCAACAAAATATTATCGTTATTTCTCGTCCACGCAACAGGTTGCCATGTAAAGCTTGTAGAGACCATAGTTCGCTGGAAGTAACCAGCATGGTTGCCCTAACATTAATAAAAATAGTCATAACATGGATATTAACACTTTAATGGCCGCACGTCTACGCAGTCAAACGTCGCCAGACGCAATCTTTTTGAAGAATTAATTAAAAAAAACTTTATTAAAATTCACGAAACAATTCTTGTTTACATTCATAAATCATCACACAGAGAGTGTGGTATTGGCCAATAATCTTCGGCGGTAGCATCACACACGTGTTGCGTGAGCGGACAATAACAGTTGTTCCGGCTATCACACACATGTTGTGTGAACGGCCATTAAAGTGTTAATATTGATATTGATACAATTGGTATTGATACAACTGGTGACACTGATTATACATTTACAAGGAATGAAAAAATGCACTAGCATCGTATATTGATAGAATTTTAGAACAGTGTTAGAAATTAGATTAATTGCGATTGTTCGGTAATCAAAGGGGGAGGGGAGGCTTTCGCGTGGCAGCTCGTATGATGAAATTCGCGGAAAGCAGCGAGCGATTGTTTGATTTTTATTTCGTTCTTCTCGGTCTTTTTTCAACGCTTATTACAGGCAACGTTCCACTTCTGATCGGCGTCGTAGCCTTAGAGACTTATCGGAAGGAACATAATTTACCACAAAGCTAATCTGTGACATACGATAAGGAAATATGACGTGTCCTTAACAAAAACGGCGCTCCAGTTTTCCCCGTTTGCAACTGGCGATTCTTACCTAGCGCGATCACGGCCGGCGTTAGGATCACCAGATGCTTGAAATTAATGCCGAACACCTCGTCCTGTGGGATCGCGCTTCTGAACAGCTCGGCCCACAAGTAGCTGACGGCAGTTTCCGCTACGAATCGCGCCGCGGAAAACGGCGGCTGTAATCAACAAATTCCCTCTCGTCAGCCGTTCGCGAAGCTTCCCAATCGGTGTCATATTTCGACAACATCGACCTTCCTCGGTGACGCATTTCTCGCCAATAAATCACATTTCCCCGATACCTGGATACTGTTTCCCGAACGTCCTTGTCGGAAACGCGCCCGGCACACGTTTGTCGACGACCATGAATATTGCGTAACGCATCGGACGTGAATGTTTATGCGGTTTCTGTTACGTTATCGGTTCCTCAAACAAATGCGCGGACAGGGTACGCGGAAAAGTCGTAATTACGATGTTAATAAAGATATCAGGATTAGCGAAGACTCGCGTGGCAGATTCCTCAGCGGCACACGCGCACAGACACACGGCGATTCTAACCTTCACGCCGAGTATTTATTTACCTTGCCATTAGCCCGGACTTTTCGTTTGAAATCCTCGATGAACGCCGGGTCGTCGTTCGCGTCCGCCACGTAAGACGGTATCATGTAAATATCCCTGAGCCAACCTAGCCCGAGGTAGCCGCCGAAAGTGCTCATGTACACGAAAGCCTGATCATCTCTGCCGAGGTACACGTGGTGGGCCCCGAAGAGCCCGCCGAACAGCCACAGCAGGTACGCCCGGAACTTGGACTTTTTGCCGCCGGGCTCGCGAGCCTCCAGCACATCGCTCTTCCCCTTCGTTTTCTCCATATTTCGCTTGCCGAGTCACGTACTGTTCATTTTCGGCTCGACGTCGAAGGTTGATATCTCGCCGCGATGATCGCGACGTTTCCCGCTCTCCTGTCCGTTTTCGCGCGAAGGAATCGCGGGGAGGGAAACGCCGTTATCCGCGCATTTTTCACAGACGAAAATCTCTCACTCGCAATTCGGCCGTTTCCTTCTGTCTGAAGTGCTTCGTCGTGTAAAGTATGTCGCGTTGGCCCGACGGTCGCGATTCCACTGCACCGGTTAAACGCGGTTCAACGCTCCGGCAGGCAAGTATAACGGTAAACTTCAGGGGCGTAACGGCCAGGTGCACGCTCGTCTTTAATAGGGAAGCAGCTACCTGACAATCCGGCGGAAGTGGCTAAAAGTCACGTAAGCGCCGCTTTAATATTTAAACCTGTGGACATTCGTGGAACTTCGGAAAGGAAGAGAGATGAAAGTCGCGCGACTTAAAGTACGGATTTTGTCGTTCAACTATTTGGTCGCGATATGTTACGTCGGGCATTTCAATTCACTAAATGGCAAGTGATTTCATTCTCTGGTACCAAAACGAAGATCACGCGAAACGTCTTCGCTTGAGGATACAATATCGGAGCATGGCTCGTATTAGTCTTCTATCTGTCATCAATTAATTAACGAGCACAAATCCTCATTTTTATGATTTTACATAGACGTGGAAGGGAAATGAAATATCGTGTAAACTTCAGAACGTTGAAGTTGAACGTTCGTCTCTTTCTGCGGCTCTTTCGCAATGACCTTCGCGACAAATACGCCAAGCTGTACTATTTTCGCGAAGTACTTAGCGAACTCGAAATAGTACACACTCCCGAAAGTTGCGACTACTATTGGCACGGCCGGATCTTTCGCGGTGTGTCAGTAAACTTTTGTGAATGAAATCATTCGGATTACGCGGATTTCGCTGAATCCACTTCAAGAACGGCCAACGCCGCACCATCTCTCGGCGAGGTCGCGAACACACGTGTTACCTGCGAGTGTCGATTTTCACCACAGTAAGGCAAAAACTACCCGGTAATTCAATATTCGACGAGAAACGAATAATACGCAATGCCACTGGCATCCGATGGTATTTGAGGATACGCGATAATACGTATTATCGAACACCTCGTCGATCGAAATTGGCGAAAAGATCTCTACCGATGGAAAACCAAAGCGAAATTTCGAGACGAGACACGAACCCCCCGATTTCGCGCCCAACATCACAAGTGATACTCCGTGCGATTTGTGAAACAGTTATCGTTTTATTTTACGATTCCCTGACGATCGGCGATTCCGACCTCTCAGCGTCGTTCGTCGTGCCGTTCGGTGTTGTTGACGCCGAGATCAATATGGCGACAGACACGTGCCATATCACGCGTACGACGCTGGTGGTCAATCGTTCATACGTTTCGACGTGATTACCCACAAGTGTTTCGACGTCGTGCACGTTCGCGGATTCGCAAGGATGGAGAAGCGCAATGAGACCAAGATGCGTCATAAGGAGTGGCGCCGCATCGTAAAAAAGGAGCGTCGCAGACGTCTGCGGCGTGCGACCGCCCAACAACGTGACGCCGATGAGGAACGGCTGAGGGCAGCACTGAACAACACCGTGGAATATTTGAAGTGGTGCGACGAGCAGGAGAGGTTCAAGAAGGAAACGGAAGCGCGGGAGCGGCGAGAGCACGAAGAACGGGAGAAACAATGGTTGGAGGAAGAGGTAATGCTTTGATTGCGAATTTAAAACGTCCGCCAGCGCGTTTAAATTTCAAGAGTTGCTTTCGTTATGCCGAAAACAATTACCCCGTCGTTGAAATAACACTGACTTGATCTAAGTAAAATGGTCATTTCAATACTTCTTAGCAAATATTTACTAGAAAAATAGAATATTCTTTTAAATATCTATCATGCTGTATGATAATTTCTTAAATTTAGAACTATTTTACACTTACATTCAGTAATTCATTTACTAAATTCAAGTATTACTACGTTCAAGTATTTATTGGAATATATTGAAATTGATAAAAATACTATTTGATTTAAGAGGCTGAAAAACAGGTAATCATGTTTACTTAATTCTAATACTTGATTTTTCTATATATAACGCTATATTTTTCATAGCCATACTTAATATATTTTTTTTAATATTCAATTTGTTTATTCAATAAATTTCATGTCTGCCCACAAGAAATATATAAATAGGCAAATTGAAATATTTCACGGAGGCGTGTGTGACGCTGATATCGAACGTGTCGAAGGAAATTTTTCCGTAATCGGTCCAACCGTCGCCTTTCGATTCCCCAGGTACGAGCGCGAAAAGAATGGCAAGCTCTTCAACAAAAGAAGGAGGAAGAGAAGCAGAAACAGTTGGAGGAGCAGAGGAAGATGGCCGAGGAATTGGAGGCAAAAAAAGAAGCATTCCGGAAGAAGGAAGAAGAGCACAGGCGCAAGCGAAAGGAGCTACTGCGGAAACGGGAGCAGCTGCAGAAGGATATCAACGATTACATCGAAAATCGAGCGAAAACACCCGAGGCTCTGCGAGAAGTCAACGAGACTCAGCCCGGGAAGGATCTCTGTCCGTTCTTCATGAAAACGGGCGCTTGCCGGTTAGTCCGTCGAACGATGCGATATAAGATGACAATGTTGAAATTTCGCGCATCTCCGGATCTGTACAGACTTTTTGCCATGTCTTCTCGTTAAACCGCGGAAGCGTTCCACCTGAAGGCTGCCGGAAAATTAATTATCAATTCCTATGAAATTACAATGAAATCGAATTGAATTGAGATAAAAATTAAATTGTTTTCCGACGTGCCTCATTTTCAGGTACGGGGATAAGTGTTCGAAAAATCATCGAATAGTCTTCCTGAGCAAGGTGATTCTGATCCACGGATTCTACTCGCATTTTTCCCTCGAGAAGAACTCAGCGGAATACGACACCGATGTGACGCTCGAGTACGAGACCTCGGAGACATGGCAGCACTACCGCGAGTTCTACGAGGACGTAATAAGTGAGCTGAAAACATATGGCAGAATAAACGTGGTCAGGTGTTGCTGTAACACGGAGGCGCACTTGCGCGGCAATCTGTACGTCGAGTACCACACGGAGCGCGAGGCCACCAGAGCCTGGAAGAGGTTGAATGGACGTTGGTACGCCGGCAAACAGCTGAAGTGCGAGTTCGCCAATCTGAAATCTTGGCGAAGCGCCATCTGCGGGATGACAAAGTGCCCGAAAGGCACGGCTTGCAATTACCTGCACACCTTCCGTAACCCGCGGGACGAATACAGCATCAAGGAAGCCCGACGCATGAAGAACACTCCCCAAATATCGAACAGCAAAAGAAGCGAACGCAGGTCGGTTGATTCGTTATCCATCGGCAAATTGTTGCGAGTACAATGTAACGAAATCAATTTCCCAGAGTTTTCATTATTATTTACGAAATCTCGAATCTGTTTCTTCAGCAGGAGGAAGTCCAGGTGGGAGGAATCCGTTCGAACCGACAGCCAAGAAGAACGCGACTGGAGATGGTCTGAATCTCCTGAGATCGAGCTAGAGCCTCGGACAAACGACGCGGAGGAGAAACGCACTCATGTCCCGAAGAAAGAACGATCGCACAGATCTTCGCATGATGGAAGCGAGAGCAGTTTGAGGAGCTTGAACAGTTCCCGCCGTTCGAGATCACCCGAGGAACGCCATCGATCGAAGAATCGCAAGAGAAGCCACGACGACGACGAGGAGACCGCGTCGGACGGTCGCTCCTCGAAGAAGCGCAAGAAAAAATCTAAACGAAGAAACGACAATGAGAATGACCACAAAAAAGCGAGAAGGAATTAAATACAACGGGAGTCACTGAAAATCCAAAGACCGCGCAAATATATATTACATATTTTACATACGTATAAATATAAAATATATACGCGTGTGTGTATATAAAATATATATTTTATATATTCTTTGTATATATATATATATGTCGAATATATATATATGTATGGAATATATATCAAATATATATAAAGACAATATTCCTTCGCTTTACAGCGTCGAACTATTCTGAGATGAGTTCTTTTGTACATTAATTCTAACAAACTCTGTCAAAGACTGAGCACTGAGTTTTGCTTAAGTGCAAGATAACGTTCGACATTAAGTGTACAAATGAGCGAATAATAAACGAGTATTGAGAAGAAATGCGTGTGTGCGTGTAATTCCATTTGGATAGCGTGCGATTCCATTGGTTTCCCATCCCGTCGAGTCGATCATTCGAGTCGTCGCAACGACGTCGCAACGACGATAAATAAAGTATGTCTGATTACGAGAGACACCTCGCGCGTCGTCTTGTTGTAATTTCATTTCGACACATTTTATCGCGCGACAAGCACTTGCATTCGCATGCTTATCGAGCGACACCGTCTCACTGGAGGATCCTCGCGAATTGTTATTGTAGCGATCTGATTTCTTCAAACGCTTAATTGAATACGAAATAAACGCCGTCTAGAGCGTTATCGCGCGATTGGAGATAACATATCGGTGATTATCAGCAGTCAAAAATGAAACGGTAAATATCAATCCGTCACAATTTAAGTAAAGTGTCTCGAGCGCGCTTTAAAAGACAATCGGCTACTCTTCGTGCTACAATCAGGAAATAAACTTACGACGATTCGTTCTCTCTCGACGACTCGTCATGATCGTGCTGCTCAACGCGCTGCTCGTCTTGTGCTCGATCCACCCTCTCGTAAGCGGGGTGGGTTTTCGTGGGTTCACCTACCGCGGTCTGGATGAACCGGAGCCGATAGGACTCAACGTGGAGGACGTGATCGAGGGTTGGATCATTCAACCGCTCGATCATTTCAACCCCCGTGAAAATCGCACCTGGTTGATGGTAATCGTCGCGTGATTACCTTTGGGAATTTCTTCGAGTAGGAAGGAAGTACTATCCGTTTTATTCGGAGAAGCTACACTCACGAAATAACACTCGCTGATCGCTCCGCAGCGTTACTACGAGAACTCCGCGTTGCTGAGAGCAAACGGGCCCATCCTGATCACGATCGGCGGAGAATGGGCGATATCGACCGGATTTCTGCAGGGTGGACTGATGTACGAGATCGCGTCCACTCACGGTGGCATGATGTATTACACGGAGCATCGCTTTTACGGGAAGAGCAGGCCGACAAAGTACATAAGTATTCCGCAGTTCTCGCGTCGTGTACCGTAATATGGAATCACGTTCTGAAAATCGATCCCGCACGAATTTAGGGACATCAGCGCGGATAGTCTGCGATTCTTGAGCGTCGATCAAGCGCTCGCTGATCTCGCATATTTTATCGAGACGAAGAAAAAGGAGAAGAATTTGGAAAACAGTCCGGTGATAGTGTTCGGTGGTTCCTACGCTGGCAATATGGCAACGTGGGCACGGCTCAAGTACCCTCATCTCATTCAGGTATCTCTTATCGTCTTGACTGTGTATCTTGAGAATTCCAACCTCTCGCGGAGAAATATATCAAGAAGTTTCTTAAGGATTTCTGAAATTTCTGAAATATATGAAAAAATGTCTTTCAAGGGTGCCTTAGCTAGCAGCGCACCGGTTAACGCGAAAGCTGATTTCTATGGTAAACCATATCGATTAATTAAACATGTCTCCCATGAATGTCGCTAACCGCTTTCTTTGCCTCAGAGTATTACGAAGTTGTGACGAGATCGCTCGGCAGACACAGTACGCAATGTGTGGCGGACGTCAAGAGCGCGTTCGACTCGGTGGAGGAACTGCTGGCCGCGCCAGGCGGCCCCGAGAAACTCAAAGTTTATTTCAAGTAAGACAATGACTCATATTCAGCAGCTTACATTTATAGCCGTTACTTGTGGAACTGTTCTCACAAGATCTTCAGATTTTAATTTCAAATCGAATGTAATCTTTCGAATTAAATCGCAATTATTAGTACAACGTAACATATATCGTATGATTCGATTGAACAGATTCAGATCTAATTTGAAATTCAGATCTCATGTGAAACGAACTTCAAGTAACGACTATTGCGTAATCGTAATACGAGTCCAAATATATTATAAGCCACGGACGATTTTTTCGCACTTTTTTACGATTGCGATGAAACGAATAGAATGAAAAAATAAATGGATGAAGTAAGCGGCGATTAATTAAAAGAATGATTTCGCGACCATTGGATATCGACTTTAGCTTGTGCAAAATGCCGGATGTGAAGTCTCCCAGCGATCTCGGTTATCTGATGAATTCGCTAGCAGAGGTGCGTAGATCATCGATAACGACGAGCCGATAAGACCGTTTTGTTTACTTGACTATTCGATCATTCATTGTGATCAGGTGTTCGCTGGAATCGTCCAATATGACAAAGTCGAAGATGGTCGCACGAAGATCGCGGTATTGTGCGATAATATGACAGCGACGCATCTCGGCAGCCCTCTGCAGAGACTTGCGCGTCTCGTCGTGAACTCGGACGGTTGCCTCGATATGAATTACGAGAATTTCATAGCGAAATACCGTGAAATCTCGTGGGACGCGCCGGCGGCAGCCACTGTCAGTGAGTTCGACCTCATTCGTCTAACGAAACAAACGAAGGCGCGATACAGCGTTTCACGTAACTCTGCAATGTTTACAGTGAGACAGTGGTGTCATCAGACCTGTACGGAGTACGGTTATTATCAAACGACGAATTCGGATAAGTCGATCTTCGGAACCCTTTTCCCGCTGAGTTACTTCACCGACATGTGTATCGATCTATATGGCGATTAGTAAGTATAATTACCTTCGAACGTAGAGCACCAAAGTCAGTTGAACCTGATATACCGAATATTAAAAATTGCAATATTAAAAAAAAAAGATTTTAGAAAGTAAACGAATTTTAAAGCAGAATTTTTCGCCTCTTAAAAGTAAAGAAAATTGATATATAATACTGTTATTACTTGCGTGAAGCTCATCATCGTTAATTGGTACTCAAAATATCCCGGGAACTATTGGGCCGATTTAATGTGGTCAGCTGAAAAATTCAAACATTGGCCCGTTTTTCGAGCCATTCGGGTGTATATAGCCCCTTAATATCAAATTATTCCCAATCGGAAGAAGAAACCAAACGCGTTGATTCTAGTTACAACGGAAAGTTACTGGATTCACGAGTCAGGAGGACGAACATAATGTATGGAGGGCAGCGGCCGGATCTAACGAACGTGATTTTCACGAACGGCGATATCGACCCGTGGCATGCTTTGTCAGTATTAGAGGACCTTAATGCTTACTCTCCGGCTATTCTTATCAACGGTAATCGAACGAGACCGATCGAGAGAAGTCCTCGTTTGCTCTACAATGCGACATGAAACGTCTATCGTTCTATTTTCAGGATCTTCGCATTGTCGCGATCTCTATAGCGACACAGCCACGGACGTGGAGGACTTGAAGAAAGCCAGAGCGAAGGTTCGCGGCATAATCGGTAAATGGCTCTCCTCGTGAGGAAAGCTCTCGTCGGGAGTTTCCCGTGAAACGTCGCTCACCAACGTGGCGGTTTCTGGGACAAGGACAACATATAACGTTTCTTTACAACGCATCGATTGTGATATGTTTACAAAAGCTATGTACAATACCGGGGATATTTGTATGTGCGCCACACAATTACAATGAATCTAACCGTATACAGTAGCTACATAGTACAAAAATAATATTACGTCCACTTGACACCTTGTGCTGTATAATCAAAAAGATCCCTCCTGGCCCGCCGATATTGATCGCGACTCCGCGCCGACTTATTCCACCAGATAGGCCCGCGTGAGCGAAACGAGTGAGGGCATCAATCGACTTCGAGTTTCCGGAAGGACCCGGTGATGCCGTACATCGTGGAGTCGTTGGGGCCGACGCTGGAACAGCCGAATCCTTGCTTCAGGGCCGAGACCGCGCCTTCCCGCGCCTTCTCCGAGTACAGCTCGAGGCAGACCTTCATCTTGTCGTGTCTCAATAACGTGGGTCTTATCGCCATCAGCTCTTTCCGCCATAGATCTGCATCGGGGGGGAGAAGCACGGTTTATTGTGTCCTCGAATGGGACGACGAGACTTTCTCTCCTTCTCGAACGTCGATACGTGGAGACACGCGGTGAAACGCGCTACTAATTACCGATCATCTCCTTCATGGGAATGGTGCCGCCGTACTCTTTCGGCAGCATGCTGGTGTCCATCTTGCTATTGATAGCATCCTCCAGACTCGTGTAGAGATTGATGCGTTTCTTGATCTTGTCGGAGATGAGAGACATCCCGAAGTCCAGGGCGAACTTCAGCGAGGGGTGCGCGTTGATCGCGTGTACTTCCTTGTGCCGCATCGGCACGGTGCGCTGAAATAAGTGTTTATCATCTGCTCGTGACTGTCTGCGCGCTTCTTTCTTCGTGACAACTCGAATAATTAGCTTCGCCGTCAATTTCGACTAGCCGGGTACCCGAGTCCTTCAGTAACTGAGTATACGACTATAATTTCAAACGTGATCGAGGAAACCGGTTTCGGTGCACGTCGAATGCTTCATGCGAGGATAGCGGAATGAAATTTCGTTACTGTCGTCCTTGGTTCACGCGTGTAACGGAATCAGCTACGGTTCGATGGCGAAAACGAGGAAACGTTTTCGCCGCTTTATCAACAACCGTCTGCCGTTTCAAAGAAGCGAATAACGACGCTTGCGAGCAAAACCTATTCATCTGTACCGTTTAAGTTGATTCTCGGCGTATGCCGACATGGTCCGAATTATGTGCGTCAACGAGAATTTTCGAAGATGGTAATTGTCGCGAGACGACTTCGCTTTCACGAGACATAAATCGTTTCGTAAACTTCAGCACGAATATCGCGCGAGGAGAGATTACGTAACGTCGTTTAAAAATATACGCATCATCTAAAAGAAGCCTATCGCGTCGATCGAGTTAGATCAAACTCGATGGTGTGCATAATTTATTAATAGTTCGATCATACCTCGCCATTTTTCACGATGCGCACGGCCTCCTTCGGAGTGAAAAGCGTCAGATGGGGGAAACTGACGCCGGCACCGTCGGCGAAATGCACGTAGCCACGTATTTGGCTCTCCTCGTCTTCCATTAGCGACTCGTAAGTGATGGCGTGGATTTTGCACATGTCCGCGTTCGTGTATTTATGCGGATCGAATACGCCTTGGGTGGAGAATCACGCGCGCAATTAAATCTATAATACTCAGCGCCTCGAGCGCGCCAAAGGAAAGGCTATAACACGTACCTGGTCGAGCGATTATTACGCGACGGCCCTTCGCGTCGCGGCCGGGTGCGGCGAAGAGGTATCTAAAAGATAGACGAGCTGGCGAACAAGTTCCTGGCGATAACGATACGCATGGAAAAAAGAATTAGCTCCCACTAGGTAAAAATTAATTAGCTGTATGTCCATATAATACAATTGAAATTTAATTCATTTAGCTATTTTTTCCTTGTACTTATACTTAGTTTTTAACCCGTCCCGACTAAAAACTAGATTTGGTAACCAAATTTCAGTTGTGTTATATAGACAGCTAATTTCTTTCTTCCGTGCGACTACTCGCGACGACTACTCACCCGAGCGACAATAAATCCTCCATGTTCGGCTCCGTGATGTCCAAGTTGTTGAAAGCCGGGTGATATACCTGGCGGAGCAAGAGGTACCTCTCTGTGGCTTCCTGTGCCATCGGCACATTGAATTTTTTGCATCGTAAGAATCTTAGTAAGAATTGCCCATCTGACGAGAGATGACAGATTAATGACGTGCGTCTGATCGTCGATACACAAAATCGTAGGACCGACGCTACTCGCTAACAATTTCTCTACGAAATAATCTCCGGAAGTCTTTTTTTTTTTTCTTTGGAAGATTATGAATTAATTATCATCTAAAGCTGTCTGGGATGTGTGTTAAAATCTTAAAATAATTCGACGAATCTATATAGTTATCGGCGAAATGAATGCCTTCGTATGTTCACTTCCCTTTCCGCGTGATCGGTATCGGATCAACCTTTGCGCTAGTATTTCGCGTCGATCGCTACTCGACGTTACAATCTCACCCAGACGGCAATTTTGAATACGCGGATTCATTTTGATCCAATTGCGCATCTGCTCGAGGGCCTGATCCCTGGTGTTTTTGTCCTCCCTCAGCTCATCTTTCGCAAGTTTTTGCGTCTCCTTCGAGAGAGTGCACTCGTACTTATCCTCATCGACTACCCACTCGACTGCTCCCATTTTCGCGGCTTGCTTCGAGAGGCGAGTGTTGACCTACTTGAGCTTACAGAGACCTGGAAACGTCGTGACGTGATGTTTAATCTCTGACAGTTTGAGCAAGAACGCGAACATTTCCGAGTGGAACTCGCGCCGCCGCATCCTTCTCACGAATAACGACGATCATACTTCTGGGAGAAGGATGAAATTCACGAAATGGGAAAGAAACACAAACTCTGCACAAGAAACCAGCGAATCTCCTGCTAATTTGACAGAAACATCTGGGAAGAGGTTTGACACCGTGAACATTACTCTAACGCTGCTCTTTTCCAATCTGTAGAATTTTTCATATATCGGACACGAAGAGCCAATTCTACCGGAATAATGATGCCATTTCGATATTTCTCGACATTTCTTGATCTTCGTATATTCACTTTTCTTTGTGCTCGCGCTCATCGCGCTCATTTTTGTGTTGCATCCCGAAATAAATTATCCGTGCGATTACACGACGCGACGCGCGTTTTCACTTTCTTTCGGGGCGACCAGATGATATCACCACGCCTGCGGATGAACAGCTGACCCAGTTCTTCGCGCGTCCATGAAACAAAGTGTCGAGAGAAATGCGCGATCCCTCGTATTTCCCCGTGAAAGAAAGAAGCACAGACGATTGCGCCGCCAGCTGAGATCGCGCGAGAATTCTCGGGCCTTTCGTCAGGTCGTGACATAACGATTAGCATGGTCGAGAAATAGCGAGTGTTCTCTTCCATCGCGTGTATGATTCAGAGTACTCCCTCCCTTCTCTCTCTCTCTCTCTCTTTCTCTCTGTCTACATGCATGTGCCTGCCGCCAGCCTGTTTCGCAACCACTTTCTCCGATTATGCAATATGAGTAGGTTGTTCACCCATCTTTGTTCGCCGAAACAAACGCGTGGCTGCTGCGTGCAAGAAGAGATATCGTTATCATCTCAGATTGCATAGGCGCTACCGCAATCACGACACAAAGCTGCATTTTTCTTCTCTGAGCCCGCGCTATATGAAAAAGTCTCACACGGTTAATGAAGTGGGAAAGAGCGAGTGGAGGCGCCGTTGAGAAATCGCTGTGGCTCCTCTATTATTACCCCGCGTAAACCACCATTCGCGACGACAAATACGCCCGGCGAGTAATCGTTCGCGCACCGTAATAGACTTATTATTGCCGCCGAAAGATTTACCGTTCCCTCTCTCCGACTCTCTTCCACTTGATTCGACATCGAACGCTCCGCGCTCCAGAAAGCACAGGTAGCCATGAATTGCGCAAGCATTATGATACTGCTTATCGTGAACTAGAACCGCAAAAATCATCTTTACACGTAATACCCGTTACATGGCCGTTCAAGGAGCAATTCGGCGCGAAACGGCTACGAAGGGAAGCCTGCGTGAGGCTTGGAGAACTGACGATCGCAGAGAATAAAGGAGAAGGTGGTATTATGGCTCCCTTTAATATCCTCATTATTAGATGACGAATTCTAGCGATTACTTATGGAATAAATATTTTGTTTAGTTAGTATAAGTAATTTATTCAATAGTCCGTCATTACGCAATGACATTAATATGCTAATGTACAAGTCGGCGTATATTATAACGCGTTTTTACTTTCGAGCATTTCGAAATGTTTTCAGAGTACATTTTAGCATTTAATCGCACATACTTTCTCATTTTTCTTAAAGTCAGCCGTATTATCATATAATTATCGAATATATGCTTACTTGAGCATTTCGTTCGTTATTTGACATTTTATTCAGCTCTACATATTTCGAGTTTTGCAAAGTTAAGCAATAACATGGGCAATTTTTCCCTTTCTTCCTTCTCCCTCTCACTTTATTAACATAGATTTAATACGACCTTTTTCTCGAAGTTTCCATGTCGAAATAGCTGTTCGATCAAGTCAATAATTTAAGTTGTATTTCAAAGTGTCTATTAGTTTTGTAGAAATTGTTTTTTTTTGACAGTTTGCAACTATTTTCTGACAAGTCGGTATTTATATTAAAAATTATAATCATTGTTATAATCATTAAAAATTATAATCATTGTTACAATCATTAAAAATTCTAATCATAGTTATAATCACAATTATAATCGTTGTTGTTTCTAAGAGTTTATTTTGAATAAATACATAAATTTGGAACAAAAAAACATCATAAATAATTCATAAATATTTCATAATTTTGAGTCTAGAATTGATCGAATAATACTTTAGTGAATATAATCGTTAAGTTTTCAATTTAAAACACTGACTATTAATATAATTACTATAAAATGTAAATGAGGAGAGAGAGAGAGAGAGAGCAGAATATTATCTTCTTGTACGCGATTTTATTTGTATCATTGTGGGACACGCGTCGGCCCTGAATTAGACGAATCTCGAGATCGAGAGGTCGAATAGACGAGGAATAATAATAGCGGGACGCTCATCGAGCGTCAAGCCACGCCGTGTCATCGTCTCACGTCGATCTCGCGCGATAGTTGATGAATGTAATCACGATTAGTGCGTACGTACGTATGTACGCACGTATATGCGACGATCGCTACGATACGATGGAGCTAGTTAAGGGAGCAGTCTTCTTCCGTGTAGAAAGTGCCACTTATCGTGTTACCGTCCGCGGCGAGCTTTCATCCGTGGCGTCGATCGTTGTTACGCTTGTAAGAGCTTTTTTATAAGAGAGTATTAGGAGGTCGCGTTACGTCAGACACCGATGATAATCTCTACGCGTTTTCACGTTGATTCGCAGCGTCACCTTTACCTGCCGCTTTAACGCTGCCTGCTTGCTCGCTTGCGCAATCGTTACGTGGACGAACGACCCGCCGAAGGGCTCCGTCGTGTATTACGAGGATTATGTCATGGGGCTTTCGATCGTAACTCCGTTGCAGCTGGTTTCTTATGCGATCCGATCATCGTGAGGGTAATGATCGCGTCTTTTCCGCGCAAATTTCCCGCGAGATATCGACTCGGACAATGACGACTTTCCGCCTTGTCAACATCTCATATTCCTGACCTTTGTTAATCGTGACCTTTGCGAGCAAGGACGAGGACACGCTGCTCCGTGAATCGTCGCGTGAATTGAAATTCGCACGGCGTCGATCGGTCCGACGAATTATTCCGCGACGCGTGATCGAATGGCCTAAAGAGTAAGGACGTCACTGACGTGAACGTCATGTATGACGTGCGGTTGTCTTATAGAGTAAGATCATTCGGACACGGTTGATATGAATGAAATATTAACGCAGCGTGTTCTTCGGAGAACCAAAAGAAGCTACGCTTATCGCGCTTGGGGAACTGATCGCAGTTAAATCGTTAATCTCAGGCACACATCGAAATTAATGAGCGGAACTAAAGTATATGCCGACATAATAAAAAAATTATTACTACAGGATATTCCGAAAGCTGTGTGCTTTGTGCGTTGCTTCAAGTACTCCAGATTCCCGGCAAATCCAGATTTGATTGTCCTGTGGCAAAATTTCAAGATGAAACGCCGTATTTGTACAGAGTTGAGTGTTCGGACTGCTAAGTTATTTGATAAAGCGCTGTTCGCGGTAAAGTGCAATGAAGATCAAATAGAGGACGAAGTACTCGTATCGATTTCCTTGTTTAAAGCTTTGTTCCTCAAAAACTTCGAATTCGTCTTCCTTTTTCAATTGACGCACATTGTATGGAAGATTTAAACCGCTTAATCGTATTAGTATGTTTGCTAATACCAATATTCGGATATTGTAGATTTCTCTTTAATTTAACACCCGACACGTTTAACAATATTATTATAAGGAGCATTAATAATTAATTAATTATATAATAATACGTGTTTACTCTGCTGTATTTGAATATATTCTGTAATCCCAAGGGAAGTTTTATCCCATTAATAAATTCAATTTAAGAACCACTGATAGGTTAAAAAACGACGACCGTCTGACTTAATTCGACATTCGGTATCTATGCGGTTTCAGACAAGCGTACGAGGAAATGTGAAATAAGAAGAGAAAAAGAATTTACACACGTGTCAAATCCTTAATCCTAATCGTACGCTTACTCGATGTGGTCTCTTGACGGATGGCGCGAAATCCGCAGCGACTCGGGTGTCTCCTACGTTCTCCAATACTATACTAGATATCGTGATAATGTGAACGTACCCCGTTCGTGGTACCCCAGGTGCACACTTGGACGCGACTGCCCCTCTCTCGTCGCTCGGACGCTCTTTTATAATTTCCAGCTCCTTCCTCTCCTCTTCCCCCGTTTCCAATCGCGAATGAGCGAACGTGTCCTCACGGGGACCTGCGAATCCTTCGAAGTACCTCGAACTCGGCCTCTCTTTTTCGAGTTATTCCTCCAGAGTACGAGTTGATTGCCGCCGCAGTCGCCGGCGTGCTTGCCTTTAAACTTCGCTGACCAGGAAGTCGCGGAGTGCGCGCTGTTTTGACTGCGTTCTACCCTTTTATAGATAGACTCTACATCGTCAATCTAAACGATGCGCAATAGTTTCGTAACGATCTCCCCCCGTGCCGCCAGTATATACATATATTCGGCTCAGTTTTAACCAAGAATCGTTTATTTCGTTCTTTTCATCTCGCCGCTCCCCTCGTCGTCAGATTTCCGCAATTAAGGTCATTACGAATGTGCACGGCTGTCTACCAGTGATCAAATAATTTCTTTTGCTAAAGCAAATGACGGTAGCGTTATTTCCGATTTAGCATTCAAGAAAGTGTTCCGCTGGCCCAGTTAGAATTCTAAATGTCAAAGGTATAGCGTATCGCTGTTCTTTGTATCTGCTAAATTATATGTACATATAATTTATCGCAGCAACATTCTAGCGAACAACTGTGCAAACAAATTTAGGTCGTTTCTAATATTTAATAAGAAATGTAACTGGAATTAATCCGGATGAGCTCTCCACCAGAGAGATTTTCTTGCTAAATTAGGCAAATAGTTCCGATAAAAAATCTGCCTCTTTCGCCTATATCGATTAGATACAACTCACATGAGACATTGAAGTGTTTGCTAAATCTTTATCCATCTTAGCTTCCGCGGCGTATCGTTGCATGATATATAAATTTCTGATCCTTCGAGTTATCCTGCTGTACCTTACTATTCTCGTCTCGAAACGTTCGAAGGAATTGATCTGACACCTTTTAGTTCGCTTTAGCAAGGGGAAAAACTTGCTATTTCTCGTCCAAATGTAACACTGTAATGTGCACTCCCAATATTACCATAACTACCGCTTGCATAGCAAATATCGTTTGAAAACGCGATTAAACACAATCGAAGCAAGAAACACGCAACTCTTATCTCTCGTGTCCATAAACGTAATCAACGCTCAGGAAGTAGAAACGCTCCTTTCAATTTCGAGACGCGGTTTCATTCATGCTACGAGCGATTTGCTATTTTCTCCTTACGAAGAACTTTGCAAATTGAATAACAGCTCAATTAATAAATTCTTATCTACATATTTCCGCGTTTGTCCTCGCACCGAAACACTAGAGCGAGAAGGATAGACGTGGGAAATTCTCCGCGGATTTCCCGCAAGATGCAATCCCGAATTCTAACTTCGAGAATCTTGGCGAAGACCTATCGTTAATTTCTCACTTTTCCTTGTTATTTATAGAAAATATTTAAAAGATACAACTACGATAAAACTAATAGCAAGTCAACATCACCGTAGGCAACCTTGATCCGGAAGATGTGATTACTCGATGTCATCAAAACGGATGTAAAATGACACCTGCGGGCGTAACGAAGCTGAAAATAATCAGTAAGATAAGATTTCGCAGCTTTGCGCAGCGAACGGCGATCACGTAGAGGGTTGCAAAACACACAGGATGTCCGCATCATCGCAACCTTAATGAATCGTTAAAGGATTGTCGAGTAAAAGTCGGCCTCCCGCAGCGACAGAGAGTAAGAATTTGTTTCTTCTCGCTCGCCTCCAAGCCGGCGTCTTTCCCCCCCCCCCCCCTTTTTTTTNTTTTTACGGAAGAGATTAGAGAGATGGCTATGATAAAGCGATTATTTTCGGGAATATGTAGACTTTCTCTGTGCGCCGGCGGACGTTCGAGGAAGTGGAGTAACGGGTAGGAATTGGAAGTGCACGATGTAACGCGCACGGGGGTCTCTACGTATTACAGGACGAACGTAACTTCTGACTAGTTGCATCATTCGCGCACGTAAGAGGTAAATAAGCGATACTTTTTATCCTCAAGACGTAACACTGTGTACGAACTGGGGTTTCAACATTGATTGATTTTTATATTACGCCAGGAGAAAATATTGTATAACGGTGGTTGAAGGAGTAATAAGTGAATTAGCATAAATATAGAACACGGATGACAATCGCAATGAACGAAATTTCACTTTCTAAAAATAAACTGACGAATATCAGTACAAAATTTACTTGTAAAATGTTGCGTGCTGAGTCATTGCCGCGTCCATAGTATGAGTACGGTCGCGAAAACTGTGGACGTTTTCACAGCAAGACGGAAAAAAATTACGGAAAAAAATACAAACCTTTATATTTATTAAAGAAACTTACTTAATACAAAACTATAGGTTAGGCACTTCTGTTCTATTAATTACGACTAATTACTTATATAACTTGAAAAAAAAAAGGAAAAATATTGAGCAACGTGGTTTTGAGAAATTCCAACTTCGGAAGCTTGATGTATCACTAAAAAGTTTAAAACTAAAAGCAGAAACTTATGTTTCTGCATATACCGAAATGGCAGTGATATCGATATAGTTGTTAATTTTTGTGATGCTTCAAGTAAGAATAAAACATTTGTTTCGAGTTCTTCGCTTCGTTTTTGGCATTCTTCCTTAAACCTATAATATACCCAAGATATTCGATGCATCATCAAAAAGGCTGATCTTTCGGCTTTTAAGTCTTTTAACGGACTCACGAGAAAAATTATAATCTATTACATTTGTACATTAAAAATCCTATTTTAATCTACATATACATATGAGGAATATATATATATATATATATATATATATATATATATGCATATAAATAATATATATGTATATGTTGGGTGTAAAAAGCACAGCCCTTCCCCGACTGTTCGACCATTTGATCTCCGAAACCGACCTCGAAAGTTAAATCAAACGAGATAATTACTTATTATGTGATTACGAAGGAAGGGGGAGAGAGTAAATGAAAAGCAATACGAAATCGAGCAACTTTTCATGCTTGTGTAAGAACGATCGCCGGTAACAACGTAACCAGACGCTGTAACGTTTATGGTCCGGTCGCGTGTCATTACGAAGCTTCCACACGCAAGGCGCCGCGGTCACTCACATCGTCACGGGTCCAAGTGCGATTGCACAGGTGACGGAAGAAAAAGGGGAGGACGATAGCTTCCTAAGTAGAGTCCTAGATATTACATATTTCCCTACCCAGAAGTAACCTTAATGAACGTGACTTCGCCTAACCGCGCGTAACCACTTCGGATTACCGGGTTTCGCCGGATACGTACGAAGCGCACCCCGTGATCATCTCTCGCGGTGAATTGCGTCGGGAACACGTCGTCTTCCCTACGATGATCCGGAAGCGATGCACGTGGAAATTTCATCGCGCGTTCTCTACCAACGTACCGTGACACGGATGTGCGAATTTTATGCTTTCACCGCGAAATGAAATCAATGCGCGCCGCTCGTCTCCTTTTCGCGGCGCTCATTATCGGGGAATTATTTTTTTGGAAACCGGCGAATCCGAACGACGATCTGATGAAACCTACGCGGAAACGCGCTTCAATGAAATCAGTCGCGGACCTCGGAACATACACGCTCGCTCACTAGCTCGTTCGCGATAGGAACGTAGTCTTAATGCCATCGGAATACGTTTACGAAAAAAAAAAAGGAATTAGCTCTCATGGCTGAAAACTAGCTAACTATATAATATTACTGAAATATAATTACTAGATCTAGTTTTTACCTATCGCAACTAATTCTTATGACTACTAGTCGTGCACGGAAAAAAAGAATTAGCTCTCATAGCTGTCTACATATACAATTGAAATTCAGTTATTATACCAGACCTAGCTTTTAGCCGTGAGTATAGTTATAAAAATTCGTTCCCACAGCTAAAAAAACGAGGTCTAACTAAATTTCGGTTGCACCATATAAGTAGCTAGTTTTTAACTATGGGAGTTAATTCTCTTTCTTCCGTGTTGCAAGTAAAATAATAACGTGTCAAAAATAGACGCTACGAACGTGTAGATATTCTCGTAGTGTTGTATTTGTGTATTCTCGCTTCAGTCGTAATCGCATTATCACATTTCCTGCCTTTCGACGAACCACGTGAGACCGAACTTCTTATTTTCTACCAATAACCTGTACTTTACTGTAGGCCCCCTTGCAACCAGCGTTATTTGTCACCAACTGTTGCTTGACAGATTCGAAATCGTCGTCGGAAAGCGTAATTTCGCTGACACGCGCCGCGTCGATGATGCACTTCTCTAACACGTCCTCGCCCAAAAGCTCGAAGGTGATCACCTTGACGTCGAGATTTGCGCCGGCGAAAGAATCCCTTATCGTCTTCGCGCTTTGATCGAGATCTATCTTTCGCAGTAAATCGTCGTCCATGCGCTCGACGTTGAACACGGCCAGCACGGTAATGTACTGATTGACATCCACTTTATCATTCATCTTCAGGAAGTTGACGACGTCCGCCAGGTCGTGTTCCTTCAGATTTTCCAAGACGATTAGCTTCGGATACAAGAAGGAGAAGCCGACATCGTTCATGGTTAGACTGATCGGCGAGAAGTACTGACGGATGGAGTATATCGGAAAGTTGCTTTCTATAATCTGAGTTGTGTACGATTTGCCGACGCCTGTACCGCCCACGAGAGCCATCATCTTCAAGACAGGCTTATCCAACTGAAGATACTTCCCCACAGCTTCCACGGCTTGATCTTGACCGTAGACCCGCTTCTTTAGTTCGACTGAGATATTCGCGAAAACGGTACTGTGCTGATAATTCTGCTCACGAAGCACGAGAGAGGCGAAAATGACACATAGCGGAATTAACAAGAAAAGGAACAGTTTAATGAAACTGTAACAAAAAGAATCGCTCTCCATTCTCGTCGAATGTTTCGGTACGAGCGATCGAAGTCCCTCTTTCATTTTCTCATAGGTCTTCGGCTGTACTGGTATGTCCTCGTCTGCGGAATCTTCCTTGGCAAAGTTCTCCGGGGGATCCTGTGCGATATCCTTTTCCACAAAGTGAGATTCCTCTACTTCCATAAGATCTTCCGATTTAACTGCGACTGGCTCTTCAGCATTCCCCTCTTGTGCATCCCCCCCATCTACGTCTGTCTCTAAGTATCTTGCTATTTCTATTATTTTGTAAGATTTCCTGTTAACAAAGAAACACTTGACTAACGACATTTGAAAACTTCTTCATGTACTCCTCTGTATTAAATTAATCGCACTCATTGACCTATCGAATGCTCGGCATTTAAATATTTACCCCTTGAATCATTCGATCACTTTGATTAAGTGATCATTGATCGCTTGTTATAAGAAGGCTACTAATATAAATATACAGAGACATTAATTCAGCACCAAGAGAACAGACTCGAGACGACTTTATCCTCACACACTCATTAAAGTTACACTAATGAAACCAATACCTAAGTAGAGCGGTGTTTTCTTCGGACATATCCTTATGGAACATCCGAAACATGTCTATCACAGGTGATTTTAGGTGGACAGATTTCTTTTGTTCTAATAGCGCAAATACATCCAATTCCAGAAGCAGTATTTTTGAAAGGCGAATTACCACGTTTCCAATTTAGCAGTGTCAGATGACTAATCAGAGATCGGAGAGATCTTGTCAACTCCTGTTATGCCAGACAGAAACAGAGACCTCCTGGGACAAATAAAGCGTATCGTCAGCCGCATAACCTTCAAACTACGACGACGACAATGCGGTGTTTGACGCCTGCGCTACGCTCTTGTCAACTTTATCCTGCGAAACATGGTTCCAGGAGGATGTGTTCGGTCAGGCGAGTTACCTGACGTTCGTCTGTCCATACCGTGTGTCGTAAACAGCGACGAAAATCTTGACAGAGGCGCCGGGGAAAGATATTGAACGCGCAGACGGGATTAATGTGTAAGCAATGGAGTCAAGACGAATGGGTCTGTACTTTATAGTTGCACCGCTGAACTGGTGCAATAAGTTGAAGTGAGAAAGCATATACTTGTCTCGCTACAACTTATCGCTCCTAGTTCAGAAGTGCAGCTATAAAGAACATACGAAACGCAAGCGACGCGCGCTCTCTCTCTCTCTCTCTCAGCCCTCTTTGATTTCAACGTACAACTAAATCGCCGACCGCGATGAATCACGAGGTTTTTCGAGTCAATCGATGGAACTTTCCTAACATTCGTCATACAATCGAGACATTCTACTTTATACGTGTGTGTTCAATAAAGCCCCGTTACTACAAATCCGGCATCCTCTTACCGCATCTTTTCATCTTTTTTACATATTAATTAACCGATTATGTCCCCAAATTTTCTCGAATTATTCCCTCAATATGAGAAATATTCATCAGAATGGCAAAGACATATCGGAATCATCGGTCATGATTAAACCATTATCGCACCGTCACTCAATTGAACTTTATTACCGACCTGCAAAAAGAAAAATATGTGCTCACTACTAGGTCTAAAGTTCAGTTACACCATCTACACTCGCAGTCTCCCCCTCCTTTCAGTCTTCAAAGAGCGATCGTATATTCGTTACATGCCGAGTGCAGAAGGTGCAGAAAGACATGGCTGCGCGCAGGCAAGTGCTCCGAGAACATGTCACTGTGATCAGAGCGATGCCGCCGGCGAAAACGATTGTCCGCGTTCAGCAGAGAAAATAGCTCAGCGCTAAACGATTCCCAATGAACACCAACTAACAGTAACACAACATCAATGTTATCATTTCTCGCTCAACAATGTAAATGCAGTATAACGCGCGTATTATATAACAGTTATATTACTGAGTGGGAAATCGTAACGTGAATGTTATGTTACTGTTAGTTGGTGTTTACCGGGTTATTCCCCTCGATTGGCAGATTCTCCTGGATTTACGGAGAATCTGAAAGAATACTCCAGTCACAGACATTAGCCGCTAAGCGCACGCTGATCTTTTTTCTGCGCCGAACGCAGGTGTCATTCCCACATCGCGAAGACGCACCTGTAACTCGCAGCGGAGTTCTTAAAGGAGTACAGAAGAGTCCTGAGCCGTAGACGCGATTTCCACCTCCGGTCCGGCAGAGAGCGAAATTCGCGCGACATCGCCGACGACACGTGCACGCCCGACGAGGAGGTGTTCGCCGGTTCGGTTCGCGCGTTCCCCGCGTTCATCGCGGGCAGCCGTGTTCCGCGGTGTTCCGCCGCTTCCGGCGTCCTGGCACCTCAGTTCCTGCTCGCGTATCGACGAGCGAAGGCGAAGCGGTCGGCTCGTGAGGTGGTGTACGCGCGCGCGCGCGCGCGCAAGACCCGCTCGCTGGTGGTGTGATATGTGATATCGGCGAGAAGCCGAAAATGCAGCCGAACGCAGTCGCGTTGGCGCGTTGCCTGCCGCTTCTGCTGCTGATGGTGGCCGCAGCGACCGCGAGGATTCACAAGTTGGACATACGGGTCGGTTGTTGGCCGGGTACGGCCGCGATTCGATTCCTCGCACACCGCGCGATTCTACCCCTCCCCGCGCGCTTAATTGATTCATAGTGCATGAGCGTAGTCTGAATGAGTGGCAGCCTGCGAAGATTCGCGGGATGAATTCGCAATCGGCGGATAGAGAGAAAGTGACGTCTACGTTCGGTTCGTGCGTGTTGCCTCGAAGGCGTCGCCGATCGACCGCGTACGTTGCACGGCGGAATGAAAAACGAAGGGCATTCGTCGTAGGAAAGGCGAATCTGTCCGTCGTGTTGCAATCGTCGCAACGACTCGATAGAGATGACTTCGTCATTCTTTCGCAACGACGCGGAATAACAACGATCGGACGATTTCATACGCGACTCGCGCGAAACGTCAATAGCGATATCGCCCGGAACGCTCGCGATAATATCGCGCGGAGGTCTCTGTCCCTCTTGAGAATTTCTCGGCTCGACGTGTTGTTATTCCGCGTCGTTGCGAAAGAATGATGAAGTCATCTCTATCGAGTCGTTGCGACGATTGCAACACGACGGACAGATTCGCCTTTCCTACGACGAAGCGGAGTTCCGTAATCGCGACGGGCGTTATCATCGCCGGGTGTGTTCCGTTAAACGAGCCGATCCGCACGACCGATCGGCGGAGTAACGCGCCGTAACGTTTCGCGGTGTAGCCGTGCGAAGTGAAAGCCGAAGGACGCGCACGATCCATAGATCTCGCGGAGCCGGATTATTCACCGTGCAACGATACCTTACCTCCCTCACGATCCTTCGTGGTAAACGGCGTGGGTTACATGTGACACGTTTGCATTTCAGAAAGACAACCGACCGTACATCGCCCTGACCACCTTCGGCTTCTACAAGGGCGGCATTCTCACCGTAAATCTCACGAACTTCAAGTTCCAGGCGGCAGACCCCGATAAGAAGCTAACGCCGGAAACGACGGACAAGGCTGTGGTGAGTGCCCGCAGGAATACAAATCGTCCAGTCCTCCGTCTGATTTTCGCATCACGGGGAACTTCTTCGAAACCGATCCTTTTCTCAAAGCCCGACCCTTTCACTTCGCACGAAAGAAAATCGCGGCTGGAAAATCGCGATGGAAACAAAATGGGCGCCACGCTCGATGATATCTCTGTTATCGTGAAAACGTTCTCCTGGACGTTTGGTTGCGCTAAAACTCGAGCGAGATAACTGAGGGTCCCCCAGATAACAGAAAGTCAATTATGCAACCTTTTTATTCTAATAAGAGGGTGTCGCAACGATGCCGTCAAAAATGTCTAATAAAGCTCGAAAAACATTTTAAATAAGTCTTAATATTAACCGAGTAGTTAATTTTAGATTTATAGAATCCGAACGTTTCTCAAATTTTATAAAAAATCTCGCACACGCACCGTTACGACGTTTTTTTTGGGGGGGGGGGGGTNGGCCAAAGAACGTTTGGAAATCAAATGAATTCGAGAACGTTTCATCGTTCCCGTGGCGGAACGCCAATCGTTTTTACAAATCCGCGAGACGAAATTGTACTTTTTTCGTCGTAACTGCCGTTATTAAAATTCAACGTACCGTTTAATATTGTATCCTACTGTACTTTTTGTTTCACCGCGGATCGTGGCAAATAAATAATGCAAACGAAAATAGACGATCGAACAAGTCGAATTTCAAAATTCGCTCGCTCATTCCGTCGCACGATTCGTCATCAATTAAGCTCCGGTTACACACAGCGCTGCGCGCCACGCGATACATGTCGCTCTGTCGCTGCCCCACAGCGACGGACACCTGTTTCTGCCGCCTGCATCTCGACATTCGCGCCCGCGGCGAGAGAGCCACCCGGGTTTATAAATACGTGCGCGCGGGTATGCGGACGCTCGCAGTGCATCATGAAAACTGTTAAACTCGTGTGAATGACTCGTTCGCACCGTCAACGTAGATTACACCTGGCACTTGAATGCGCCCATTGTTCTTGTTGTCTGATATTTACGGTCGCCTCGACACGGCTGCCTCCGTTGCTGCAACGCGTGACATTGTTCCGTTCTTTTCCGGACGACTTCCTGAATCTATTATCGCAGTAACCGATCGGGATCTTCTTTGTCCTCGAGATAATCAAAACGAGGAGGAGACGATTGTAAGATTTATCATTCGGGTAATCTCGTCGCGCATCTGGTAAGAAAGACGTTTCGTCTTGCAGTTCGGATTCAGCCTGGACCGAACGCTCATCGACGCGATCAATCCGTACATATACAATCACCTGGAGAGATGCTTGCTGCAAAACGCTTCAACCCCGAGGACGGAGCCGAGGGACAACAGCTCTATTATATATTTTACGATGGACTTGAAGAATTTGTTGTAAGAGTGTACCCTCTTTAAATTTCTTGCGTTGAAATCGCACTCGGAATGAATGGAAATTCGCACGGGACGACAGTAAAAATACCGCCCCTCTCGGGATCGCAGGGGTGAATGTTTAATTCAGACTTACATATTCTCAATCTATAAATATTCCAATCGATTAGAGTTGTCTCGTTCCATTCCACGGTGGACCGCGTCATATTCAATTTCGAATGAAAACAACCATTTGACCATCCAGAATAGAGAATTCACTCCGTGTGATGGAGAAATCACGTAAATTCGTGTGTCTCGATCGTCACATTTCGAGTGGGATTTCACTCGAAGGAAGTAAAACAAATAAGAGAAGTAAAGAAAAATGTAACAATGTTGGAATCACACGGTCGAAGAAGCGAAGGGACTCGGCGAATGAATCGCGGGACAATCGCTGTTGCAGGATGCACGTGAACTGCAATCGCAACGTGCGTACGACGCATATTTACAAGGATTCCAGCAGGATACCGATGTTTCGCATGAAGAGGGACTCGTTACTCGTACCTGTGCGACTCAGCGACACCGCGCTCTTCCCGCGAAGGAAGCGGAACACGTCGCACGGTGAGTCCCGCGCGTTCGCATGCGGGCGGTACGCGCGCGCGCCCATGTATTTTTATTCATCGCGGCGGAATACGCGAGGTTATAAATCGGCGGGCATAAATATCGGAATTCGTTGACGCATCGCGTCGCGTAACGCGCGACTAAGAGTTTATGCTCAAATAAACTCGCAAATGTTGCACAATTCGCATCGAGAAGCGCGTCCGTGAACAGGTTCGGGCGTGCGACATTTGGCATGTGCATAAAGACGAGTTAATTGAGAGAGTAGATAGGCCGCGAGATGTGACGTTTCATTTAGCTTCGTTGCGCAATCGAGCCGATTCGAAAAATTCTGATTCACGAGAGAGAGGGAGAGGGAGGGAGGGAGAAAGAAAGAGAGCTATTGCTATGAATAGAGCAATGCACCGAGATTCCGCGGATAGGACACGTGCGTAGAACACGGCATCTGGTAAATGTTATCAGCGACGCGTACCCGCTCGGGTATATCGAAAATAAACCGTCACACGGCATATGCCAGATATTTTCGACATTTCTAACGCCTAATATTAGAGATGTAATTCAACTGCAACAAATAGAACAGGTGCAAGCTGGAGGAGACTTGGCCGATGATCCTGAAACCGGTGCGACCGCGCTCGTCGCTCGCGTACCAATTATCATCAGTTATTATCGTCCCGATAGATTCATTTTCTATTTTTAGAAACTAACACACGATCGTTATTGTGTCGCCTACTCGTGACGTCTCCCGCAATAAGATAATGATTAACACACTCCATATTCCGCGAGGGTCATCGATTATTCTTGCTGAATTATTGCGTTCAAACCGTTCGATATTTTTATTCTAAAACGAAACGTAATGAGATGAGATACGTGTTACTTATAACAAATACAGAGTGTCTGATAATTACTTCGGCCCATCCTGTTTTCCATGCGATCATTAGCTTACATAGATTAATTAATTTCTCATTAAATTAACTATTGCATCTCAAATTAACATTGCACTCAACTCAAATTGCATATCTCAAATTAACTATTGCAAATTTTGCAGAACGGTGCATGATTTTTCTGTCCAGTTCAATCCATTCTACCTGCACCACGGATGCCGAGATAATTATCGGACACCCTGTATGAAATCGGGCACACAAAATCGGCCCGGCACGGACTGTGTCAACAATATTGAACGAAACGTAACGAACGAGGCTACCTTCGTCAAGTAGGTCGTCAACGTGAATGCAAAGTGATCCTTTCACTGTGAATTTCACGCGCGTTTTACTATTTTACTGACAGAGGTGATCGAAAAGACCAGTCACGCGCGGAAGAGAAACGCCGAGAATCGATAGCTGGAAAAGTCCGCGCGGAAAGCGCACTCGCGGCGCGAGTCCGCGTATTCTTCGCGCGTGGACGCTTTTAAACGGTGATCGATGACAACCGACGCGCGACAGACACGCGTGTGTCTTGAAGCAGCATCGGCGATCGAACGCAGTCGAGAGAGAGATGACGGACGCTATAATTAACGCGACTCGTCCCCGATCTTATAAATACCGCGAAACTCAGGTATTTTCGAAAAGTACGGTTAGGTAACTGCTTTTTCGCGCAGTACGTCCGTCACCGGATCCGTCAATCCTTCTTGGGAATTACCGTTCGGGAGCACAGTGAGCGCGTTATCGAGCGAAACGGTACATCAAAATGTCGACAAGACGAGATCATTGTCCTTCGCTCAATCGAGTTTCCCCTCTTCCCTCCTGTTCAACCCTTCAGCACACGAGAGAGAAATTTTGCGCAGAGCTCGCGAAGCCCATCGGCGGCGGTAAACCGAACGGACAGGACAGTAACACATGCTGCCGCCCGAAACTACCGATGACTGTGAACACCCATGCGAACGGCGAGAAGTCATACAACACGAGTTTCGTCATGTACGTGGCCAACGAGGAAGAGGAGGGCCTATACAATCTCTATTTTCACAATTGTCTGAATTACAATTACGAGGCTCCGCTATCGGTGGACTTCACGGTAAGGGATTATTCGGCGACGAGCGATCGGATTTATTTAACACGTTTGCCACCAGCGTCTCGCAGAGCTGAAAAAATGGTCTTTCACGGGAGACCAGCGTCACATATGTGTGACAGCAAATGTTATTTTTATTTTCTACATTCACATTATCGAGCTGAGTCCGTCTTGCATAATTTCGTAAAGAAAAAAAATATGAGGCGATCTGTAGGGAGAGATCCTCCTCCCTAAATAGCGAATTCCTAGTAGCGAGCGTGTTAAGGAATGACGCGTTCACGTATTCGAAGTCACGAGCACGTCATACTGAACGGACAAATTTGTCTTGTGGCAGATGCAAATAGCCGAGATTAATAACGACAACTTTCTCAGCGCTGGCGAAATGCCCTTGCCAGCCTTGTACTTCACGATGGCGCTTCTCTTCTTCTTGTCGGGCTGCTTTTGGGTGTTCATTCTGGCCAAAAGCAAGTAAGGAAAGCGGAAGTTTCGGCGTGTAACGGCGAAGTGTTACGGTAGGAACGAAAGTGTGATCGTTACTCGTTCATTTTCTCCACAGGCGTTCAGTGTTCAAAATTCACTACTTAATGGCAGTCTTGGTGTACCTGAAGTCTCTATCGTTGTTATTCCACGGTATAAATTACCACTTCATCCAGACCAAGGGCGAGCACGTGGAGGCGTGGGCGATTTTATATTACATCTCCCATCTATTGAAAGGCGCCGTTCTCTTCATTACCATGGTACTAGTTGGCACCGGATGGACCTTTATAAAGCACATCCTTTCGGACAAGGAGAAGAAGTTCTTCATGCTCGTCATACCATTGCAAGTACGCGTCGCGCGATATCTTCCTCTTATACTTAAATTAATTATTCGAGTTAAAAAAATATATTTATGTTATTTCAACCTTATTTGAATTTAAAATGATAAATTAAAACGGAGAAAAAGTATCGAACAAAATTGGACTTTCTGTCCGCGTGATATGGTTTTTACCGATATTGTTTTTTATAGAAGTTTTGGAGAAGTAAAAATTGCACGAAATCAGTGTGCGACGTAATTGATTTCGAGAATGCGGAAACATTCTCTCTTTCTCTCTCTCTCTCTTTCTCAGGTGTTAGCGAACGTGGCGGAGATAATAATCGAGGAGAGCGAAGTGGGCAATTTGGAGCACCAGACTTGGCGGGACATTTTCATACTCGTCGACCTGCTCTGTTGCGGCGCGATTATATTCCCAGTGGTATGGAGTATCAAGCACTTGGAGGAGGCCGCCCGCACGAGTGATAAAGCGGCCATCACTTTGCGCAAGCTCAAGCTGTTCAAGCATTTCTACATTATGATAGTTTGCTACATATACTTCACCAGAATTATCATGTACCTACTGAAGGTACGCGTCTCTCGCAAATTCGCGGGGAATTTAACGTGCGCGAAACGCGTGTTTTGACGAGCGGAACCTTACCTGCCCGCAGATCACCGTGCGTTTCGAGTACCAGTGGCTGGACGAAACGTTCCGCGAGATGGCGACTTACGTCTTCTTCGTCCTGACGGGATATAAGTTCCGACCAGCCTCTACGAACCCGTATTTTACGGTGCCGAGTGACGAAGTACGACTGGACGACGATGACGACAGAATGGACGTCGTGTACGTATCGATCTGATCTGCCACGTCCGAACCCTCGATATTCGACCATCTCGCTTTCAAATTACTCTTAAGCTGTATCACGTCCATCAATAACGGGACCGGCAATGGGATTGCATGCGATGGAAATGAAAGAATTATCTAACCTAACGATGTATCGAATGTAGTAAAAAAAGGTCTTTCCAAATTAATGAAAGAATAGCGAAGAAAAATGAGAAAGATATATAGCGCTTAATGCGAAAACCTTAAAAACAAGAGATCGAGTGCGTGGAGAAAAAAAATGTGGTAACACGACTACAAAACGATATTTCGAACTTCAGATTTGCGCTTCGAAAGTGAGCTTTGAATTTCGATCGCGCGATGATTCGTCTCGTCTCTCTACTTCCTTCTAAGTTACACGTCATTCCTAGATCGTACTAATGTTTCGGCTTTTTTTCCAGCGTTTCCGGTGGTAACGGACTCACCAAGGATTTCAGTAAAGTGAGCAAAGTGCCGAGGGCGGTGAGACCCATGAGTGGGAAAGTGCCGTCTACAGCGGAGGAGCGGCACATCATTCTCTATCAAAAGACGGATTCCTCCTAATAAAAATCGCGCTTACGACGATTACACACACACACACACATATGCATACACATACGTGGCCGATCCGACACTCGCCACATGACGAACGCGCCCGTGTTTTCTTACGGATGTTCGAGACTACACTGCGGATTGAAATGGACAAACGAGAGGCGCACAGATCACAGCCGCAGTAAACGACGCGGATGGCGAGGAGAAATTTAATAATAAGTAATCGCGCGACTCGAACCGGCGAGTTTCCTGCTCTCGAATCTGTCTTTTCTATTTCTCGCGGGGCGGAGGAAGCGGAAACGCCGCCGACCCGGTTTGCAAACGCGTACACACACAATCGACAATCGCGGCTTGTGAAAATTCGTACTTATCTTTACGTTCACTCCCGACCGAGATACCTTCTGTCTTTCGGCGATGATGACGACGGCCGACGAAGATCGACCCCGGGTCGTCGCATATTTTTCCCTCGGATTTTTTTCTTTTCGTTTTCGAACATCGAAGCGCATCTTTTCCGAATCTCTTCCGTTTCCGCGCTTTTTCCGTCGCCCGTCACCGTTAATCCGATATGACGTTAGCGCGACGTTCTTTTTAGTGAGACACTTACACCGATATAGCGAACTTAGAGTTAATTGTTTATCTAGCGTACATAGCGCTCCACGATGTCATGATTCCACGTGAGCGCTCGCGCGCCTTTCTCAAGGCGCCTTTTTATAGTCGGTTTTTCCGTAGGCATTTAGAGAAACATTTCCATTTGTTTTCCTTTCCCATGACACGCGTTCAGTCCCCTCGAAGGTATGCGAATCCCATTCTGTCGAGCGATGCATTCGAGGTACATTTGTCTTTCTCTATCTCTCTATTCTCGTTATTTTATATTGCATCTAATATTAATCGTAGGGAAAGCGACTGGTTGTACCGGACCAAGCGGTGCAAGGTGAACTCTATCTAACGATACGTGTCCTCTCACTCTTGCGCGCGATATCGCGCGATACTACTCCGGCTAAGGTTAACATTACCATTATTATTACTACTGTACACGCGTGTCGTCACTGTTACACCTGTTACTATCATTAACTATGTCGTATATATCGAATGGAACGCGAAGACGGAGCCTAGTTGAAAGAATAAAGCGGATATTTTTATGAAACGGTGTATTCACTTCTCTCCACCCACTTTCGTGGTATCATTAAAAAAAAAAAGAGGAGAAAGGGAACGTCATAGCGCGTTGTTTCGGCGCGTTACAACGCGTCGACGATCGATAACCGGACGAGGAAGTTTCGAGCAATAAGTTGCCGAACCGACGAGTGTATCGGTGATTCCGGATTGATCCCGCGAAAAGGCGCGCGGAAGCTCGTGTAACGATTGGCAATTTTCCCGGCCGATTTTCTCCGCCGTTAAGCGAAGGTTCACAAGACTTATTGAATGGTCTCTAATGCCTGCAGCATCGTACTTTTCATCCCTTTCCCCCTCCCCCTCCCAACACACCCATGTGTCTACCTGACCCCCTGCTACGTGAGGGACGTCTTAATGACGGGTGTAGTAGTCCGTGCTCGCCTGCGCGACGTTACGACGAGCGGAAGAAAAATCCTTTCGCATTCTTCGCGTCTGCAAGAAGAATGAACGTGACGTTCAAGATGAAAGCTGCTTCTTTGTCTCGCCCGGATGGCGAAACGACGGAGCATCGGGAAATTAATACACCGGGTGTCCCCGTGGAAAAGGGAAATCGCTATTCGCGAAGCTAACAGCTCAGTCGCTTCGATATACTCGGATTGTAGCGAGAGATAATTGCAGCATGAGATTGCAGCATGAGATAATCGGCGAGCACGCCGAGTGGTCGATCCGTCTTTTGACTTTTGGTTTATACTTCGCGGTACAAGCGCGGTTTCAAAAGACCTGGGTGGTAAAGTGGATTTAGAGCGAGCCAGGCTTCATCGCTCGTATACGTACGTTTTTACGGCAGCCATAAACACCGTTCGCGGTTTCGCGTTGAAACCGAGGAACTCGGTCGGTTCTCCTTCTCCGTAAAGCGTACACAGACGCGAAAGTTAAAGAGATTCCTGGTGACTGATTGACTGGACGTTTCGTGCACGGTTTCTATAGCGCGTGCAACGCGCTAAACCGCCGGGGAAAGGAAAAATCGTCTTTTATGTGGATGTTGTAACGGCACGCGCGGATGCGGCTGAGAAGTATCTCTCCGGCGACACTTTTTTTCTGCACGGAGAATTTTTTGCGAATACCTCGATGGAATATCCGTGCAGAAGAAAGCGTCGCGCGAGGCGTGAAATACGGCAATCGTTAATAAGCCACCCTCCGGAAGTCACAGCCTTGACACATGTCGTCAAGGTCATCGTTCTGAGTGACATTCAGAAGGTCTAACCGTCGCTTGTTGTTTACTAAAAAGTTAATAACAAAAGAAGTTTGAAAATTCGAACAGTTGTTAGACAAAATACTTGAGTAATAAATCGTTTTACATCAAGGTCATCGTTCTTCGAGGGTGATCCGTTTTTATCAATATTTACCCTGTCCCAGCTTCAACGACATCCGCTTCGATAAGGCCTCATGTTTTCCGTGCGAAAAATACAGAAAGATGATAAATCGATAAAAGAAGCCCGTAACAAATATAGGGGGCATAGAAGGTGTCACTGTAATCGAGCCATAACGCGATACGATTTTAAGTTCGACGTAGATACAATGGGATTTTCGGGGTTGAATCACGAGGGGAGGGATTCATCCATATAGTCGATTCCTTACCGGCAGTTCGGTATGTGTAGGGGCGTCAATTTCGCGGGCTCGCATCGCACACATTGTTCGACGACGAGTCCGTGCGATTATTTCGACGTTTCGCCGGCGAGGTGGACCCACGCGATACCACGAGAGCAATATTCGGCGCGACGCTTTATTTCGTCTCTATATCGGCTCCGTCAAAATGAAACGCCCGCGGCGAACGACGCTTTACGACATTTCGCGCGATCGGACTGCCGTAACTGTTTGCCTGTCACGATAAATCCGCGCTCGATTATTCTCGTTCGCGATATTCCCCCGCTGTGAAACGATGCGACGACGAATTCGATACGCGAGAAGCGTCGATCGCGCTTTCACACGCATGACTCCGCGTAGCGTGCGAATTATCACCGGCGTATAATCCCCTCGACGTAATCGCGAAAGAAACAATTACAGCTTTATCGTGATCGAAGAACCGCCGGTGTCCCACTTTCCTCGACGTACGAGACATCGTGAAGCCGAGGCGCAAAAGGCATTGTCGTCAAGGAGGGTAAGAATGTTATTGCTGTTAAGATAGATCCTTTCCTTTCTCTCTTTCTTTATGGCTTTCGCTAGGTTAAATCGACTTTCCTCGTAGAAGTGGAAAATTCGCCCTCCCCCGCGCACCAACTATTTCCCGACGGGAATAAATATCCGGAACAGACGCGTCGAACGAACGCCACCGATCGCATCGACGATATTTGTATTTTGGTGACTCTCTTACGGGACGGGTTTCTCCGACGCGTTTCCCCGAGACATCTCCGTTTTCAATCGACGCTCGGCAGTTTGCATCGCGACGCCACTCGCGGAGAGGATGATCTTAATAAAGCGCGCGAGGGAAAAACCACCGACGCGATTGACTCACAATGGTAGCTCGAGTCACAGAGGGGAGCCACGAAATCTCTTTCCGCGGGTAATCCTCGTCCCCTCGCTGACCCGTCAAGCCCGTAACGTAGAAAGCGAGCTCGTCCACCCCCCGTGGACGGAAGGTGCAATTTCATCGCCTCGGCTTGAGCAACCCTCGGCCAATCCCCGAAGATCTCTTCGTGAAATGCGGGTCGCACGCGGGGAAAGAATCCGGCCTCGTTGCATCTGCTACGTCGCGACGTGATAAACGTCCGCTCGAGTAGCACGACGTTCCTAAGTTACGACACTCGGGGTCGCTTACACGCCGCGTCCATTGTCATTAACAGCGAGCGGAATCGAGTTTCCTCCCGTGGTCCGTTCGAACGTCCATCAACTTCCCTACTTTCCAGGATCAGATACGCGCTTCGCGAACACGACGTTCCGGTCTCTCTTCGCGTCGGCCGCGGACGGAATTCGTTCCTTTCATTCAATTCACGAGGTATTGTGAATTCACGACCACATCAAGAACACCGTGTTACTTCCAGCAAGTCAACTACCACCAACCGGTTTCACTTCTTGGAGACACGCGTTTTCCCAAATTTCATTCGCCATTACCGCGAGCACCTTATTGACTTTCGAATCGTCGTAAATGAGACCAGCGACGAGCGAGTTTCGAGTCTCCGGGGCCGAGAGGACGGTATGAATCATGAACATCGCGTCTCTCGGAAGCTTACGAGCATAGCGACCAGGACGAGAGGGCGGAAGGACGAAAGACGCATAAACGCGTCGCTGTTTGAGCCACTGCGTCTCTTCTCGTCGTCTTTCTTAACTTCCTCCACCTACGTCACGCTTAAAGCCATAAGGGAGGAAACGGGATGGAATTAGTTGGCCGAGCTGGTAAACTACTTGGAATTACTTAATCGTCGGTGTGTAACTGATCCTTTTACGCGAGCCGAAACGCAAAAAGTTCGACGGCGGGTCGTCGAAGGATCGTCGCTCGCATCCTCCCCCGTGCGGCTCGAGTGTGTCGCTAGGACGACGCCCTCCTCGTCGTCGTAGTCTGCCCCGTAACGACGGTGGTTACGAGCCGTAAATCCCAATCCTTCAGCTAGGTAACAACGTCTAGCCGCGCGCAGGTATCCGGGCGGCTATCGCACAGACGAACGTCGTTCCGTTCCGCCTATTGTAGAAGTTACTCTTGTGCCGACGCGATCAAAGCACACTGCAACGACAATGGCGCAATCAACTCGACCGTAAACGCGCGCCCCGTATCGCGAAAATCCGTCGGTTGCAAGGCCGCAAATTTCCCGGCGAGAAAAACACGATCACCGGAGAGAACGAATTAACGAGCTACGACGTGTAAGTTGCAGCTCCGTTTACTGCTAACTAAACTACCAACTAAATGTTCTTGTCTATTTTCTACACGGTATTGTGACAGTTAAGGAGAACGCATTAATACTAGACAGCAACTGGACATAGGTCTGGGAAAATTGCACACCAGGACCAAATTAATAGTAAATTCACGATTAAGATTAATTAATAACCCGGACTGGAAAAGTTAGAAATCTGAAAATTGACAATTCAATATCGACAGCTCCACGGCGTTGCAACGATCTCGCTTACGCGAGAACTCGCGTCCATCAACGGCCACTATCTGTTAGTGCCAATTATCATTCCGCCGTGTCATTTACCGAGTCTGTCCGCCATGCATCCGAGGACAGACACTCCGGGCGGAGCCGGCCGCGATAGCTCCGACATGAATATCGAATAAGAAGCGCGTAGTGGGCGAGCGGATGCATCGTGCATTAGATTACGGGGGTTAGTATTTATAGCACTCGGTACCGTGATTAGCGTCATCTTGTTACTCGCAGCGCGTCATCCCCGTCGCCCCCATTATAACTCGGCGTCGAGATGAACGCGAGCGAGCGAGAGGATGAGAAAAGGAGAGAGAGAGAGAGAGAGAAAGAGAGGCGGCCACCCCCTCGCACGTGTCGACCACGTCGAAAAGGGGACGCACGACCTTTTAATCTCGCGGCAACAACTCACGCGAGCCCCTTCTGATCTTCCGGACCGCTTCCGCATTCGACGCTATCGTGAGACGCTTCCGCGGGGAACCCCCGACAGCTGATTATCGGGGAGATCCCCTCGCGTTTTTTCCTTTCATTTTTTCTTTCCCCTTTTCACTCGCCGGCACACTTTTCCTCGCGAATCTCCAGCCGCGACGCGGAGCGCGACGCATGCGTCGGAGAGCGGTCGACGTGTGCTCGCGACAGGCCGCGAAAATTCTCCAGTTGGCGCCGCGACGCGCTCGAAGGAGCTCTCGTTCGCACGGCGAACGTACGCAGAAGGAAGCGTGCGAACGTCTTTCCCGCCGGATAAGGAAAGAGGAAAGATAGAGAAAGAAAGGGAGAGGTCCAGCGGGCGGAGGAAAAAAATAGAGAGAGAGGGGGAGAGAGAGAGAGAGAGAGAAAGAGAGCCACGTGCCGAAAATAATTTTCCACTTACGGAAACCTCGAGCGAGCGTGCGCGCGTGTACACGCG